AAGATGTATTTTACCAAGTTATTTATGGCACCAGGCTACCTAAGAGGATTTCCGAATACTAGCTGCTCTTATGCACTTGCGTTTGTAGATTTGTACGGAGTACGGAGTAGCAAGTAGCAGGTTAAATAACTAGGCGCTCCGCTTATTTAGTTGGTCCATTTAACCCTGTGAGCCTATCGCATTGCCATTTTCTTTACTTTTGAAGTCAACGGCTGTGCTCGGAGACTTTGATAAGGTTTATAAGCTGCAGATTACAGATTGCCACCCCCTTGCCCTATGTAGCAACATATATACGGTTTCTAGAGGTTGTTTTTGCCGATGCCTAAATATCTACCCACAACATTGGCATCTGGCACACTTTTAGGATTTACATTTGAGAAGAAAGGCAGAAAAATATTTGTACTGAATTAAATGGTAGCGATGAACCTAAAGATATTGCCCGTAGATACTGGCCCATGGCTCTCATGTCTCTTAAATCTTTGTACGTGGGCTGAAGATGAAGAACTGCAAGTTCCCATTCTAAGACAGGAGCTAGTGTGTTATGCTCTGATGAGACACATCTAGTATCCTACAGTGGATCAGCCGCCCAAAACGGGTGCAGTTTGTCCTGAATTCTGAACACTCGGTGGTAGCAGCACTACAGAAAAGCTGGAGCTGATACTACCATCCTCTCGGCTGCAATGGCTCTTCCTAACTCAGAGGAGATTTCAGTAAAATGATCACCTTAGATCATCCATGTCACACTGAAATATTTTTCAATCCCATTTCAGCCAGAGTACGGCAAAAGTGCACGAGAGCGTAAGAGCCCCCGCAAGAAAAACACTGGCTCTATGAGGTGAAACTGCCCAACCAAAGCAAAAGCTTGTCTTAAACAGATCATTCTAGTTGATATACATTTCAATGCTAGTGGGTATCTATTGAGCTCAATTAAAGATCAAGACTGTGTCTACGAAGTACAACATAGAAAGTATGATAGTACACCGAGTAAATGCCAGGCAATCTGTTCTATCTGCTTCATACTAGTTGCTATAGAACGTCAAGAACTACCATCCTCTTGTACATCTGATTTTGCTCTGTATACACACACTACTTCACTCGACGTAAAAGAAAGTGAAAGCCCGATGAAGTATCTGCGGTTTCTCTCTGCTGCGTGCGAACAAAGTAATAGGGCATTTTTAACGGGAGCCCTATGGCCTTTACCTGGAGGTTTTCACATAACCCACGTTGCTATGGACATAAAATCCATCCCAGCAATGCTTCAAATGTAAATTTCAGCTAACTCTATCTATGCCGGGTAATTTTCAATCATACAACGCTCTCCGCACCAGTGGAGACCCGAGCGCGTGCATACCCGGCCTGGGCATCAGCAGCAAGCACTAGGCTCATCTCCAACGATTTTTAGGCCATAGAGTAAGAGGATCAGACTATTTCACATATGTAGAATAGAGGAATAAGAATTTCATGTGCTTGTATACTTGTAGCCCATACATGTCGCTCTATACAGCACGTGACCGTCCCCTCACTGTGGGGGTTTTAGTTCAATTTCCCCGCTCAAACAGCCCGCGGCCTCAAATTCTTCCCCTCTCTAGTGCGCTCCCCCATTCCACCCCCAAAACCCCCCAAAAAACGATGGAGGACGAAAAATCTGCCAAGTCGAAAAAGAAAGGGGCTGCTCACCGAAAGTCCCTATCATGTGAATATTGCAGCCGATCTTTTGCTCGCTTAGAGCATCTCCAACGCCATCTCCGCACCCGTTGAGTAACCCCCTCTTGCTCCCGGCTCTTTGGAATCCATCTAATGTAGGACAACAGATACAAAGGAGAAACCCTTTTCATGTGACATTTGCTCTAAATCTTTCGCTCGCAGGTAGGTTCCTATTGCGCTTAATTCCCGGAATAGAATGCCAATCGCTTATCAACGTAATTTTGCAGTGACCTTCTAGTGCGTCATGAGCGATTAGTCCACCCTGCCGAAAGTGCAGCCAGTCGAGAACATCGGGTTCAGAATGTTCACGAAAACAACCATGAGATCCCCATCCAGTCCAACCTCATCCAACCCGCCCATCATGAGTCGCGCATGTTAGAGCTTGCAGATGCCATTCCAGTCCACACCCAAGTGCCTCAGCCTCCACCGCATGAGGTCCAAGTCCAGACTCCATCGATTATAGATACACCCCACTTCAATCCCTCGTGGGGATATGATTTAAATCTTTTATCTCATGCCGCAAGCCATGTCGCTTTGGAGGGTCAACAGGAGACTCTAGAGTCCATGAGAAAACCGCCACACACAGCTGCTTCTATATCACAAACACTTCCCCATGTTCAGGAGAGGGCAATTGCCGATACCTATGGTGTAGAGCCTTCGATTCTCGATCTCACTGATCTTGGGGACCCTGTTCAGGATTTTACGGTTTTCCTGGAAAGTGTGGGTCTCTCGTCTGACTGGGACTCAGGCGTGTTCTCGTCGGTTGAAGAGTCCATGCTACCGCCAGGTATGACGATCGATTCGAAACCGCCCCGTGAGACGATGCCAACACGGCTTGGCGGGGATATCATGAATGATCCGCGGGGCCCCGCGGAAGATCACCCGTCCTTCTCGAATTTTGGATCCCGGCTGCCATCACTACAACCGGAATCTCACGAAATGGACGATCGTATCGGCCTTGCCGATGAGAGCACACGGCCAGCGTGGGACATCTCTAATTCAGACCGCCAAGCGTTCATCTCGAAACTTGAAGAATTTTCGTATGTTCTCCCGAAAGGATTTGTTCCGCCATCGCGGCATGCTCTATCCCGGTTCTTCGCCGGGTATATCAACGGATTGAACGAACATCTTCCATTTATACATGTCCCCACGCTATCGGTTGCTAAAACTTCCCCTGAACTTACGCTAGCGCTGGCAGCTGCTGGTTCACACTATCGGTTTGAAAACAGCCGGGGCATCGATCTTTTCCATGCAGCAAAAGCAGTTTTATTGGAGCGACTCCGTCGGCGAGACAGCAAGCAGGTGCCTCAGCCATCATGGAACTATATATCCCCACCATCTGGGTTTACCAACTCTCGTGGCTCATCGATGATTTCTAACACGGCGAGCAGCCCTTTCCAACAACACCAGCAAATGCTAAACACACCACTCAATGCATCAATATTCACACCGGATGATTCAGATGCTCACATGGAGGTGATTCGGACGTTTCTGTTGCTGACTGTCTTCGCATCCTGGGAACGACATCCAGAACTCTTGCGGGAGATTCTCTCGCTCCAGAGTACTTTGGCGAGGCTTGTGCGTGAACATGGCTTGTCTGAACCACCTCCTACCCCAGACCCTATTATCTGGGAGGAGTGGGTACGGAGAGAAGGTAACAGACGCACGAAGCTTATTGTGTACTGTTTCTTCAACCTCCACTCGATCATGTATAACATCCCTCCTTTGGTTTTGAACGGGGAGTTGAAGTTAAACATGCCGTGTTCTCACGAGCTCTGGAAAGCAAGCAATGCCCCACAATGGCGCCGCGTTCGCACCAGGCAGGGATCAGACGTGCCTTTCCAAGACGCTTTTGCCAGACTCTTCCTGAAATCGTTCATGTCAATTCCGTCGGCACCCATATCCCCCCTTGGGAACTATATCCTCATCCACGCCATCATCCAACAGATTTTCTTTGCCCGACAGCTCTGTCTTTCCGCACCTCATATGCAGGGCACTAGTTTGAGACCTGACGATTTGAATGTACTGGATAATTCATTGAGTGCTTGGAAGGCTCTATGGAAGCGCACACCCGAATCCAGCATCGATCCGCAGAATCCAGCCGGTCCAATTGCATTCACTTCCACAGCTCTGTTGGGTCTCGCCTACATCCGTTTACATGTTGACTTGGGACCATGCCGCCACCTTATCACACAAGATCCAGCCCAAATTGCAGCAGCTTTGATTGAATCCCCTGCCATCGCACGTAGCCCACGGCTGATTATGGCGCTCCTGCACTCAGCCCATGCTCTTTCAATCCCAGTACGACTGGGAATTGACTTTGTGGCCAGGACACACTCATTCTTCTGGAGCATTCAGCATTCGCTCTGTAGTCTGGAATGCGCTTTCCTTCTCAGTCGCTGGCTACTTGCCATTCCCACAACGCAGTCTGAGCAACGATTGTCGGAGCACGAGCGGAAGTTGCTATTGTGGATCAAAAGCATGATGGATGAAACCGAAATGGCTGTTGATCCGCCTGGTGCACCGGATATGGAGTTCATGGCGAATCCTTACAAGGTACGGCAGCTTAGTGTTGCGATTGTCCGCGTCTGGGCGCGGACTTTCAAGGGTAATACGAGTTGGGCGATCGTTGATTTGGTCGGCTCAAGCTTGGATGCATATGCGGATCTTCTAGAGTTCTAACTTTGAGCAAGGGAGCTGTCACTCAGGAGGTTGGTCTTTGTTCTATTGAGCAGAAAATCTCCGAACGCAGTGAAAATCGGTGTGCCACCATGGTGCATGGGGATTGGGCTTCGAAGCTTACTTAGCCCATTCAATTTTGGTACAAGGATGCTACCAACATCTCTGCCAAGAAAAAAAAAATGGCGTCTCTGGAATGGCCATGCTAATGATCCTACGTTTTCTCTTTTTGGATGATGTCTCAGGGAGTTTCTGTATATGGGGGATGGGGACATGAGGTTATTTGCGTTCAATTTTTGTTTGATCTATATGTATTTTATGACTTGGTCACTTGCTTAGTGCTGTCTATACCCTGTGTTTGTTGTGGACTATAGCAACTTCTTGTCTTGTTTCGTTTGGTCCTCTTTTTGTTTCTACTGGAACTTGCATCAAGAGATGATCTTAAAAAGCAGCTCGGTTTTTTCATTATGAAGCTTGTCCTCTTCTTCGGAGTTTGAGTAGTGCAATATGGGTGGGGATGGCCTTTGTAAAGGCAAATGAAAAGGCCAGTGCAAAGTAATTTTTGTCTTCATTTATCCATTGTGGTCATTGTCTCATCCCTACGGGCTGCATCATGTCTATTTACATGACTGTTTGCCACGCACTTTGTTGCGATTTCTAGTGACGCTCGTTGGCACAAACTTTAGAGCCGACATAGACTTCTCCAGCTCGTCAATTTTCAAATCCATGTCCATCTCACTTGGTGATTTCTTTTCAAGGATTGCTGCTGCCGGTGGATTTGATTGAGACACCGAGCTCCGGCGCCGCAACCTGCCCTCTAAAGCAGATGATGTTGAGATGCGTCGTCTGTGGCTGTTCACGGGTCGCAGCATAGATGTTTGTGCATCGATGCCATCATTGACGATGTAAAAATTGTAACTCTGCTGAGGGTGTCAGTGACGTAGACCACTATTTTGATCTGGAACCATACCCGGGGAAACATATGCTTGTCGATAAGATGTAGCCGTCTTTTCTGGGGGGTGGAGCATTTTCGCTCACAGTCTTCGATGAAGCATCCGTACTTTTCATTTTATTAAAATGGGTATAACCCCTCATTTGATAGGAGACAGGCCAGGGCTTACAGTCTTGTCTCCACGGGCTCGTCGCGCAGCAGCTAGCGGGTCATGGTTCTCCTCAATGTGTATATTGAGTAGATGACCCGTGGGGAAGTTCTTGCTGCACTCGGAACAGCGGTTGACATGAGATTGAAGATAATGTACCTCGTAATCTTCGTAGGATGTGAACGAGATCGTCTCGCGGTGAGGCGGTAAGGAGCAATGCATCACCTCAGGGAGGATATCGATGTCACTGTCGATGAGCTTGTTGCGCTCAGAAGAGGGAATCGTAGTGTTCACTGCGATTGATGATCCCGATAGTGAGTCATGATCAAAAGACGGAGATCTCGAGCGGCTTCGAGGTCGCTTGGACATGGTCTAATTCGCCTTGCATATAGTTGATAGGTCAACTTGGCGAGGGTACAGAGGAGGACAGCGACCATGCGAGACTTAATTTCTTCCACTCTCCGCCTTCTCTGTATGGAATACACAAGGAGGGTGTCTATCTAGATATTTCTGTAGGCATGAAGACGGGAGATTTCCAAGGCTAGTGGGTAGCTATTTGTAGGCTCAGACTGTAGGATTTCAACGAAGAAGTTATGTTGCTTGACAATATCCATTTTACAAGTTATCTTTTGACATCTTTTGCTCTCACTTGTGAGATTTCGATGTCGCTCGTGTTAGGGTTCGGGTTTATAGCAAGTTCCTCAACATGTAACAGCACCATGATATCAACATCTCGCATACAGAAATCGGAACTCATAATTTATAAGATACAAACAATCTTGGGGGGTAAGTCTCGACGGAAGACGAGATTACTCACTAGAGTCTCTCCTATGGATGCCGTAACCCTCCATATGAGGGTTGATCTGCAAAATGACGGCCTATAGCTCTCCAAGCTTCTTTCGGCTGGAGAATCGATGTATTTTACGTTCACCTTTCTTCGACTTGCAAATGTGTTATCCTTGGTGACTGTGTTGATCTTGAAATAAACCCCTGTAATCAGAATACGGAATGCGATACCTTCCGCCTTGGCAACACCAATCATACTAAACCGGGACCGCATTTATGCATTTTTGTACTCAACTCGGCTCTCATCCCCATCAGCGTGCGCTTTCATGTCTTTCACATACTGATGGCTCCTCCGCCGCTCATATTCCAAGCCATAGCCATCTGACCGGCGAGGTTGACGCTCGGGATCCCCGGGCTAACTTCCTGATGGCGCCCTCGTTCACGGATGCCTGGAAGTTGGTGCTTTCCCCTCGATTTCGACTAGAGTGTGAACATTGACCAGTGGTGTGATACAGGACTGCGATAGAAGCTGAAAAGGAGCTTCTGCAATGTTTTTCGCAAGAACGGCGCACATTCGATGAGTTCGAACATTTCCTCTCCGAGTCAGTGACGAAGCCCCGCGCGCACGCCGACTCAAGGCTGACCTCTTTTTACATAGGTTCCGGACCTCTTCTCAAAATGCAATCCTCCTCGACTTCAATGCTGCTCGTGAGGTTGATGTGGAGAGTCGCCTTTGGGATGCGCACTTGAAAGTGAATAATCGGTTTCGCAAGCAGTTGATTCGCGTGAGTACCCCACCGAAGCTTTTCGCAAGTGTGGATTAACTGACTACGTTGGTGTACCAACTAGTTTCGCGAAGAGCACGGCAAGAAAAAACCAGTTGAAAGGCGAAAACTGGAACGCCACTACCTCGATTTTATCAAGTCAAGCCAGCGGTTTTATCGAGGATATATACAACATTTGTCATCGCGCTTTGGGGGGATTGTTGAGTTGGAGAGAGTAGCGCGCAAGTTCAATTTTGAAAGTAAGATAAGCACACAAGTTGCGCGCCGGGTTTCTAGACACGCTGACCCGTGGTTCTTTCTAGATCTGTCCGGCCAACCTCCTATCAAGCCCTCCAATGATCTGCGCAGGCTCATTCTCCAGTCATGTCACGCGACCCTTATTAGGCTGGGAGACCTCTCCCGCTATCGTGAATCGGAACTCGTCAGCAAAGATCGCAACTGGGGCCCTGCTATCGGTTATTATGATCTGGCGTCGGTGATCAATCCTGCATCAGGTGCATCTCAGAACCAGCTGGCAATCATCGCTCTCGCGGATGGAAATCATCTTCGTGCTACCTACCATTTATACAGAGCCCTTTCAGCTCAGGAACCTCATCCTACTGCGAAGGGCAATTTGGAGATAGAACTCCGAAAAATCATGAGCGCCTGGGCTAAACGAGAGCTGATCCGCCCCGAAGATGCCGGTATCCCTGGAAGGGCCTTGACTCCGTGGTTTCTCTATCTTCATGCCAAATGTTACAAGGGAACCGACTTCCCGGAGCACGATGAGTTGGAGAGTGAAGTTCTTAGTCAACTAGCAGTTGAAATTAGAGAACGGTCACTAGAAGGGACGCTTCAAAAGTTCTGTCTCATTAATATCGCGGCCGAGGATTTTGCTAAGGTCCGGTCAACTGGTAAGAGTTTGAAAAATTATCATTGCTCATGCACATGCTTACCCACCCCTCAGAGGAGTCTATCTTGGATGCACGTGTCTTTTTTCAACGCATCAATGTCAAGACATTTTTCACCTTACTGCAAATACTTTTAGTCGAATTAGAACGGACTGCTTCTTTCGAAGATTCAAACAGCAAAGACGCAATGCCTATCCCAGACAAGGTGTCTGTGGTTGCTCGCCGGATCCTGCCCGCGCTTCGCCATTACAGCTCCTGGCTACTTACAAATAGCCAGTCTCTAGTTGAGCAGAAAGAAGAAAAAGATTCGGCACTCTCGATTCAAATCAAAGAGTTCTGGAAAATATATGCTGGTACGCTGAGCCTGCTCGCATCCTCGTTCGATGTGGTCAGCCTTCCCGAGGTCGATTATCTATTGGAAGAAGACGAAGAAAGTCTTGGGTTTGCACCTCTGGATCAAGATGCCACTACTCGCCGGTACGTTGGATGTGGTGATCGGTCAAAGCCCCGGATGCATGATCTTGGAATTGAAAGAAGTCACCCCAACATGGAAATGCTCTATCGAATTCGTGAATTCGTGATTGATGGACTTGACTTAGTTGTGAGAGGAGTACGTGAAAAGCTCTTAAGATACCGTAAACAAACAAGCAGAATGCTAATCCTATTTAGAAAATTCCGGTGGCTCTTGTGGATAGTGAAGATAAGAAGACATTTATCTATCAGGAAGAGGATCTGCCTCCGCAGTTCTATTCCAGCCCTCATGGCCGCCAGCATGCACTTTCCGCTTCAAGCATCGAGCGTGAGGATATCCCACAGGCCATTCAAAATCCATACTCTGCCGCAGAAGCCCAAAGTCTGTTCGGCGGTTCCCAGTCTGCATCGGCATCTATGTCCGCCAACATGCATCAGATCGTTGAGGGCGTTGAGCGACTTGTTGACTCGGACACGTATGAAACCCCGGCCAATGACAAATTTACTTTCCTGAGCTCGACGGAGATATCAACACCTACGCATGTTTCACCCAATGCCAATGCTTATCCGTTCCGCAACGAAAACTCTCCACCACTCACCACCCCAATCGCCCCTCCACCTGGGCTTGGTCCACCAGTCATGAATGCAGCTGAGCCTCTCAGGGTGTCTTTAGCTCATTCATACACCCCACGGCCTGCCATCCCCAGCCTCCCTAGCATTTGGACGCCGCTGAGAGACACCGTCTCTCCACGTACGCCTCCTGGCCTTGGTCCACAACCTGGCCAGCGAGCTTCACTGCACCCTATAGCTTCTGGGAATGTCATGCCCCCTGAGCGCTCATCGTCGCAAGTTCAGCTAGCAAATGAGCTCATGCTCCGACAGCACCTGTTGGCCCAGACCCAATTTTCAAACCCGCAGGATGTAGGATCAATGCCCACGACGTGGGCGTCATCGAACATGCCTTATGCTCGTCCCGCCGCCAGCGGCTGGGGTCTTAACCGAACGACGTTTGGTGCATTCGAAATCCCGAGCCAAACGACGTCCAGTAGCCTAGGACATCCCTCATGGGCCAATGAAGCTTTCATCGCCAGCAGCCTTTCTGGGGCAACTCCTTACAGCTCCGAGATTGGAGGTCGCAAGCCTGCAACACAGCTTGGAGCCGTTGGCCAAACCCCACCATGTGGTCAAGGAGGCTGATTCGATTACATAAGCTCCCATTTTTTAGTTCTTCAATGTGCATATGCATATCACACTACCAACCGGGCAAGCTGTCAGAAACAATAGTGCAACTCGACCTCCAACTATCCGGGCATGTACTGTGTTTGTCTGTGGGCGTGGCTGTCTGTGTATTGCGATGCGACTTTGCTTGCGTTGAGTCTGCAGGCTCAGGCCTACTATGACAGTATGCACCTTTCAAACGACCAGATGAGAATTGAATTACTGCTAGCCGGGTCCCAAGTGGCAGATCCAACACTAGTCCTCTAGTGGCGAGAATATGGGAGTTTCCCCACAATGCAGGAACTTCTTCGGTTCTCGCTCTCCTCGCGATTTGCCTGGACGGATGCGTGCGTTCAACACGCGAATTGATCAATACGAGGATTTGAATATGGACAATCTGCCATTGGAGATGACACTTGTTTCGTTCTTTTTTCTGCCTTTTCTTCTTTTCGTGCAACATGGCCTGGAACCGTGTTATCCCCATCAACCTTAGCCTTGTCGTCTTTTCTTTCCCTGTGAATGAATTATGCGACACGAAGATACGGTGATATTTGAAATCATTATGGGCCTGCAGATTGCTTAGAGCCTATTACCCTCTTGACACCATCATGCCGGTTAGGCAGTTGAAATTCAATTTTGCATTTTAAGTGCTTCTTTGCATAGTAGTTTACGAGGGCCGTTTCATGTGAATAAGCTAAAGGTATTTCGCCCGAATATGTTCATTCATCAAGTGGCCGTAACAAGAATAGCCGATTTAAATCCGAGGACAAGCTTCTCAAGAAAGCATGGGTTTCGTTCGACATTTCGGACAGTACGTTGAAGTCATCAAGTTTAAGGAAAAAAAAAAGAAAAAAATTTGGGTATTGAGGGTTGAATCATCCAAAGTCAAGTAGTGCTCACCCGGTTGTTGAACTGGAATGCACGAATTCTTCCAAAATTGGGTTGGAAGATGTGTTGAAGGTATTTTGGTAGTCCATAGTTTTTTCGTAGCCTACATTACATACGCTTAGGAGCGAGAGTAGGTCTGCTTGGGGGAGGGGAAGCTGTGGATTGAAAGTTGTCAGCTAATTTTCCTGCAATGTATTGCTTTGGGGAAAACTCACGAAGGTCCAAGCTCCTGGATGCTCTTGCTGGCGAGCCACTGGCCCATGTCGATACTATCATCGAGGGACTTGCCCGAGACGACACCAGCGCAGAAGCCACCGGCGAAGGCATCACTGTATGGGATATAGGTTAGTTCATATAAATGCGGAGCTTTTCAGATCAACATCACTCACCCAGCACCGTTGGTGTCGATGATGGAATCCTTGGAGATCTCGCGGACCTTGAACTCCTTCACCTCGACGGTACCGGTAGCAGAGCCGATAGCGACGATGGTGGGGAGAGTGCCTTGGGTGACAATGGCAACACGGGGACGTTTGGTGTTCTTCTTGGGGAGCTGAGCAAGCTTCTTGGCGATCTCGGTGATATCCTCGGTGCCCCACTGGTGGCCCTCGGAGTAGGCAATAGCCTCAGTCTCGTTACAGAAGGTGTAGTCGGTGTAGGGAAGGACGCTATCCAACTGGTCCTTGAAGAACTGAGCAATGAAAGGAGCAGAGATGGAGAACATGAAGGTCTGATGAAGATCAATCAATTAGAAAAGAGGTCCAATGCACCAGAACACAAATGACATACCTTGTTCTTAGCGGCAGCCTCTTCACCAAGGGCGAGGATGGCGGGCACGCAGACAGTCAGGTGGTAACCACCGACATAGTAGACCTGGGCCTTCTCGACCAGAGACCAGACCTCGGGCTGCTCGAGGTGCTCAATCTTGTACTCATTGGCAGCAGCAAGGTGGGTGCACATGCTGCGGTCGTGGCCAGTGATGACAACACCACATTTACCGGTGGGCTGGGTCTCATCGACACGGTACTCGGTGTGGACACCAGCCTCCTCGCAAGTCTTCTTGAGCATGTCACCATACTTATCCTTACCGACACAGCCTATGTAGACAACGGACTGCTCAGGAAGCATGTACTGGGAGCATTGTCAATATCAATGTCGGAGATCACAGTGCTTTAATGCATACCTGAGCACCACGAGCGGTATTCTGAGCGGCACCACCGGGAATCAGCTTGGCGTCGCGGTTAAGCAGGTCCTCGTAGATACCCATGTGCTTGTCCTCGGCGAGGATAGCATCATTAGGCTTCAGCTCATACTTCTGCAAGAGAGCGGCATCGCTAAGTAATTTTATCAGCACCTGGAACTTAGCACTATGTTACTTCAGTTTCTTCCATACCCACGAGCCTGGATGTCTGCAAGCATGTTAGTTATTTTATTAACATGCTTAGGTGATACTTCACATACCGAGGAGAGGGTTCTCCAGACACAGAAGAGGGTAACCTTGAGGAGCAGCCATTGTGATATGAGTAATGATGAGAATAGAATTCAAGTTGAAAAGATGGGAGAAGGGTGGGAGGATATGGAGGGGTCGGCAGAAAAGAGCGGACTGCGTATCCCCGGTCCACCGGTAACAGCCGAACGACCTTGGGAGCTGCTTCTGTTCACTCCAAGCTCTTTGACGCTTTGATTGCTTCATATTTAATCCACCAAAATGGCTGGCAATTCTATGGACATCCCGCAGATCATCCAATCTGCAAGTATCAATCATAATCCCGACCCAGTTCATGACATCAACCCAGCCACCGCAGCTTCAGAAAAACAACCCGTCGTTGTAGGCCCAGACTCCGGAACAAACAGCATTGCCTCCGACATTGTACACCCAAGCCGAGCAATTCGACCCGCACACCGGCGACAGACACTTCCTCCTCTTCCGGATCTGCGCTTCGAACAGAGCTATCTGGCCAGCATTAAGGATGCTGACACCTGGGGACGAGTGGCGTGGATTACCACTAGGGATCAGGTATGCATTTGCTGCAATTCTGTTGGCCCATTTCGGATGTCAAAGATAAGATTTTTGGCAATTCCTGGCTAACATGTCAATCCTTTCCGTTCTAGGTACTTCTCCCTCTGATCCAAGGAACCGTCTGGACACTCGCGCTCTCGGGCTGGCGCTTCTGGAACCGCAACGCCTCAGTCAGCGGGCACACCCTCGGCAGCCGGGTTCGCAGATGGTGGTACGAAGTGAACAACTGGCATCTACCCCGAATGGGCTCGACTAGGGACCCTAAACTAGCGTCGCAGGTTGAAGATGTGAGTACCTGCTTCCCCAATCATCAATTTCCCATCTGATCTCGACTAGAAGTGGAGACGCTGACGCTCGAGGAGTTTTTGCAGTTTTACACAGCCCAGTTCTCCAATGCAGGCTCTGACTGAGGTCATCTCTGCGCTGGATGCGACTTTTTAGTATTCTAATTCGGGGTCCTACGTGGTGACTGGTGTCTGTGTACACTGTATTGCTTGCATTTTTGGCGTTCGCGCTGTTGGAGGCGTCTGCTGTTGTTGATTCCCATTTGCATTTCTTATATCCCTCGACTCTACAATATAGTAGATCATCTTATTTTCGCCATTTATCTGGCGTATGGGCAGACCTCATGGGCTGCCGCGTCAGAATAAAGTTGTGTTGTCAGTTGGCACAAGTCCGTGTAGATTTCGAGTACATCTTTATCAATTATATACAGCTTGTATTGCTGTCTACTGTGCATTGAAGGGCTTTGAACTTCCGTGCGGCCAACCGTTTAAGAAGAAAAAATTCGATGTTTTGACATCCAGTCCATCACTTCGTGTGCCGTTGGTGCCAATTTAGCACACGGCCTGATAGAAGTACCATTGTAATCCAAAAAGATCTATCTAGCAACGTTTCGTATAATGTACATCCCTAGTCTCTTTTCGGCCTGCTTGGAGCGGAAACTCTTATGCTGGAGTGAATCTGATCTTACAGCCAACTAGTTCAAATTTGATTCACGCCGTTGGAAGAAACGGATGGTGCAGCTACGGCTGCTGCTGAATGGGTCGGCCCTTGCGGTATCTGAGCAGGAGGGTGTGAAGGTGCAATGATGGACGGGGCCTGCTGCCCACCCGAGTTTTGTTCATGTGGGAGGGTCGTCAGCGGTGCTTGGGCGGAGGAAGCTGCTGCAGCTTCTCCGGCATCGTTCATATCGACGTCTTCAACGGAAGGTAATTTTTCAATCTGCACCTTCAGATTGCTAGATGCATCTCCCTTGCCATATCGAAGTTGGACGACAAGGCTTTCTGGCTCCTCGTTGCCGGTTGACTCATCTGCGCTTGCTTCGTCCTCTTCGTTGTCGCCTTCGACATCGTGCTCCAAATCATCTTCGACGCCTTGCCATTCATTGCCGCTTTCATTCGCGCTTGAATGGACTTCAGATGCATCCTCCAAATCATCGGCGTCGTATCCAGAGTACCCGTTGGGGTGGGTTGAAGTCCGAGCCCTCTGCGGTCTGCTTACTTCTTCTTCTTCATCTTCATCAAACTCTTCATTATCAGCTCCATCGCGTTGACCAGTCAACAGGGCCTCGCCATAGAGGCCCCCAGCGCGAGATCGAATCTGCCTTCCGCTTGCCGTGAATCGAGGGCGTCTAGACTCCGTGGAAGCTTCCGTAAGAGTCACATTCCTAGTAGAGCGGCGAGTGGAAGGCTCATCATCAGAAAAGATGCCTTCATCGTCCGAGTACGTGTATTTCAGTTTCTTGCCGCGTGTGCGACCTTCATACATGGAGAGCCCAGGATCCGGACGAACGAAGGCAGCTTTTCGTGCAAGGCGATATTCGCGGCGTCTCCGCTTCTAACTATTTATTAGCAAAATCAAGTTAAGTTTTGAGCTTGAAAATCACCTCTTCTGATGCCTCAAATCGAGGAATGGAAGCGCGAATCCTCTCGCTGAGCTTCTTGGAGTTTATGCCTTTTTCGCCCTCAAGTTTCTTCACGACGGCTTCCAACTCGGGAATACTGCCCGCGATGCTCCACCAAGTGTTGTGTTTGAGGGCCGGGTTACTTTCGCGGTAGAGACGAAAATGTGTATCATCGTGCCCTTCGATAAGCCAATAACGACGTTTCAGGCTATCGCGGCCCCAGGGTTGGACAGACAATGGTTGATTGAGATCATCATCGTGGCGCGCCTGCTTGTAGGACTCTTTAATCTTCGCCTGCACCGCTTCGGACGACGAAAGTGACCACAGTATCAAGGTCTTCAATAAACGCAGCTAAGACAAGTGTCAAAATCACAAATCGGGTGCTGTGGTAGGTCTCAAGAACATACTTGTTCCACGGGGGACATGGTCGCAAAGCTGCCACCCCCATGAAGTGGGTTTTTGCCTTCCCATTCTTTTGGCCACTGCGACTGATGTGTATGGATAGCTTCTTCGAGGGGACGGGTGAAATGGTTTCGCCTATGTATTCCAAACTATAGATTAGCACTTAACTTACAACCAATCCCGAGGGGGTAGAAAGCGCGCGTCTTCAGGCACTCCGCACGGCATCGGGCGACAGGTGGCGACCATACTCAACTTCCTTCTTGCGATTCAGAACAAGCCCAAGCAATGCGCATAGAAGTCTTTCAATGTATTCACCAGGGGGAGACTCCTCAATACCCTTCTCGATATCCTGTGGGCCGTAGTGTGGCACTCCTTTGGGGAACACTTCATGGAAACGCGCGCGGAACGCGACGATGAACTAAAGATTGCGACAACTCAGCAAGCGTGTCCTGTTGTTGACCAAACGCGTCATATACATGTCCGTAGATCAAGCAATGCGCAAATTCTTCTAGCGAAGGAAACTCACCGCGATATCGGGGTTATCGGCCACGACGTATTCATGCGGAGGTGAGGGTTCCCGCTTTGGCGGAGGCGTTTCAGACTCCTTCTTGAAGTATTTTGCGATACCAGTTTGGTGGTCAATCGCCATAGTAGCTTCGTCATCCGTTGGAGGTGCCGATGATAATGATGAGAGTTCTGAATCTGAAGGCATGGTGAAAGTGATTGGGTAGGTGGTAAAGGAAGAAGTAAGTTGCGCGCAATCGAGCGTCACGTCTGCACCAAGCTTGCGCCCGAAGGGCGATAATTTAAAGGTTCCAGACACAACTGCTCCCCTTGCTTGTAACCGGTTTTTTCTACAGTCTCTCGCAGTCTTTTTGAAGAGCATGTCATGATTCAAACAAATGAGTTATTGGCATGGAAGCAGCTTGGATTTAGATTTCTGTGTAGAGATAGAGCTCAAGAGAGCTGATGAGGGACTTATAAAAGCTACATTGGAAATTTTTCAAACAAGGAATCAGGCTAAAAAAGATAATAGCACAGTAGGAAATGGATGCAACTGGCTGAGACGACATTACATGTCTGGTGCTTTCATGCTAGAAGTACTCGACGAGCTCTGTCAAACATTTGATATTGATATCTGTATTGCTTGACAGGCAAGTGTGGCATAAACATGTTTTGAGTCCAATTCGATTGGCAATCCCATCACATCAAACCCATAAACAAAAGCATGGAATATACAGACACAGCTGTTCCGAGGTCCTAGGAAGAAAGTGACGCTCCAAAACGCAGAAGGCTTGGCGATATCAGGTCTTGGCAATCACGTGTGTGTGATGACATAACTTGCCCTTCCAAAATCTACAGGGCTTGCACCAAAAGAGTCGCTTCGGGCATTAAAAAATAGATTGTATGTAGATTTTTGAGTCGACTACATTTTCATATAATCCATTGCATGTAGTAGAACATTTAAGATCTGTAAAACCATACAGATCCAGCGATTAAAGGCCTATCTTGGAAATACCTGCATCGCTGTAGTTCAAGCCAATTCAAGTAAGCGACCATGCGCTATACCTGATTAGGTTAGATTAGCGACCACACCCTAAAGCCCACACAAGTCCCCGTGTCCGATGATTTCTCAACTCGTCAACGACAAGCCTATATCACTTCGAGGTACGCCTACTACTTTTCTACGACACTTCTGTCCGGCCTCCATACTAACATAGGATCCTCGTCTAGACAGTCGCCATGGGTCGTGTCATCCGCAACCAGAGGAAGGGTCGTGGCTCCATTTTCAGTGAGTGCGCCCGCAAATCATTCTAGCACGAAATTTCGAGGCTGCGCACCCTGAGCAGCGAGGAGGAAAGCAAGAAAACCATTGGGAAACCACACAGATTCGCGAGGAGATTGGAGTGCTGATGTCGAATTTTTCTCTACTTTACAGCGGCCAACACCCGCCTGAACAAGGCCCCTGCCCAATTCCGGACCCTCGACTTCGCTGAGGCTCACGGTTACACCCGTGGTGTCGTCAAGGAGATCATCCACGATGCCGGCCGTGGTGCTCCCCTCGCCAAGGTCCAGTTCCGCCACCCCTACAAGTTCAAGATGATCACCGAGACTTTCATCGCCAACGAGGGCATGTACACCGGCCAGTTCATCTACGCCGGTAAGAACGCTGCCCTGACCGTCGGCAACATTCTTCCTCTCGCCTCCATGCCCGAGGGTACCGTCATCACCAACGTCGAGGAGAAGGCTGGTGACCGTGGTGCGCTTGGCCGTACCTCCGGTAACTACGTTACTGTTATTGGCCACAACCCCGAGGATGGCAAGACCCGTGTCAAGCTCCCCTCCGGTGCCAAGAAGGTCATCAAGAACACCGCTCGCGGTATGGTTGGTATCGTTGCCGGTGGTGGCCGTACCGACAAGCCTTTGCTCAAGGCTGGTCGTGCCAAGCACAAGTTCGCCGTCAAGCGCAACTCTTGGCCCAAGACTCGTGGTGTTGCCATGAACCCCGTCGATCACGTAAGTTCCATTCTATACACAGATTGAATCACGTTTAGGACTGCAGGATCTAACATTTCTCCCTACAGCCTCACGGTGGTGGTAACCACCAGCACATCGGTAAGGCCTCGACCATCTCCCGCTACGCTACCCAGGGTCAAAAGGCTGGTCTCATTGCCGCCCGCAGAACTGGTCTGCTCCGCGGTACCCAGAAGACCAAGGATTAAGGGTGCTTTTTCTTGGAGTTATTCTTGTGACGGGTTGAAAATGGAATTCTGCTATGAGACAAATGTACTTAGGCGCCTGCGGATGAGCGTCTCATGCGCTCTTAGCGAATTAAGGTTGTGGACACCATCCTTTTTCTTGTCGAACAAATAATTGGGTGATGGAAAGAGGTCCAGGGTTGGCCTCTACAGGGCAGAAACGAAATCAAAAAGTCCTCCGGGCTGTGGAATGATACACCTTTAACTTTTTTACTCAGTCTTGTCCATCACCCTACTAAATATTACAGTCTGCCGTAGTTCGTCGGCATATACATTGCACTGCGTGATCGCATGTCGCTATAGCATTTTACCAATGTCGTGCAACAGTGAGACTCTTGCTTGCTTCGTCCCCCGAAAGTTTCAGGACATATAAGGATTTTGTAGTTGTCGATGGATGCATGCATGCATGCTCGCTGATGTATGGTGATTCTTCCCAACCGTCGCGCGATCGGGAGCAGGCACAGATACACTTACTATGTACCTTGTTTTCTCCAAACTGTTCACCAGCAGATGAAAGTCATGTATCGTATAAACGAAGTTACCGGTGCAAACGTAGAGCAACACGGGGCCAATGATAAGGGACGATCTATCTGCTCCACACTCCACCCTCCTTAGAATTGTAAAACTTCGTCTTTCCGTCTACTCAAAGCTCACTCCACATACCTAGTGGGAAACCATTTGGAACATTCTTACCATGCCATCTCCACTAGATGAACAGGCCATAAGCCAACTACAGTCCCAACAGTCAGAACTGCTCGACAAGATTGACGAGCTACGCGCTATTGGGGTAGGAGGCCTTGTGGAATTACCTCAAATCATCGTCTGTGGTAATCAGTCGAGTGGGAAAAGCTCCGTGTTGGAGGCAATCTCCAGAGTGCGCTTTCCATCCAAGAGCAATATCTGCACTCGGTTTACGACCGAAGTCGTTCTTCGCCGAAGCCCACACAACAGAATCAAAGTATCAATTGAGCCAGGGGAATCCAGGAAGGATGAGCAGGAACAGCAGAAGCTACGAGCCTTCACCTCCGAGTCCTTTCCCTCCAGTGGGGACCTTCCCACGCTGATCGAAACCGCGAAGGAATGCATGGGGCTTTCCAGCACCGATCCTTCAAGCACGGGATTCAGCGACGATGTGCTTAAAGTTGAGATCTCGGGTCCTGAAAAGCCAGAGCTGACTCTGGTCGACCTTCCCGGGCTCTACTATTCCAGCAGCAGCGAACAAACTGAGCAAGGAATGAAGATGGTTCAAAAGCTGACAGAGAAATACATGAAAAGCTCGCGGAGCATCATTCTAGCCGTCATCAGTGCAAGAGCCGATTACCATGTCCAGAAAGTCTTGAACATCGCTCAGTCTTTTGATCCCAAATACGAGAGAGTCTTGGGTATTGTCACGCAGCCTGATATCCCCGAAGCGGGCTCGGATGAAGAAGAAACCTATGTACAATTTATTAAGAACGAAAAAGTCAAGCTGCAACTTGGATGGCATGTATTGCGCAACCGCTCGTTTGAGACACGCAGCATTTCCGATGATGCGCGAGATGCTCAAGAAAAGAAGTTTTTCGAAAAAGGACGATGGGCTTACCTCCCTCGGGACCAAGTTGGCATTGAAAGTCTGAGGCATCGTCTCAGCAAGATTCTACTTGGTCATATTCGTCGCAATCTTCCTGGTCTTATTGCGGATATCCAGGAGAGGATTTCTCGTAACGAGCAGACACTGGCAAAAATGGGCGCGCCACGCACAACTCTTCAAGAGCAGCGCTATTTCCTTGTCGATATCAGCAGCAGATTTGCACGAATCACAAACCAGGCCTTGAATGGATCGTACGTTGATGAATTTTTCGGTGGATTCAAAGACCTTACGGCGACCACAGAAGAATCTCCTTTCCGCCGACTGCGTGCAGTAGTTCGTGAGCTTAATGAGTGCTTCGCTGAAGCGATGAGCATTCGCGGGAACCGGCGAATCATTCAGTTCCCTGGACAGCCAGCACCAACTGAGGACATCGAGCAAGAGAGATCCAAGCCTTACATGGATGATTGGATCCCGCAATACATTTCCCAGGAGTCTCTTGTGGACGAGATCAAAGAACAAGCCCGGAAAAGTCGAGGAATCGAGCTTCCAGGTAGTGTAAACCAGCTGCTTGTAGGGAGTTTGTTCCGGGATCAGTGTGAGCCCTGGGAAGCAGTTGCTAAATCTCATTTGTTGAATACTTGGGATTCGGTTGAGTACTTTATTCAGCTAGTGCTAAAGCACCTCACGGACGATCACACCCGTCCCTTGCTCATGCGACACCTCATCGGACCGGAAATGGAGAAGATGAAAGAGTCTTTGTTAGCAAAGCTCAGCGAATTGACTTCGTACACCAAAAGGGGCCATCCGCTCCCCGTGGGGCAATCATTTTTTTCCAAGATCCAGGAGTCCAGAAAGAATCGGCAAATTTCTGCATTAAAACGGAGCCTCGGCTTGTCTGGATCTTATCCCCCAGCGGGAGAGGATACTCGAAATACCTTTGATGTCCGAGATCTGGAGCGAGCAACGTCCCAGCTACAGTCATCCAGCGATCAGTTTGCAGCTGCAGAAATTATTGATCAAATGCAGGCATACTACGAGGTGAGCTGGACATGCTTATTTGAAGTGAAAAATCGGGTTATTCTAATAAGCCACATTTGCAGACTGCGATCGTGACGTTTGTTGACAACGTCGCCATCTTGGCCATCGAAAATTGCCTTCTTTGTCCTCTGGAGCATATTTTCACCGGCAAGACTGTGCTTGGCATGGATGATCAACAAATTCAAGAAATTGCAGCAGAGCCATCAAACATTCAGAAGGATCGAGAACGTCTGAATGAAGAGCTCAAAAAGCTCCGAAAGGGAAGGCAGACTCTCAATGCTTTCAGCATCGCGGACTCTTTGCTGCGCGGCCGTCCTGTCTTGGGTATTTACCTTCCATTTATCCGCTGGTGGAATCATAGGACTAATCGAAACATCATTTCAGCAGGACTGTCAATCACCCGAGCCCATACTCCTAGCCCAACAGCCACGGCGACGATAGCTCAGGCGGTGCCCATTGCTCCTCGCTCTGGTCTCTTCCCGCAAGTTTCAACTCCTGCCACCGGTAAGTAGCAATTACAGATATCATATCAATGTGCAAACACTGATTGTTCAACCAGTACCCGTCGCATCACCTTTGCCCGTCCTTTCTTCAACCCAGAATAAAGGATGCTTTGGTACAAGTCAGGGCTCTATATTCAGTTCCAGTCTGGGGAGCCCAGAGCCATCCAATCTGTTTAATTTGCCGCCCGGTACAATATGGCCCACTGGAAAATTGTCTAGCTCAACGGTCACTGGGGGGTTTGGTTTGAACAATCAAGGGTTAGGCTCCTCCGCTTCATTCGGAAATTCGACCAACTCAGCTGATACAAAGGATATGAGACATCTCTTTGATGTGAAAAAGCTTCCAGATACCCAGGGCTTTAATAGAGTGTAAGTTGGAGGATGCGTAGGAAAGGGCTATTCTGATTCTTAGTCGCTTGTGTAGGTATCAAGAGAAAGATTTGAGCTCCTCAGGCCCTGCAATAAACTGTTATCACAGCATTTGCTTTACGTGGCCGTTTATAAATTATTCCCATGAGGTTTGTAGATCCTATGCATCTCTTGGACTAAGTGAATTCTTAGTCTCTCTTGAAGAATGAAACGACAAGAAAATTTATGCTGACATCGGCCTGGCCAGGAGCTCCGACTCGGGGACTATGCGCGAAGGAACCAATATGTCCTAATTTAGTTACTTGGCTCATGAGTGCTGCTCTATTTGGGAAATAAAAAAATAGCTTTCTTACCAAAAATGGATGGTTCTTTCCCTTACTAGTTGATGTGTAGTAAGGCTAGGGTAGTGCTCTATATATAAATCACGACCCCGAAGACATGTAGTGTAACCCCAAATAAAGCCGGGGACGTAAGGTACACAGCGTAGCATGGAACTCATTGAATCCCGATGCACACCATATGTACCGTAGGTGATGGCCCTGATGCACTGTATACACCATTTTACATTGAAGCATAGGAGCAAATCTGTTCGTTGATTGGTCAGTTTGGGATCAATCTCATCAGACTTCGCGAGGCTCACCTTTACCCGGAGTTGACGGCATAATGAATAAATGACCTCATAGAGATTTACAATTTGAATACCTCGTGGATATGACAGGTCTATCCAAGCCCCCAGAAATTCCTCGTATCAGCTGGAACTCCACCAGCTCGAACTCCACCAGCTCAGAACGGTGGCAAGCCATCGCCACCCGCGACATAACCGCCAACAGCTTCGTCTACGCCGTTCGCACCACAAAAATCTACTGCCGTCCCTCATGCCCAGCACGACTAGCCCGCCGTGCCAACATTCAATTTTACGACAGTGCTCCGCAAGCAGAGAAAGCAGGCTTCCGACCCTGCAAGCGCTGCCGTCCGCATTCGGGTCAGACGGCGGCTCAAAGCAACCCCCAAACCGCCGTGATTGGCAAAGCCTGCGAGTCAATTCGGAAATTTCTGACGACAGGGTTGAAACCAAAAATCAGAGATCTGGCGGCGGAGGCTGGCTTGACACCCAGTCATTTCCATCGTGTGTTTAAGAAACATCTGGGCGTGACGCCTGGCCACTATGCTGAGCGCCTTCTGCTGCCGAAATCATCGCCATCCGATGACGATGATGTTTCTGGAGTTGAAACACGGCGCTCAGCCTCTGGGGATAGGGATGAGATCTTCGAAGAGAAGAATCGCGAGAAGGGGGCTGGCCTGGCGGCAGGGGAAAATAGTCCATTGATGAGTGGCTGGAATGAGTTTGATGCTCTGCTGGCTTTTGAATCGGAACCAACGTGGGTGCCTGGCTTAGCTCTATTGACCCACGAATGATGTTGGGGGATGTTTTTGATGGGACCACATGATTTATGAGAGATGGACCGGAGAACCAGCATCGATCCATTTCAACCAATCGTACAGTCCAATCCGAATTGAACGATAATGATACCGGGGTGCCGTTTTAGATTTGGCATTGGCATTGATGCATGATGCAGCCCGATGGTCTTAATTCTACTCCGTGCTCCGTCTTCGTACATAGGCCAAAGTCCAGAAGCCCACCGTGGCTGTGGATCAACTGAAACATTTTTGCACAACCGTTTTCGAAGCGCCTACAAGTACTGTATGTTGTAAGGAATGCTAGTATATGTACGGAGTACAGAGTCCACATTATCATGTCCATGACAATTGGATGACTTCTTTTCATCCAGACTAGATTGGGGTGGCAAGAGATAATTATAGTAATTTCCTCTGCAAATTCCAAGCTTCCAATGGGATCTAGTGGCTTTCCACTAGACCCACTAACGCGTGTCACAGTCTTAGGGTGTTTTCCCCCCTGGTCTCAGGCTATTTAAGTCTGTGTCTACTCTGTCCACTAGGCAAGGGTACTTGTGGACGAAAATACAATGATTCCCTTGGAGAAACTGCACTGGAATGGCTTATTTTTTTTTTTTTTTAGCTTGTTTAATTTTTTTTTAAGCAATTAGAGCAGATTGAGAATACAGTGACTTCCCCACTGATTGACAAGATCAGCATTACTGCATAAAAATACGCATTGTATTTCTTGAAACTTTGTGAGACGAAGTATTTAAGGTGGCCTATTACCCTATAGTATCCTATTTTATCATGATTGCGTGCCCCCCCCCGGGATCATTTAATCTATCCGTTCCCAACCTCCTTTTCCTCACCCAGTCTTTTCCCTTGACTCTTTTCCTAGTGCATTACTAGTTGAACATTCTCTACTACTTTATCTTGACAACTCTACGTACAATCGCTGGGTTCGACAATCCTGCTACAGACCATTGCCAACCCCAATCTCACAAAATGAATGTGAACAAGAGGATCGGCAGATTCAAACAATGGGCTGGAGAACGCATGGGCGGAGAGGCCAAGACCTTCCTTTCTGAGGATTTCAAGGCAATGGAGACGGAGATGGGTGTCCGACATGAAGGTAAGAGGTGATCACCCTCCACACCTGCAGTGTATCCATACTGACCCACGGTCTCCTTCACTAGGCGTTGACCGCATTCATAAATCTATGACCTCTTATGTCAAGGCTATCTCAAAGCGCAATGATGGAGAGGACAAGGAGAAGACTCTCCCGATTGGTCATTTGGGAAGCAGTATGGTGGCCCACGGCGAAGACTTCGATGGGAACTCAGAATACGGACAGTGTCTGATCAGTGAGTCCTGAACATGGCCGGGGGAGTGCGGGAGAGAAATCGCGTCGCTAACAATTCCATCAGCGTTTGGGCGCACCGAGGAGCGTATTGCGCGCATCCAAGAAAGTTACATTACGCAGGCGACTTCAAGCTGGCTTGAGTCCCTCGAGAGATCGCTAACTCAAATGAAGGACTTGCAGGTATGCCTTCCGACTCTCACAATTAGTGGAAGGTTGAAGGTCACGTATTAACCTGCCTCATAGCATGCTCGCAAGAAGCTCGACAGCCGGCGGTTGGCATACGATACTTCTCTTTCGAAGATGGAGAAGGCCAAGAAGGAGGACTTCCGCGTGGAGGAAGAACTACGCTCACAAAAAGTGAAGTACGAGGAAGCTAGCGATGACGTGCTGCGTCGCATGCAGGACATCAAAGAAGCGGAAACCGACAACGTGATGGACATGGGGGCGTTTTTGGACGCTCAGCTTGAATATCATGAACGGTCCCGCGAGGCCCTACTGCAGCTCAAGAATGAATGGGCTGGGTACGTATTGATCTTGGCCGCTGCATCTTGTGTGGGATACTAACACTGAAATAGGTTCAGCCAAGTACAGGCTCCTCCCCGTCATCCTCCCCGTCCTCGTGCCAACACTGCCTACTCGTACCTGGAACGGTATGAGCCATTGCAGGAAGAGTCGATAAACGCCACGGAGACTCGACCTTCCATCCGGTCTACTAGATCTACCACGCCGTACTCCGAGTCGCTCCCGCGAGAGATGTACGGAAACAGCAATGGGGGTTCACGTCCTATTCTCAACAGAGTTTCCACCTTCGAAGGCCCTGCTCAACTGCGACAGGAACAATCTCCACATGCATCGCAATGGAACCAGCAGCGGACTGCCGGCGAGAATCTGGGCGGGTTTAGACGTCGAAGCAGTACTCATGTTGGAAGTGGTCGAATCTCTGCGGATCCTTACGCCGACTCCGAAGAGGTCAGCTCATATGGCCGTTCTAGCCCCGAGCGGATGTTTAGCGGGGGCGGGTCTATTTCGTCAGCAACATCTCACGGCAGCATGCCATCCCGAAGACCCAGCGCAAACAACTTGAACAGTCTTGGACAGAAGAAGGCTCCACCTCCCCCTCCACCATCTCGTGCGAAGAAGCCCCCTCCACCTCCACCCATTAAGCGGTCCCTTCTTGCGGCACAGAATGCGTAAGGGAGCGTTCTGGAAGTGTAACTTATGTCTATTCTTGATCTTGATCATGGGGGTTTGGAGTTTGGGAGCTTACGATCGGTCGCGGTGGTGATGTCTTATTATTATCACTCCGTCATTCATCCCTTTAGTCTTACATGGGATTGTCCTGTCCTTTCCTTGATTGTCCATTCTGCTTCGCTTTACTCTTCCACGTTGGTTGATGCCCGTGGAGGCCTGGAGAATTCCCCGGCTACTTTAGTCTCAATGCAGAGTTATTAGAATGATGAATAAAAAATGTAGATACGGATGTCTTTTCTAATGAACAGGTAAATCAATTCAAGTCCTGGTTCGAATTGCAAAGGTTGAGCATGAAGCATGCTGGGGTTTTTGGCGGCCTTCATTTCCATCTCAAGAGACTCTGAAGGATCAGCTAAAAGAGACATCACCAGACTGCCCAAGTAGCCGACTGGTCTTGTTCAGTGTCGATCGTGCGTGTGCCCGTTGACAGCAAAAGTGGACCCAGGTCTGTCTAGCTTTACAATGTGTTGTCAATTATAGTGTTATTGCAAGGAAGACCATTCAATACAACATCGATTCAATGAGTTTGAATAGATCAATCCAATCAATCTTCTCTCACCACTGCACCTGATGGTAGCCTTATCCCAAACCGGTACGGTACCAGAACTGCGCTGCCCCAGGCCACAATCCAGCACGGGCCACTCACGTGCCCGCTGACTAACGTCCTTTGCAAAAAACTCCTTGCCAGGCTGTTGTCAGTCCTTTGCTCTGAGCACCCAGATTTCCCCGAGCCTGTCGCGCAACTCCGTTCCCTCCCCATCTCCATTTTCATCCATCCACTTTTTGAACGCGCCCACCCAACGCGCCTTCAACTTTGGAGTTCCCTTCACACCTTGCCTTACCCTGGGAACTCGCCTCTATACTCGCTTTCTTTGACTCCCTCGTCCCTGAAAGTACCCGCTCTCCCCATCGCATCGGAAGCTCCGACCACGGCCCCAAACATCACGCTTTCCATCGCCAAGCATCCCATACAGTCGCTTACTGATCGCATTCACGATAATTAAGCTTACCCCACACCGTTGCTGCCAATTTATTTCAACCGCGATCGCCACTTCACTTGCCTGCGCGACTGGGTAATTGAAACCAGGTGGAGACCGTGACTTTCCACAACTCCGCATCGACCTTGACATTGCCCACCCCAACCTAGATCGCTTGCTCATGAATTGAAAAAATAAAATTACACGCGTCGCAATGGCTTCCTTGCACCCAGCGCCAAACATGGCGCCTGGCAACGTGAGCTTGCCGGCTAACCTCACGCAGCAAAATGTCCAGGAGATACTCCAGGTAAGCTTGTCGCATTACACCAGTACGCACCGTCGTATAAAATTGTTCAGTCTTTTAATACGCCTTCCAATGCCTTGCCCGCCACCATCACTGTCATCTCTAACACTGTCACAGAAATACAAGCAAATGCAAGAACAAGGCGTTCGTCCTGATGACCCGGAGTTTCTCAAGGCCCACAACCTACTTGCTGCCATTCAACGGCAGCAGACCTTTCAAAAACAACAGCGCATTGCTCAGCAGCAGGCTCAGCAGCAGCGCCAACAGCAACAGCTGAACGGTGCTACACCCGAAGCTGCCAATGGCTCTCATGGTAAGCTTCGTCATTGACTCTCTTGGTCCCCTCGAATCCCAAGGTCTTCCACAGGGCTGATCAATCTTCTCACAGGTCGCACACCTTCAGCTTCCTCGACTACCGCACCCATTGCCACCAATGCATCGGCAGTAGCTATGAACCAGAAGAATGCAACAGTTGGCAGCGGTAGCTTTTCACCAGAGCAACTGGCTACTCTTCGAAACCAAATCTTGGCTTTCAAGATGCTATCCAAGAACCTAGCCATTCCCTTACGCGTCCAAGAACAGCTTTTCCAAAACCAGAAGAAGTCTCAACCGCCTACTCCCACAGACAATGTTACCGCAGCCGAAAAGCTCATTGAAGCCGCTAATGACGGCGCTGGTAGCCAGGCTGCAGAGAGCTCAGATGTTGAAGTCATGACCAGAGAGTGGTATGACAACTTTCAGTCTCCTTATGACTCGTTGTCTAAGACCATCAGCTACACTGATCACGCCAACCGCGCGAATCGTGTGCGCATTCCTGCTCTCTTGCCACCTGGAATTGACTTGGAGCAGATGCGCGAGGATCGTGAGATCACATTGTATAATAAAATCACCGCCCGCAAAGCAGAGCTTGCCCAACTTCCCGCCAACCTCGGTGTATGGGACACTAGCAAGAGTGACGCGCCAACATACGATGACTCCCTCAAACTGAAGGCCCTGATTGAGTACAAATCACTTAATCTTCTACCCAAACAGCGACAGTACCGCAAGCAGCTCCAGAGCGAGATGTTCCACTACAGTAACCTCGGAATGACAGCCAATCGCTCGAGTCACCGCCGCATGAAGAAGCAGTCACTTCGCGAGGCTCGTATTACTGAGAAGCTTGAGAAACAACAGCGTGATGCTCGTGAATCCCGAGAGAAGAAGAAGCAGTACGATCAGCTGCAGGCCATCCTCAACCACAGCGCCGATCTGGCCAACGCTTCTGTCCAGCAACGTACGCGCTCGCAGAAGCTGGGTCGTATGATGATCTCACACCACCAGCACATGGAACGCGAAGAGCAGAGGCGCGTGGAGCGAACCGCCAAGCAACGTCTGCAGGCTTTGAAGGCCAACGACGAAGAGACTTACCTGAAACTTTTGGGACAGGCCAAGGACTCACGTATCTCTCATCTGCTCAAGCAGACCGATAACTTCCTCAAGCAGCTTGCTGCATCCGTCAAGGAACAACAGCGCAATTTGGCCAATCGTTATGGCGAGGCGCATGAGTATGACGACGAGTCTGACCAAGAGATCGCCGATAGTGAAAACGAGGATGACAATAACACTACCACTGGCAAGAAGAAGGTTGACTACTACGCTGTCGCTCATCGCATCAACGAAGAAGTTACCTCGCAGCCTGACATGCTCGTGGGAGGTACTCTCAAGGAGTACCAGATCAAGGGTCTGCAATGGATGATTTCACTGTACAACAATAACCTCAACGGTATTTTGGCTGACGAGATGGGTCTTGGAAAGACGATCCAGACCATCAGTTTGATTACTCACATCATTGAAAAGAAGAAGAACAATGGGCCGTTCTTGGTCATTGTTCCACTGTCCACGCTCACGAATTGGAACAACGAGTTTGATAAGTGGGCGCCCAGCGTGAGCAAGGTAGTCTACAAGGGCCCACCCAATGCACGAAAGCAGCAACAGCAACAGATCCGCTGGGGCAACTTCCAGGTTCTTCTCACCACCTACGAGTACATCATCAAGGATCGTCCGGTTCTCAGCAAGATCAAGTGGACACACATGATTGTCGATGAAGGTCACCGTATGAAGAACACACAGTCCAAGCTCAGCAGCACTCTCTCGACCTACTACACCAGTCGATACCGTATCATTTTGACCGGTACCCCACTTCAAAACAACTTGCCCGAACTATGGGCTCTTCTCAATTTCGTCCTCCCCAATATCTTCAAGTCTGTCAAGTCGTTTGACGAATGGTTCAACACTCCCTTTGCAAATACTGGTGGCCAAGACCGCATGGATCTGAGTGAAGAAGAGCAACTTCTCGTCATTCGTCGTCTTCACAAGGTTCTTCGGCCATTCCTTCTCAGGCGTTTGAAGAAGGACGTCGAGAAAGATTTGCCTGACAAGCAGGAGCGTGTCATCAAGTGCCGATTCTCTGCTTTGCAGGCCAAACTGTACAAGCAACTTGTAACCCACAACAAGATGGCTGTTACCGATGGTAAGGGCGGCAAGACTGGAATGCGTGGTCTCAGCAACATGCTTATGCAGTTGCGAAAGCTCTGCAACCATCCTTTCGTCTTTGAGCCTGTTGAAGACCAGATGAACCCTACTCGCATGTCCAACGACCTCCTTTGGCGGACAGCAGGAAAGTTTGAGCTGCTTGATCGTGTTCTTCCCAAGTTCCGTGCTACGGGCCACAGAGTCTTGATGTTCTTCCAGATGACTCAGATCATGAACATTATGGAGGATTTCCTTCGCCTTCGTGGAATGAAGTACCTTCGCCTGGATGGATCCACCAAGTCTGACGACCGATCGGACCTCTTGAAACAGTTCAACGCTCCTGGGTCTGAATACTTCTGCTTTTTACTTTCCACCCGTGCAGGTGGTCTTGGTCTCAACCTGCAGACTGCAGACACTGTAATTATTTATGATTCGGATTGGAACCCCCACCAGGATTTGCAAGCCCAAGATCGTGCCCATCGTATTGGTCAGAAGAACGAGGTCCGGATTTTACGGCTTATCAGCTCCAATTCAGTTGAAGAGAAGATTCTCGAGCGTGCACAGTTCAAGTTGGACATGGATGGCAAGGTTATCCAGGCCGGAAAGTTCGATAACAAGTCCACTAATGAAGAGCGAGATGCACTTCTTCGAACTCTTCTGGACACTGCGGAGGCTGCGGAACAGATCGGTGACCACGACGAAATGGATGATGACGAGCTCAATGAAATTATGGCACGATCCGAAGAAGAAATTCCCATCTTCCAGGAGATCGACAGGCAGCGAATCGCGAACGACCAATATGGTCCTGGCCACCGCTACCCTCGACTGATGTCCGAACAAGAATTGCCTGAAATTTACATGCAGGAGGATAATCCTGTCACCGAAGAAGTCGAGATTGAGGTCACTGGCCGTGGTGCTCGTGAGCGTAAGGTGACCAAGTACGATGATGGTCTCACCGAAGAGCAGTGGCTGATGGCTGTGGACGCCGATGACGACACTATTGAAGAAGCGATCGCACGCAAGGAAGCTCGTGTTGAGCGTCGCAAGTCTAACAAGGCTGGACGTGACGGAGATGACTCTTCACCCGAGCCGTCGATTATTGATGATGACGAGACTCCTCAAAAGCAGAAACGCCGTCGTGGTCCTCCTCCCAAGCGCAAGGCCGAGGAAATTGTGGAAGAAACTCCACAACCCAAGCGCAAGAGAGGCCGCCAACCGAAGGTTCCGGATACACTCAACCCCACTGACCGTGCCAACTTGACTCGCATTCTTGACACCGTGATTCAGTCGCTTATGGACATGGAGGCTGAGGTGCAACCAGAGGGCTCTGATAGTGAAGAAGGCCCCATGGTCCGTTCAATCATCGAACCCTTCATGAAGCCCCCGCCGCGTTCTTATTACCCCGACTACTACATGATTATTCAAAATCCCATCGCTATGGATACGATTCAGAAGAAGGTCAAGCGGGCCGATTACCAGAGTTTGAGGGAATTCCGCAACGACATCCACTTGCTTTGCCAGAATGCCCGCACATATAACGAGGATGGCAGTGTGCTATTCCAGGATGCCAATGACATTGAAGTAAGTTAATATTCTCAATGTTTAATCTCATCACTAACGATACAACAGACCAAGTGCTTGGTGGAATTGCGACGACTGACCGAAGACCATCCCGAGTTTTCCAACTTTGAAGATCAGTATGCCGGCGGTGATGGCTCGACCGAGTTTGCCTCGGGCGCCGACACTCCGCTTACTGCTGGCACGCCAGGTCAGCCGAAGCTGAAGCTCACCTTCAACAATCCCAACCGGGATAGCTCCAGCACTTTAAACGGTGCTGAGTATGGCATGGGAGAGTGACTTGTTTCAGATTGAAGGGGACAACCGAACCGAAGCACCCCTCGTTTCATCTTGCGCCTGTGACTTTTCATGTTGCTCGTGCATTCTTCTTGTCATGTGTAATCCGAAAATATTCTTATCTTCCACTTCTGTGCCATCTAGGAAAGGCGTTTTTCCCCCCGTGAATGTTTTGTTTTTTGAACTCGTGGATGGACTTCGGGAGGATGGCGCTGTATTTGTTCCAAGCGATTGATTTCCCTGGGGTGCGATGTCTTGACAGCGACAAGTTTTGCTTTGTGCAAGACCACCCTTGTATTTGATGAGTATGTACCTGCAAGCTAGGAACAATTCGAATCGATTTGAACCATGTACCTTGTACTGTGATTCCACGTCTCTTGCAAGACATATAATTTCAACGAGCCAAGTTCGGTCCGTATGCGTGGCCAAGATGCATGTCGATGCTCACCGACCTTTGAAATCATAGAACAAGGGCAAGGGTATACTAGACGACACTCCCTGTCGATAGGCATGGACAGTTTTCAACCTAGTCCTCGCCTCATAACCATGTCTACAAACAAAGACCTAGCTGGCAAAGTTGCACTAAGTCAGTAGCACACCACCACTGCAAGCCCATACTAACCGAAAACAACAATCACAGGCTCCAGCCGCGGCATCGGCGCCGCGATAGCCCTGAAATTCGCCCAACGTGGAGCCGACATAGCCATCAACTACGTCTCCAATGCTCCGGCAGCCAATTCCGTCGTCGAGCAGATCCGAGCCCTTGGCGTGCGCGCCCTCGGCTTCAAAGCCGATGTCTCACAGGGAGAAGAAGTGAAGACCATGTTCGAGACTGTGCACCGCGAATTCGGCCGTCTCGACATCGCAGTCAGTAACTCGGGCATCGAGCATTTCGGGAATCTCTCCGAGGTCAAGGGGAGCGACATCGATGCTATCTTTGCGGTTAATGTCAAGGGGCAATATTTCGTCGCTCAGCAGGCTTATCGTTTTCTGGAGGATTATGGGCGTGTTGTTTTGACTTCGTCGATTTCGGCTGTCAAGGTGAGGGGATGTGGACACGGCCATGGACATGGACATGGAATCTGGGGCTCTGTTGGATTGGAGGTGCGGATGGGAGCTGACAGCTTCTGGTGTGATTTAGGGCGTCCCTCGTCATGCTGTCTATGCCGCCTCCAAAGCGGCTGTACAGGGCATGACGAAGTGTCTTGCTATGGATTTTGGTCCGCGAAACATCACTGTCAACTGCATTGCTGCTGGCGGGGTCAAGACAGATATGTATGCTGAGATGTCGGCGAGGTACATCCCCGGTGGTGACCAGATGAGTCCTCAGCAGATCGACGAGGCTTTGAGCAAGTGGTCTCCATTGGGTCGGCCTGGAGAAGTTGAGGATGTTGCTGGGGTTGCGTCTTTGATTGCTAGTCCCGAATCGCAGTGGTTGACTGGGCAGACTTGGCAGGTCTCTGGTGGCGCTTATATGGTGTAGAAGGGGGTTTAGAATGGAATTCCAACCTCTTGAATACCATGGCCTGGGATATCATCTGATTGGTCTATGTCTTGTTCCTGATTTCTTGATAGCCCTACATACTCGCATCGACTTGACTTGTTGAATACTATAGACTTCCCCCCCCCAAAAAAAAAAAACCAAGAGATCAATTACTCAACACGATCCGGTCTCTTTTCCAAATCCCGCTCCTTTTAGTTCCTTCCAGATCCTGTCTGATCCATGTCTGGAAATCAACAAATTTCCTTTGAAATCGCTGTTTTTGCTCCAAATACCTCATTCTAGCAGGCGACATCGGCTGCTTGGAAAAATTCCAACAACTACCGCGACTTCTGGCAGAACCAAATATCTGAAATTTGAGATCCTGTTCTTGGGTCTTGGAAACCACGAATTCTACAAGACAACCTTCAAGCCAGGTCTCGAAACAGCAAAACAGCTCGAAAGCGAACCGTGCATGAAAGGCCGACTTGCATCATCACTCCACCAACGACAAGACGACATTCCGGACTCCCGCGCGACAATTCTAGGCTGCAGACTCTGGTCCCGAATTCCCCTAGAATCAACAGATCTAGTCAAGTACACAATCTCCCATTTCCAAAAGATCATAGACTGATCTGTCGAGCACCACAACACAGCCCACGAGTCCGATTTGGCCAGGTTAAGGAGTGAGATCCAAACTCTTCGGGAGACTTCCCAAGAAAAGGCGGTCTATTCTAGTGGTCACACATCATGCACTATGCCTGCAGCGGACATCGAGTCTCCAGCAGGCCGAGAATTTGGGGACTTGTGCGGTTGGAGCGGATTTTCCGTTGCAGTCTTGGGATGGAGTTCAGGGTTGGGGTGTTTTGGGCATCCGCATGATACGACCGGGTTCAAGAAGGGGGGGGGGGGGGGGATTAGGGTTGGGAGTAACCAGCGGGGTTAGAGGCTTCCTTGGAAACACTGAAAAGGGGGGTGGGATGGGTTTAACTGGTACATGTACAATTTTACCTCTTGGCAATGAGGAGGGACAGACGGCGTGCTTATTCCTAATCACAGAAGCAGACAAACACAAGGATTGGATGAAGACGAGGCTCGGTGGAATATGGCTGTTGATATCAAAATGGACAGAGCAAAATCAAGGGGTATAATTTCGAACAGATGGGTAATCGTCTCTAGATCAAGGCTTTCTGAGGCTGACACTTCCTGGATCAGATCATCGGACCATGGATGGATATTAGGGTTAGATCGTTAGCACAAGGGAACAAACCTTGTGTTGATGACCAGGCTTCCATTGATAGCTGGACGTGATCTTTCCCTGCTTTGACAGTATCTGTGTAGTAGGGTGTTTGCCTTGCATACTGTCACTTTGGGGTTGTCAAGAACATCTCTCGCTGGAAATATCCTTGGACTGAAGCCTGGGAGATTGCATTGCTGATCGGCCCTGTGTTGTAGTTCAGCTGTAGAGGGGTCTCGATCTATGCGTTGTTCATTTGGGGAAGGGGTTGCCCCTCATTTGGGGGCCAAGGATGTTGGATGACATGTCGTGAGACCTCCTTAGTTGTACAAAATTGGGTACGGTCTAATCACACGATCCCGCGTCTACCAGGGTTCAATTTCTGTACCACCGACATGTTTGAGACATTTTCTAATCTTCATATTAAAATCTATAAACATCGGTATATTCCAAAAAGAAATCTGAATTGTACGTTGTCATTTGTGCAGCATGAAAACTCCCCATAACCGAAAGGTATATCCGACTAAACACCTAGAATCAAACCCCAAACAACACTCTAACCGAGAGTGAGAGTGTAAGCGGCATCGAGACCGCAAGCCAAGGTGTTGACATCATAAGGTTGCTGGTAGGACTGGGCACAGTTGACATCACCAGGAGCGCAGGTAGAGGTGGGGCAGGACTTGTCGCTGATCGAGACAGCGAATCCTGCATTGACAAACTCCGAAGTCTTGGACAGGTTGATGGAAGACATATCCCAGAAGAGGATATCACCGGACTGGGTGTACTCGAACTGCAGAATGTCGTCGCAGACCTCGGTAGTGGACATCTTGATGGAGACACCACCGCCGTTGGTGTTGGTGAGCCAGGTGCTGCTGGCGAAGGTCTGGCCGGCGGGAACGATCTGCATCTCACCGGCGGTCTCGGTCACGACCCACAGGTAAACGGTCTGGGAAAGATTGTTGACAATGGAAATACCGCTGCCGGCGGCGGTGGGACCGGTGCTAGTGCCGGATGGGGCGCTGGCGGCGGTTGGCATGACGGTGGGGACACTGAAGCTGTTTGAGCTAGAGGAGGCGGGGGTCCACGTCGACGAGTCGACAGTGGTGGAAGGAGCGACCGCCTCGGCGAGGTTGGTAGGCACACTGATTGGTGCACTGATCGGCGCACCGATCGGAGTACTGGTCGGAAGGGCAGTCTGGTAGACGGTTTCATAGACAGTCTCCCAGACGGTCTGCTCGACGTAGTCGACGTCGGGAATCGCGACGGGGAGTGCGGAGGCAGTGATTGCCAGAAGGGCCGAGAAGCCGATTACGTTGAAGCGCATTTTGGCTTAATGAGTCCGAACTTGAAGGAAGGTGTGGAGAAGAGGTTGAAAGAGGGACTCTTGTCTGATCTACAGACTGTTTAAAGAGAGTGTTGTATGAGGCTCAGCCCCAAAGTAATCCAAAAGAGTGTGATTCGAAAGATCGTGTCAAAGGAGAGAAAGAGAGAGGGGGAGGGTATAGCGCCATTTTATTCTTTGGGGTGGAGTACGTAGGCATAGGGCATTGGGTGTGTCAGATTTTGTAGCGGTTTGATAGGTGAACCCGGTAAATTGGGTTGACCATGTGCAAGTGGTGCCTGACTAGACAATGAATCACCCCATTGGTGGGCCACTGCTTGGGTCAGGAACAGAGATCTGGTCCGACCAACCCAAATGGAAGTTGCCAGCAAGTTCCCATGGTTCTCATGAAGTTTTTTTTTGTCTGTTTTCTTTGTGACCTGTTCGCGCTAGTTTTTTTTCACCAAGTGGAGATGGGCTGGTCTAGATCGAATCAGCGAACTCGGACCAGTTTTTCGTCTGTTTTTTTTTGGTGTTTTGTTTTTCCTTCTCTTTGGGCTTATGGAATTGCGCCACCTGTTTGACCTCCCGCACCTTGCCCCTGAATATCCGTCTTTTGTGCCTCAAACACAGATCTATAAAAGAGATCTCCTGTTCTTCAAAGAGTGACTGCATTTGAATCAAAGTCTATGTTGAATTCGGCTGATCCGGCTGGGAAGGAGAGATCATTTGCCCAAGTGCCTACTTGGGATGGTTCCCAGCCTGTCCAGGTTGTGGATCCGAAATTTGGGTCAAAGACACGGTTTGATTATGGTTCTGCTAGTCAGACACTTTACGGAGTTGTAGTACAGACGGAGTAGGTACATCCATGATCAGGCACAGGCCTCTCGGGACTTTCCCTACTTTTGACGCCACTGGGATGGATTTGGCCAATTCCTAGAAAAATTCGATCGGCATTTGCCATGCCAAGATCTGGAAAGGTGGCAGTCCAGACACAGAAGATATTTCCTTTCATCCATCGGCGCTCCGTACCACGCAAATGTATCCTACCATTCCCTACACCCATGGATGGATGTGGCGATTGCCCCCGCCATAACCCTGCTTCAAAATCTACAGGAGATTGGTAGTTGACCATGTACAACATACATGTGTCAAAATGGTGGACCTATGAATCGCCTATGGGACTTAGTTTTGGTCCCAATATGACCGTCACGTAACCTTCCTGACATCCGTCTTCGACCGCTCTTCTACTTCGGGGCGTTCGTGTAGAATGTACAGTCCATTTTGCCTTTATGAGATTTGTCCCATTGCTCAAGCGGTGCGCGTTCTTTCTGCTCGGTTATCAGCAATACTCTTGGTACTCCTTTGTTTTGGTTGCTGGAATCATGCTACAGCCGGGCACGCGTCGATTAACTCAACTACTTGGAGTACTTGTCGAGAATCAATTTGATGTTCATACCTGGAGACTCCTTATCCAAAAAGTGAAAACGGATCAAGGCCATAAGAACCTGCACCCAAGCTCTCATCAGCGGATGGGACGTTTTGTCAGGGGGGGACAGATCAATCAGCTGGTCACACAAACCTTGGACCAAGCTAGTATCTTCCTGTGAATCGGATGGCAAATTCCATGACTGTTCTCATTATCCATACTATGCGATCCGGATTCGAGGGTTTTTGTTCCCTAGCAAGCAATTCGTTGGGCGTTCATGCAGTATGGGCGCGTGTGGGTAACCACCTTACAAGCTATTTTCAGCAACGAAGTAATCTCTCAAGTGTAGTCTTTTGAGTCATCTCTGGTTAAGAGTTATGTAATTGGGGTTCATACTTGTAGACTAAGCGCCACCGATGTTTGGGTAGAGCAGGATGCTGAATTACGGTGCTGGGCGGGCAGAATAGAGATGACTCGCTGACCTTATTAACAGATGGAAAGACGGCTATTTCTAGCGTCAAAAGTCGACATTGGAGACATCGTTTTCACAGGTCATCAAATCCGAGATGGAAAAGGAGTTATGCTCAGGGAGTGGCCCCGTAGGCTACATCATTGGGGAAGGCGCGCGTTTTTCGGGACACCGATTTGCTGGAACCACGGCCGTCGGTTGAAAGTCTGTGTTTCTTGGACCTTGCACTGCTGGCAGCCAACGGGCCACCCCGGCTATAGGTCTCAAGTGCATTAAACACATAACCGAATACTTGGCGATCAACGTCGGAGGCCCACAAAAAGTCGAGATGTTCGTAGGTGGGAATCATCTGGGCGACAGTGCCATGTGGTAACCCCTTTAGTATTACCCCGATATCGACGAGACTGTCCCTGTCGCCATATAGGAGGACTATAGGAGTCTTGATGTTGCGAGTAGGGTATTTGACTGGTTTGTAAAAGCGCTCGCTGGCGGCTATGCTGAAGGGGGCATAGACTTCGTCATCGTAGAACTGGAAGTTCTTGTTCCGAATGATTTGGAACCAATGCACAACAGACTTAGTACTGGTGAAGGAATAGAGATGCAGATAGGCAGCAAGCTTTTGTGTTTGACTGATGTTGCGGCAGTTCCAGTTGAAGAGCGTTCTGAGGGCTGTGTCGATAATGCGCACAAAGATCGGCGGGTAGAGTATCGTTTGCCACATGGTTGTCGAAGACAGGATGCTGCATCGACCAAACAACAGAAACAAAAAGTTCGGAGAGGCTTTCACCAGCGAATCAACGATGCGGTTGCGGAGACCCGAAGGAGCCATGGCTGGTGCAAGAGCCACAAACACATCGATTTTCTGGTTGAGCAATGGATGAATAGCGAGGGTAGCGAATGCCTGCGCTGTCCCCTGGGAGAATCCAATGTAAGACAGTGATGGCTGATCTGTTACCTCGAGGATGTACTCGATGCTGTTGGGGATATCAGAGAAGGCGAACTGATCGATGGAGAAATCCCAAAATTCATTGGAACCAGGCGAGAATCGAATCGACTTCTTGGAGTATTTATTTCCACGGTTGTTTCCCAGCCATACATCGTATCCCTTCTCCACCAACTGGAAGGGCAGGCATCGCTGCTCATCTGTCAAGGCTACCCACACCTCACTTGACATGAGCAGACCGTGATGGAGGTAGACTACTTTTTTCCGAAGCCCACTGGGACCATGATTCACGCGCATGTTTTCTTCTCCTTTTCGATATGCCAGTCGATGAAGTCCAAGAAGGTAACCATCGTTCGTTTGTACAATATGCTCCTCGGCTTGATACCCGAAGAGAGCACATATTTCAGTGAAATCAGATGCATCTGCAACAGAGCTGGCAAAGATTTCCTCTTTGGTGCGCTTGGTGCGGGATTCATCAGGGATTAAAAGGTTGAAAAGTGCCTTGGATTGGCCATAACAAAATTTGATGATAGGGCTTGCTGGCTAGGGGTTAGCATTGGCATCATCCATTGTTCGGGGATTCTCACTCACGAAGGCACCAAGTAATCAAGTGAATGATTGTCTCAAGCAGAACAAGAATCAAAGACCCAAAGAGAGCTAGGTACTCAAACCTAGAGATGTGAGGATCAGTTGCTGTATTCTTTGTAGAAGCTTGGAGCTCCTTACCAGAACAATCGCCCGATAAATGGAACTCTCCCCATCATGAACAATTGCTACGCATATGTGCAGATACAAAGAAAGGGCTATGCAAGATACAGGGATACTGTAAACATTAAAAAGCGCAAGACATGCGACAAAAGTCCCGAGACGTCATTACCAACATGTGATAACGCTGCTTATCTCATCTGGGGATTCTCCACATCTGCCAATCAGCGTCGAGAATACTGACGGCCCGAATTTGCCGTGGTCCCATGGCCTTGTTCCGTTGCTCTCTTGCTGCTTGTGGTCGTGCATTCGTCCATAAGGTCGCGTCAACATGCCCAGCTCATGCAATGATATCCGTATGTTATACCCTCGAGTCGCACAACCGTTTCAGGGAGAAGTCATGTTCCTGGCCCAGCTGGGCTTTCGATCGCAACCCTCCATTGTCACGACACAAACTGATCACAATTTGATTATATAGGGAAGGCTCTGGCTCAATGCCTCCAGGAGTCGGACTGTATCATGGTACAGCGTCACACACCACGTGAATGTCTAAGCTCTCCTCTCGCCGAGGAGTTACCCACGAAATGTCAGCTGCTGCGGAAAGGCTTCAGCGAGTGCAAGTGAGTCGGGAACCGAGCCTTAAGTCCAGGCCGACCATTATGAACAAAAGGAACACCCCCCCCACTAATCATCGGATCTTATCTCAACACAGGCGTGGTATGATCGATATGCGCAAGCGCTTCCGTGGCAATCAGCCCATCGCGGTATCCAAGGAGATGGACGGCGGGCAGCCCGGTAACTCTTCTGGGGGACAGTTATATGCTGGACAACCCGCATACCAGACGGTCAAGGAAATCAGCGGGAATGAAGTGCAGATGGACCCAGAGAAGACAAGGGGCCTGTAAAAAGGGCATTCGGATTCGCTGGTTACATGCTGGCATCGCCCGGAGTTCGGTTACGCTTAAACATGCATTTCTTCTCAGATGCTCACTTATCTCAAGATCGACTGAGATTTTTCATACCCCAATTTGATTATACATATTATACCTTCACTATTTATCTCAAAACATCCGCCAGGCGATCGGGCATACTCAAGAATGGCGCATACAAGCTCAGGAGACGGTGGGCGATGTCAGGCCCGCCCATTTTCGAGGCAACTAAATCCTGGATTGCTGGTGGCAGGACCTGATCCTGCTCGCAGATGATACGGGAGCAGGGCATATCGCGCCATGGCTCACGTGGTAAGACCCGAGCCGCACGCGAAGTGTGCATCGTCTTCCGATTCTGTTTTTCTTGCCGCTCGATTGTCCGGTCCTGCCAACCAATGTTGCCAGTGTCGCCGGCGAGAACGTAGTTGTCATTCTACCTGGTCAGCTTGATATTGGACAATGATACCGATGATAAGATACTGGATGGACTAACCACAATCTTCAGCAAAAGTAAATAGGCTCCACCCAGATTTTCCAGCAAGTTCTGTATTTTGTCTAGCGCAAAGGGAGCCTGGTAGACAATTGTCACAATACCTCCAGGCTTTCCATTCTCCGCCCGAACCTATGTCAACCGCCCCGCGCTAGCTGTGGAGGCCACGACACTCCCGTATGAGTGTAAAATGAGAACGACATCCTTTCCCTCATCTGCTAAAGTCATCAATAGCCTACCCAGGGAGGTAACGTCGTCTTCTAATGTCAGGAAATGGGGCTCGGCGCCAATAAAGCGGTGCGCAGAACAACTAAAAGGATAACCGAGGGTATTCAGACGGTCACGCACGGCATCCGAAGAAGATGGGAGTGTTTCAGGCACTAAGCGAGAAGACTGAAGACTGTTTTTCTATGCATAAGGGATCCGATTGCGCAACGGGGTAAGTTCAGAAGAACAACAATGATCGAACGAACAGAACATATGAGACTCAAGGCTAGTTTCTGGCTCTTTCCGATCAATAAAGTCACACCCAGAAGCGATGAACCCTGCTGCTGCTTTGGGCAAGTTGAAGTGCTAGTATCCATCAATAGACTAATCGAGGATAGACTAAATGGCGGCCAACGGCAGTCATCACTGGCTTTGGTTTGATTCACGTCTTATCTGAGTATTGCTCTCTTTTCACATGAAGACCATTACTCCTAATATAGTGTCGTTCTCGTGGACATCTACCGCTGCAGTCTCATCACATCTCCACCGAGGTTGACATAACCTCGACTCTACCCGCGGAGTTGATCAGCTGTAGGTAGGCTCACGACTACAGGCGAAGGTCCTACGTTCCTCAATATCAGTTTCAGTTCATCGAACCCGGGGCAAGTCACCCAAGTGTCTTGGTGGGCTAAGCCATAGCCCGAATTTCTCCTGTGTATTGATCCAATGGAATTGTTAGATGGACACAGTAGAATCTCTTATATCTACATAGAAAAGTCCTCTGTGCAGTAGCTGGCTTTCTTTTGCCTTCACATAGATAAAAAGACACCCCAAAGCCCGTTTGTATGTTCATTTAACACAAGTTAGACCAGATGTTTAAACTCTTACGTCGTCAAGGGTAGAGGCCGCATGAGTGGCCAACTATCCATGCATCTTGTCATGGAGAATGGTCATCTTTGGGACCTAATGTGTTCATTCGGGAGATCAAAATCATGAAAGAAAATGAAAATCATGGACAGACAGAACAATGCATACAGAGATAAATAGAGATCTACTGAGTCTTCTTAAGCTTGTCAGCCACAGGGGCAGAGTAAAGCCAGACGATGATGAAAGCCAAAAATCCTCCAATCACCGACCAAAGACCGGCAATCCATACCCAACCGCCAGTAATAGCCCAGCTGCGCGGGTACTCGTCGTGGGCGAAGTGGCGGTTGGTGACCTCATGCTTCTCCTCGATGGCAGTGAAGAAGGGACGCTTGTAGTTGACGCGGAAAGAGAAGATACCGTGCTGATCGGGGGTCACAAACTGAGTGCTGAACACAGTGCTGGTATCGGTGCGGCTGGTGGGCTCGAGGTTCAGGCGGTGGAAAGGCGAGAGCATGGTGAACTCGAGCTGAAGCGCGTCGCTGGCGGGAACTTCGAAGGGAACCCACTGGTCATAGACGTACTCGGAAACCTCTATGCTGTAAATCTGCAGGCAAAAAAAAAGTTTCATGGTTAGTTTGGAAGAGGAGAAAAAGTTGTTGCTGTTTCACGTACAGTCTCGTTCTTGATCCGGTAGATTGAGGGGTTCAACTCCGCGCCCTCAGTGGCAAGGCGATGCTCGACCCTGTCTACCTTCAAGACTCCAGTCTCCTTGAAAGCCCAAGCAGTCAACTGCTTAGCGAACTCGCGGTTTACGGTGGGAGTCTTCTTGCCATTGGGCGTCTTAACGGAGGCCGAGAACCACTTATCCTCCAACGACTCCACTGATCCGAGGACAGTAAAGCGGGCAGAGTTGCGTGCCTGCATAGCAGAAACGACGTTCAGCTGCGAACCGGTAGCCAGGATATCCTCCGCCGCGGGCATACCCTCCTTGGGGTTGTAGCTGTAGGCTGTGGCGGGGGCCTTAAGAATCGGAGAGAGAAGGACGCTGTCACTGCCAAGAGTCTGGGGGGCAATTCGGGGGAGGGCAAGGACACCTTCACCACCAAAGAAGGCCTTGACGTCAGGTCGGAGGGGTCCAGGGCGCTGGAGGACAAGGACGTCATGTTTCTCAGCGGCCGAGAGGGTGTCGTAGTTGAAGTGGTCGACAACAACCTGTGAGCGATCGGCAGAGAGGTGAATATCGAGTTCTAGCAGAAGGGAGTTGATGGCGCTGGAGGTGGCAGTCTTGCCAGAAAGGGCGAGGAGAACATTGCCATCCTTGTTCAAGAAGTCGAGTATGTGTTTGGGGGTCAAGGAGGGGCCAAGGCCTGTATTCATGGGTCAATTGACTAGAATTCATACCAGTTAATTCGGGATTGCCCACCTTTGGACTTGGGAGGGAGGATCAGGAGGTGGTCGTAAGTTCTTTCGCCATGCTTGAACAGCGCAAGCTGGTCACTCTTGGAAGATTCGATTGAGACATCGTATCCTCGTGCTGTAATCCAAGAGTTAGCAAGGCAATTTTCGAACTGAGGTAGATTGAATTACCCTCTAGATCTGCCCACAACGTGGAGTACAGGCCCTTCTGTTCTGTGTCTTCCAGAATGGCCAACAAACGAGCGCCGGAGCTACTCAGCGCATTTACCACAGCCAAGAAGCAACAAATAAACAACGTAAGACACCACCTCATTTTGAACAAGTTCCGCACAGCGGAGCGGAAAGATCAAAAACAAGGAAGTAACCTAAGGTGGTTGAAGATCCAAGTTGTATAGATAGCCAGAAAGGGCGACGTGTTTAATGAGCGAGTGCCAAGACCTGAGAGCGCTGGGTCCGCATCTCCGAACTTCGACTTCATTTCGTCCCCCCGGCTTCAATTTTGCTTCTCTTCTTCCTGTCACTCAACAACCACTTAGTGGGACCGGTGTATCCACTCATTCCTGTGCGCTTGAACAGTTTTATTCTACCATTCAGGCATTGACCTTCCACCCATATCGCAAAAATCCCCGACCAGTCGTCAACGACCTCTTCCTACAGCCATGTCTACCCCTCAGTTCTGGTCGACCCCCCTCCGCTACATCCGCTGGGCTGCGCACGAGAAGCCAGCTATTCTTGCTGCTATCGCTATCGGCTTCATGGGTCCTGTTTCGCTGGCCACTATTCCCCCCATCCGCCGCGCCCTCGGTGACGTCGATCCCGAGCCCATTCCTTTGACATATCCCAGTATGAACCCGTGCACTCCCTACAAACCGGTGCATAAGCATCAAAACTTTGTCTGAGTAATTTGAATCTGACCAATTTCTTCAATACGTACAGTTCCGCAGGGTCCGCGGGTGATTCCCAAGGGCTACGATGACGAATAAACGGGTTCGGAACTACGAGAATGCCAAGGTATGGGAAGTCAGAGAGAATTTTGAGTATTGTCCGAGCCTTGGAGGAATACGTTCAGCGGATGACAGGAGATGAGTTGGCTGTGCCACTAGACTGATGGAACAAGTCTCATCGCATCAGTGTGGGCAATCAAAAAAGACTTGTTCTGGGGCAACTTCTCCTGGCCATCAAAATGCTTTGATACCAATATTTGTTGCGCATACGCCGAATGTCGAGCCCGGCGCTACAGTGTATGTACCATGTTTTATGCAATCAGATAATCGACATCAAGTCGCTTTTCTACATCTCGAGTATCTTGGCTATCTTCTTGCGCACTACCGACAAGGTCTTTCCAAAATGGAAGGCTGTTCGTCTTATTCACTAGTTGTATCACTTGTTACACCTACTACACCTGATCAATCTCTGAATTTGCACATTACTCCGAAGCTAGCCTGAGGAAAACGAAGCAAGTGATATAGAAATGATGTGGCATCTTGATATCTTGATCTATCCAATGTAAGAACATAATTCTGCAGAGTAAGAGATTCATTAGGATCATGGAGTCAATCCACGATCTTGCACATCAAAACGGCAATCATTGAAGACGGACCAACGCCGCAAATGCTCATATCTACATATAGATCACCAGCCGTAGTTTATCGAAGCACATCGCTCTCGCAAACCAAAGGGGAAAAAATAGAACACGATGACTTCCCTCTTTTCAAGGAAAAGACGGAAAAAAAAAGTTGCTAAGAACACAAAGTCCTGTACACCGTTAAACCAACGAAGAAATCGCATTATTTGTGGGGCGAGTATTCACGGAATCCGTGAGATCAGAGAAACAAAACACTCAGGTCCGGGCCACCTTTTCGTAGACTCAATCAAACACATCACTCATACTCCTGGCTGGCCAGTTGCACAAAATCATGGGAGAGAAATCAAAATAAAGAATGTTCCATGGAAAATCCAAGCTCTTGCCACTGAGCCATTGGGTTCAATTCCAGTGGAAGTCCATGGGTTAAAACGAAGTAGGATTCATGTCCAGTGGGAAATGGAGTATCCTCGACTGGGCTATTTGAAGTGAGATGTAAAAAATCGAACATCTCCTTCTAACCTAGTCCGGAGTTACCGGACTGGAGACAAATTGGGAATCTGAGAATTGTGGCCGAGAGAGAGAAGAAGGCGTAAAGATTGTCCAGGAGAATTTCAAAGATACCAACATTATTCCTAGAAGAATTTTTGATATATTCCAGGAAGAAAGCATCAAATGGACCACAATGCGGATATGGAGAGAGAGGAGGGAAAGGGGAAGGGGGGAGAGAGAGAGAGAGAGAGAGAGAGAAAGAAATCATGGATGCAAGGAAACCCTCGGGGCGGTCATTCTTCTTTACCGCCGACGGTGGGGGTTGTCTCTGGTTGCTTGTGGCCTGCGCTCATACTCTGGGGTGTATCTGGGTTCCATTCCTATCCGGGGATCCGGGGCAGAAGTGGTAGGATAGGACATCCCAGAAGTTACGTTAGAGTATTCCTGTTCGGCATCATATCCAGGTCCCGGGTATCGGGGAGCATTGCTTCGGCCATTGTCGTAACCATAGCCCGTGGGGGCATATGTGTACGATTGGGGGTGTTGCATGTCCGCAGCCGTCACGACGGGTTGATTGGAACCAGAGTAGGAAACCTGGGGTGGAGGGTACGGAGCTGTACCTGATGCATATGGCAAGTGAGTGGCGGATGTGTATGGTGGAGGATTTGTGTAGGGGACGTTCTGGGATCCACTGTAGGAACCCTGGGAATAGGGATCCATGTATGACTGAGCGGGTGCTGCAGTGAAGGGTGTAGGGGATGGGCCCTGTGACTGGCGAACCTCATGAACGGCCGCAGGGGCATAGTTCGCTGAAGCGGTATTAGGTAAATTCGTATCTTGAAGGTAATTCCCACGCGGGTAGCCTAGGTCAGCCCGGCGCGAAACGTCCGCCTCCCAACGTGTGGAGTCAGCTTTCAGATCAGTAATCATCTCCTGCATCCGATGTGTGGTTAGAATGACATTTTGACCTCTCCCGCTTGTTGTCGCATTTCCATTGTGACTTACAGATGTGAGATTCCGATAAGCACGGATGAAGAACCCTGGGCGGCCCTGTTCACTGTTAGTCAAAACGACCTGTTTGAGTCATCGGGTCAGGGGCGGAAGACGAACATTGTGGTTTCCGGGTCTCACGAGGGCGTCATTTCCAAGGTAGCGACAAATATCTGCTTGAATAACTTCTCGGCTGATTCCTTCACCGGGGATGAAATATTCATTCTGACGCTCCGGGCGTCCCTCATAGCGGCCTGTCATAATGTATTCCGAGGGAAGAAAATATCCAGATTAAGAAAAATTTAAGGGCCTTGGATCCAAAAAGGCCAGAAAAGAGGATTTCCTGAGAGTGGGTAGATGGTCTGAGAGTCCTGGGAAAGTTGAAGAATAGTGGTGTGTCCGCTTTTATTGTAGGATGTACAGATTCTACCAGGCGACGAGCAGGTCTCAAAGCTGATAATCAACAACTTGAATTGTAGGTTTCCTCGATTCCAGGCAAGCAGAACACGAGATACGATCCTTGGGAAGTGGCCAGAAAAAAATTGATCCTGGTCGCGAATGGCACAAGTCCTTTGGGAAAGTCCGGATAATCCTGGGAAGAATTCCTCGCTGGTTGTCCACTGGGGCAATTATCCTGGGAAATTGAGAAAAGGCCTCAAAAAGGTGGTTGAATATCGACAAGGGGTTGGAATTTGTTCAAGAGAAGAGTTGTCAGGGTCAATTAGGAGAAAGAGAAACACGGGCTGACGAGGGGGGTCCTGTGGGCTGTCTGTAATCTGTTCGGGGATGAACTAGATATTTGCCAGTAGGTAAAATAAAAAGAAGTTTGAAAAGCTGGCAAGAGAAGCCAGAGGAATATGGAGAGAAGGAAAAGGAAGTGAGAGAGAAGGGAAGAAGGAAGAGGGGGGAGGTAAAGTGGACATCAAAGGGCCAGGGCGGTTGGGCCGTCTTGGGCTGGTGCCACGACTCCCCACTGAGAATAAGGCAAAAAGCATGCATGGTCCAATGTGGATTAGACTGATGTGCAACCCTATGCCTGTAGCCGCTTGAAACCCTTCCATTTTCTATGACTATTAAATACTCATGTATAGAATTATGGATACATATGGAGTACTGCCCTCCTTATTAGACAACGTTTCCAATATTGGAAAAATTTGAGCAAAAATGAGCAAATACAGACAGCTGTACTGAGTGGATATTTCAAGATGTAGATTTGTACCCAAAAACTAGACCTTAAAAAGGGTTGCTCTTTGCTTCCCACTGGATTTCAGTTGGGACGAAAAAAAAATAAGGGCCGATCCCCCATATTCAACCAGCTTGGATTGCCCCTTAGTCTGTGCCCCTGGACCGGATGAATATTGGAACTCGACAGGACCCCACCAGTGGATCTTCAGCAGCGGTCAAGCAGAGCTGTTGATAGTAAAGAGGATCATCAAGAACTGTCAAATGTTCGTACGGATGGTGGAAGAGGGCAGTGTCAAGGAGGCAAAAAAATAGGACTCCTTGTGATTGATCCCTCACACACCATCTGCAAAACGAGCAGGATAGCCAAGGGCCAATCTATTGACAGAAAAGACCGGTGGCGACCTGCGAACTTGCCACCTGGAGCCTGGCGGTTGATGTCCACACGAGATGACCGTTGGGCAGGAATGCGTGGCTTTGGGCACCTGCGCTAAGGCTCCGAGCCCCTGGTCCACTCACAACCCGCCTGTGTCAGCTGGATCGCACAGATCGGAGATCACCCTGTGTCGCTTCTTTTTTTTTCATGTTCGAGACTTTGCAGTAGACGAGTGAGAACGTCGGAAAATCCTGCACGAGAACACAACATCTGACCGTGCAAGGGTGGTTGAAGAAAAATAAGCAGGCACTAAGTGATGGGTCATTTGGACATCCCTGGTCTAGAAGTCTGGGGAACATAGAAAACTCGATTGTGGCTGCCTTTAGACTTGTCTAGTCACTGTCGGAGAACATTGAAAGAACATTGAGCTTTTGATATGTAAGATAAGATGTAACTAAGGGATATTCAAGTGATGAGACAACGTAAACCTCAGCTTGAAGCTAACACGTGCCCACGCTAGGCCATTTTGGGTTCTCGTCCCAAGGTTGAAAGCATCAGATTCCAAGCTCTAGCCGACAACTTCAATCATGGTTTGATGTTCACCGTCATGTCGCATGTGAAAGCATGTCCGAACCCACCGAGACTTCCGATCCCTTGAAGGTATCTCGATTTACCTATCGACAATTGCAGGGGTTGCGACAGGGATCCACAGCAACCCCTCTACGCGTGATTGCGCATATCGACCTGGATGCTTTCTACGCGCAATGCGAGATGGTCCGTCTAGGGACTTCACGGGAGATACCACTAGCAGTACGGCAATGGGACTCTTTGATTGCCATCAATTATGCCGCACGAGCTTTTGGGGTCAGTCGATTGATCAATGTTGCGGAGGCCAGGAAACTTTGTCCAGATCTCGTTCTACAGCATGTCGCGACTTTTCGAGAGGGAGAGGGAGGTCGGTGGGCATATCGAGATGACTCATTCAGAAATATCAGCACGGATAAAGTGTCTCTGGATCCGTATCGAGCACAATCGCGAAGGATCCTTCAGACGATGAAGGAGGCTCTGGCCACATGGAATGCCGATGGCGTGGGAGTTGAAACTCAGAATCCGAAGCAAGAGCTCTCGGCTGTGGTGGAGAAAGCCAGTATTGATGAAGTGTTCATTGATTTGTCTCCATTGATATATAGGGCGCTTCTTCAGAGATATCCAGAACTTCGGATGGGAATACCGAATGAAAACAGAGATGCGGAATTGCCTGTACCGCCGACCACAGCCTTGCAGTGGAACACGGACTGCTTAGTGGACCTGGATAAACATGAAACAGAGGAAGATGATCCGGACTGGGATGACGTTGTCATGCTGATAGGATCCGAGATTGTACGATCGGTGCGGAGTGCGGTTTGGGAAAAGCTCAGCTACACCTGTTCAGCTGGGCTTGGCCGCAACAAAATGATTGCAAAACTAGGAAGTGCTTGCAATAAGCCCAACCTACAAACCGTTGTACGGAATCGAGCGGTGCAGAATTTCCTAGGTGGTTATAAATTCACTCAGATCAGAATGCTAGGTGGTAAACTCGGCGATCAGATAACTGCCGCCTTTGGGACAGAAAAAGTCAGCGAGCTTCTTAATGCACCGCTCGAGCAATTGCGCACCAAGCTGGCTGACCAAACGGCAACATGGCTTTACGGGATCATCCGTGGCGAGGACCGCAGTGAGGTCAATCCCCGAACCCAAATTAAATCTATGCTATCCGCGAAATCTTTCAGACCGAGCATAAACTCACTTGATCAAGCCGAGAAGTGGCTTCGTATCTTCGCAGCCGATATTTATGGCCGGCTTGTGGAAGACGGCGTGCTTGAAAACAGACGTCGTCCAAAGGTGATTACGATGCACCATCGAACTGCGCAATCTCGTTCTCGACAGATACCAATTGCAAGCTCTAGCGCAATTGACGAGAATCTTCTCTACGATCTGGCCAACAGTTTGCTTCGTCAAGTTGTGGCTGACGGACAGGCGTGGCCCTGTTCCAACCTGTCGTTAAGCGTGTCAAGCTTTGAAGACGGCGTGAGCAACAACAAGGCTATTGAGGGCTTTTTGATTCGCGGTGATCAAGCAAAAGCTCTGAGTCATTCTTCAAGACCTCGAGATATCGATAATTCCCCCAGTGAACTACCTTCAACCGAGAAAAGACGAAAGCTCGACGGAGACGGGGGTAAGAGTAAAATTTTCTTTGGAAATTCATCACACCTTGAAAATACTGTCGCTGATGAGCCCGACAGCCCCCAAGAAGCTGTTGGAATGAATTCCGGATTGAGCGTAATTCCCCAGTTTGTGTGTCCACGGTGCTCTAAGTCGGTGTTCGAGCATGGAAAGGAAGAACATGATGATTGGCACTTTGCCAAGGACCTTGCAAGCCAGGACAGAGAGGAGGCTAAGGTTTCACAGCCGCCACTGCTTACGAAAAATAGTGCACGCGGTACAACTGCTCGTGGGAGAGGGGGGCGAGGTGGAGGAAGTCGGGGTAAGCCTGAAAAGGGACAGATGCGACTTGCTTTCCAGTAACCTATGAGCCTAAACACTATCCTCAGTTCTCTCATGTACTTGTATAGTCTGCTTTCACTTGACCTGTTATAGCTAAATTTTACCCAACCTTGACCTAAATGACACTATCGGCTGATTGGGTGAACTAAATTGCCCGCTCCATAATCTTGTAGTTTTGCTCGTTGCCAAAGTGCAAAAAAGCCCTTGAATAGCTAGCCTGACATTTCTCTGGATTGTGAGTGCTTACAACCTAGAAGTGTATCCAATCTTATAGTCGGTGTGCACGAAGTGGAGATATCTGGTCAAGTTCCCGGGGAACCCAAGCAGAAGCACCCAACATAGTGCATTGGGCTCGAAAGTTCCACCAGGATCGGATATGCGGCTTTAGGTTTCTACAACTTCCGACAACGCCAAGCATTTCAGACCCAAAGCCACGGTTTTTGAGAAGAGAACCAAGGTTCCAATGGCAGGATTAGCTAACTTTCTGGGGTAGAACTTCAGGATTGGACTTGGTGAGTAAACAAACGCGAAGAGCTTGAACGAGAATGCTTGTTGATCTCCTCCGTTGCATATCCTACTAAGAGAATAAATGACATCAGCCGCGGGGTCGATCAGTTTGCTTTTCGTCCGCCCTAGTCATACGGTCCATGTTTTCCTTTCCCTACATTGAGTGTGCGCTCTTTATAGACTCTCGATCTACCTAATTTATCTTGCTGGTACTTTCACTAGCTGCCCGACTTGGTCACATCTGCCAAAGCACAGCCCACCTTTTCGCGCAAGCCCCACCAGTCACCAACTACCGAACTTGACAGTTGCTTTGAACTGAGCTATTCGGCAGGCCCCTACGCCAAATCCAGAATTAAAGAGTCTTATGATCGCAGTTGAGGTATATTTCCGACCGTAAAGGACCGATCGATCACCAGATTCAATGTGGTGATCACGCGCACAGCCCCACAATGTCCCGCCGAGCACCACGCGCCAACTACGACGAGGAAGATGAGTTCTACGAAATGGAACGAGCGCGAGACCGCAGACCGCACCGACGAGATCGCGACTATACAAAAGATGTTGAAAATCGGCGCCGAAGGTCCGAGCCCTTAGTCGAGGACATGGAGCGGATGCACATCCGAGAACATCCCAGGCGAGACTTCATGGAAGAGAGCTTTGCATCACAAAGAGCGCGGGATTATATGGTTCAAATGCAGTCAAGGGAGAAGGTGGACCTGGTCTTGCCTGAGCGAAATATCCCTCTAGACCGTGATGATGCCTACATGTGGCCGTCTGGCTCCCGTCGTAGACATCGTCCACGTGACGTAGACGGAGAGGATTTTGTTTCTGAGAAACGAGAGAGACGCCGGGACAGTCGATGGCACCCGCGAGACATTGACGAGGATTTGACTTTTGAGGAGAGAGGAATGCGCGGAGATGGGAGGCATTGTTCTGAAGGAGATCGAGAAGCCGAAAGTGATTTTTTAGTCGATGAGATTGAAAGGCGTGGGCATAGAGGGCATCGTACTGAACGAGAGCGAGAAGTTGAAGGCGATCAATTTATCGACGAAAGAGATAATCGCCGAGATAGAAGGCGTCGTCCGGAGCCAGCGTTTGAAGAGGATCTTGTGTCTAAGGAAAGAGTAAGGGAAAGGAACAGTGACAGGAGGCTTCAGGATGAAGAACGCATTGCCGAACAGGAAAGATCTCGAGGAAGTATGCGCCATCCTCGGGGGTTTGAAGAGGATGATTTGATCATTGAAGATAGAGAAAGGCACAGGGGGAGCAGGCGTCACCCGAAACGAAGGTCTGAGGACGATTTTCTCTATGAGGAGAGAGAAAAAAGCCACCGCAGACGTCCAGAAAGGGATCTCGAAGAGAACCTCTTATTTGAAGAGCGGGGAAAACACAGAGGAAAAAGACACCGGCCAGAGCACGAATTTGAGGAAGAGGAGATGGCAATCCGACAGACCGAAAGGAAAGATCCCCCTTTGCATTGCGGGTGGGACAGTGAAATCGACATACGATCGCGTGAAAGAAGAGTAGAGTTTGAGGAAGAAGAACTATACCATCGGCCACGGCCACGGCCACGGGCACGGCCTCTGCCTCCACACAGGGTCGAGGTGGAAGAGGTCCCCCTTGATAGTGCGTCCCTAGAGCGACGCCGAGGCCCGGTCGATTTTCTAGATCGAGAATTCGAAGACGATGATGTGGTCATCCGGTGGAATGACAAAGGACCACGACCAGTCAACCATGTTGATGAAGAGGAAGTAACCGTACGCAGCCGGGAAAGACGGCGCAGTGTACCATCAGAGGATCTAGAACGCGAATTGAGAGGTCTTCGGCGAGAGGGTAGGGAGCAGATCCCACCGAACACAGAGCTTAGCGAGCGCTCGAGTTTTGATTCCAAGTCATGCTCCCGAGACCTTCAGGAGATTAAGGAAGATATCAGTATTTCGAAATCAAAGAACAAGCACCCGCCTCGTCAACCTTCGCCTTCTTTGGGTTCAATACACATGCCCCCTGTCCACCAAGGCTTGTTTACACACCACAGGCACAGTGGCCATGGTAAAACCGACTTTGGTAGCCTGGTAAGAACAATCTGCTAACCAAACCTAGGCCACAAAGACACCCGTACACTTCGTATGCGCAATCCGGACCTGCGGTCCCAGAGAGGTGGTTTTGATGAGATTGAAATTCAACATCAGTGAGTAGATCAATCCCCTTATTTGCTGCGCGCTGACATTTGGCGGAGAAGAATGCGAGGTGGACGAATGTCAGAGGAAACAATAGCCCTCAAACACCGTGACAGTGAAGAGTCTCTTGCCCCGGAAGACTCAATATCTTTGACTAGCAGCCCAACTGTCAACTTCAAGGATCCATGGGAGCGAGAAACAATATCCGTAAATCTTCGTCGACCCAAGCCACTAGAAGACGAGAGCGAGTTAGCTTACAGCCACGGAACAAGCGACGCTTCTTCCATGCGTGATGTGGAAGAGGATGTGGTGGCTGAGAGCATCCGGATAGTTAAAAAAGCCCCCAGGGGCACGGATGACTGGTCTGTGGTACATCCTCCATCCCCTGACGAAGCCATTGAGATGACCGGAGCTTTGGGCGTTGTTGATGTCAAACCCCGACATGTATCAGTGGATGAAGTGGAGACTGGACGAACTGCCCGGAAATTCATCTACCCGGAGAAGACTCAAAATGATCAGTGGACGGAAATAGCGAAGAGAATGGTAGTGAGGGAAGCTATTGAACAGATGGGATATGAGTATGAAGAGACAAGGACATGCTACTATATCTTCTCGTACCTTAAGTCGGTATGTATCATCCGACCAGATGGCGCTCTTGGATTCTGATTGGTTTGGCTACAGGAGGACATCGACGAGCTTGTTGAATTGTCCGATGAGATTCGAAGTGCGCGTCGCAGACGCATCCGTGACATCCAGCAGGAGCGAGCCTTCGTGTCTGATACCGTGCTCCGGATGGGACCTCGTGTGGGGATGCCTCCACACGCATGGATAATAGAGAAGCGCATGCAAGACATTCGAGATCGAGAATGGATGCATTATCGGAGGTAACGCTACGCACGAATGTGATTTTATGATTCATGACTCGGAATTTATGACAATCTTGGCAAACGAACTGGGAAAGTGCCGCCGATGTTCTGTGTATGTATTGTGTGCTGAATCTATTGAATGAGCTGGTCCACAAGTACCTTCCCTGAATGTGAATGGTACGCGCGTTTTCAATTTGAACATATAAACAGCCAGCCATCAGAAGAAACTAACACTCTTCTTTCGTCACCACGCCCACGTGCTTGAAAAACATCGGATTGTCACACCGTCCCTTTGATCCAGTTTCCACGTGATCAAAATGTCGAATGCATCCGCAGGTACACTCCCCCCTGGAAGTTCCTCCGAGCTAGGTCGCTCCTCCACTGTTGTTCGTGTGAATGATGAGAACTTCAACATTCCGTCTACCCATCGGAAAATCATCATTCGCCAGCTTAAGAAAGCTCTGTTGGAACAAGAAGTGCCCTCGCCACTATGGGCTGTCTTCCAGGTGTGCGACATGGAGAAGCTTGAGTGTATCTTACAACTTGCTCACTTCTCATTAAAAATCATGGACGCGATTTGCGATCTCATCTGTACCCTTCCATTCAAATGGACGGTAACACCATCCCCCTCTCAACAGTTAGAGCCAGGATGCCGGCCTTCAAGTTTCAGTCCGCGGCCACGTGCTCCCCCAATTGCAATATACGCCGCCAGAGAACGAGATGGATACAAGTGTGTCATTACAGGCACCCGCAAGATCTACCAAACTGCTCCAATCTTCCCAGCTAGCGCAGTCAGCTCCGGCTTGCGTGATGATCCGCTTTCTCCTAACATTTGGAGGTTCGCGGATGTGTTCTGGGGAAAGGATAGAGCCGAAAGATGGAAAAAGGCAGTTTTTAACAAGCCAACTCAGCCTGGAAGTCTTGTCAATGATTGCTCTAATCTGATCTGCCTTCGGAGAGATCTTCGGTCTGCATGGTCAAGTGGTTTGTTCGCCCTGCGTCCCGTCTGGATCTCCGAGAAGATGACTGAAATGGATATTGAGTTCTATTGGCAGCCGAGGCCAGACCACAAGCTTTGCGACAAAGTTGATTTGACCAAGGAGCCCATCTCCACCAAGCATCTCAACAGTGTAGACCGACTGATCGTCGTGGTAGGAAAGCGAGGTGACCCAACCTACCGTGCCATCGAGTCTGGCTACCGCTTTAAAATGACAACCGACGACCCCGTCAAGCGACCGCTTCCCAGTTTCGACTTGCTGGATATGCAGTGGCATTTCACTCGACTGATCGGCTTATGCGCTGCGGGCACTTTCTTCGATAAAAATAGTGAGGATGATGACGACGCCAAATCAGACATTACTACCCACCCGGACCAGCCTTCCACCCCGCCCAACAACGACCTTCTGGCTTGGATTGAATCGTCCTCCCACGATTTCGATGCTCCCCCTGACCCAGAATACGTAGAGGATACTAGCGCATCGATGATGGGCCCTCTGCCAGGGTCCAACCCCAACCGTTCGCGCAGTGTTAGCCAGGCTTCCAAGAGTTCCGAAAAGTCAGCAGACCCAGCGGATTCGGCAGCTTCAGGAAGTTTGGAGAGTTCAGCCAGCGAGATGATTAATGTGATCTCCGGAACTGGCCACCTATCTCTTGACTTCAAATCGGACAGCTAAATGATGGGAGCAAATCCTACATATCTTATGTACCATATCACAGCCAGTTGATCTCCTGCTCAGATTGTCATCTAGCAGGTGCATGATGTACCTCGAAACACTCTTTTAATGAACATCTTGATTGAATATCAATTGAAGCCAAAAAATAAAGTGCAGACACATGCCATCAACTCCGATATAGGGTTCGCGGGTGCCTCACGCAGGCTGCAACAAGTGATCAGCACTGTGGGCTTGTTTCAGACTCAGGACGCCACCTGCAAGCCACCAGGCACAATTACGATAGTTGAATTCGCATCCCCGTGGCCTCGCCACCTCTTGAACCGGTACCTTGCCAGAACAACCACACAGCCGAAATGGATCGAGTAGCCCTAACCACGCGGCGCCCATACTCTGTAGGCCCCCTGCGGGAGATTACGGCGTACTGAGCCAGCTCCCCCTTCCGCGCACTGTGGTGGATCTGTCTCAGCCATTTTAGCCACAACATCGTCACTCCAGGGCTTGCCTTGGCATTGCGCAGATGTGTACGGAGTAGGTACTTCGTACGGAGTACGGAGTTAGGTTCGGTCGTAAGCAGATTCGTGACAAGAATACTCCGTGCTCCGTGCTCCGAACTCCATAGCTAATATTGGATTGCGCAATGTATTCCAATGACACTCGGTACTATTAAGAGACTATTGATTGTATCGCGTATTAAGGTTCTGCATTCGGAGAACACATAGAGTGACCAAGGGAGTCCTATTTTAAAGGTCCAATTGAACCAGTAGTTTTAAATTGGATATGTGTAACAAAAAGTCTTAGATCCTTCAGCCTATTATACCATAAATTATGACCTACAATTGAAATTTCAAGATCGATCGATTGTTGTATCATTTTTTTTACGTTTTTACACCAAGTGGAGAAACTCCACTTGGGAGATGAGTGGGATGATTCATATTGGATGAGTCGAGAAAAGAAAAATATTTGGGAAAAAGGGGAAATCATGACTAGCACTCCGTGCACACATGGATGTTGCACTATGTTGTACCCAGGGTGTTCTGTTGTATCAGACTGGGATTCAGATGCGCACGGTATCAATCCATATGATCTGGTGGTTTTTTTTTTTTTAATATTTTTTTTAAAAAAAGAGAGAAATGGCAGCTGGTTGAATCGCCGGTAAATCCCAATTGTTTCATCACAGACAACTCGCTTCCACCTGGCAAATCACAGCGATTTCTTAAGTTGATCGTCGTTTCTGGCGGCTGGGCATGGGGGAGCGAGAGCGAGCATTTGGTGTTCTCTCTGTACGGAGTACTCCGTACTCTCTACAAGATTCACTACTCCCTATTCCCAGGGTGACCTCACGGTCTAGACACATTGTACCCGGGACTTTGTAAGTTGACAGGTGGTCATTTCATGATGTTTGGAACATGACAACACGGTCTAGGTCCCAGCTGCATTGAATGGGGCCCCGGCGTTGAGGCTAAGCTGAACATTCATGGAGTGGAGGAATTATTTTCATTGCCACAATGGATTTAGTCTCGAAGGATTCTGGAGAGCTTTCTTTATAAAGATCAATCCGAAGTTGGAACATTCTTGGTGTTTGGAGGAGTTTTCTCTCCACCCAATTACGTATGTCTCCAAGGCTATAATTAAATACTTTGTAATCCTGGTAGTGCACTGACGATCCCTCGGACAACTATTTCAGATGTGTTCAACAAAAATTGATCGAGGTACACAACGGACTCTATACATATACATAGATATATTAGAAAGCGCATCGAGATGGTTTAAAAAACAAGGATGGAGGGTGGAATGTTTCCCTGGTGCAATAGTGATCTTTGGTTCTGCCAGTCAGGCCATCGCAGTGGAGAAAAAGCGCTTTAGGAAAAAAGTCAATAAAAATACTTATACTTGTTATACTCCGTACTCCGTGCCCTGTTATACCCTGTTATGCACTATTAATACCCTTGTGAGCTATACGATGGATGTTATAGGCTTTGTGGACAGTATCTTACAAAGATAAGGTATCCCATCCTTCAACAGTTCATGTAGTAAAAAGGAATCCCCAAAAATCTGGACAATTTTTAATTCAACTACAATTTACTTTGAGATCTCACGTAAAAAATCTAAATCTCACAGTAAAATGAGAAAACCAGTATCCACCGGGTATGTCGGGAAGCCTCGACATGCTCCGGCGAGGATAGTGTAGGATAGCAGGGCCCGTGACTGTGGAGATCCCCCTTCTCCTCTTCTCACTCTCTTCCACTCTCTCCTGCGCACATTGAACTTCGCTTTCTCATCCATTTCGTTTCTTTTCTTTTTTCCTTTCCTATTTGGTTGAATAGCCCTTGAGCTCTCGGAGACATCTACCGAGACAATGTGTCTTTGATCCAGGACAACCTACGAGTTTTTCAATATTTAGCGGGGGGGATCAACAAATAACAGTTCGGACCTTTTTCGATCGACTGCCATCGAGATATTAGATTCATCCTCCAGATACTATCGGGCTCAGGTCCATAGTTGATCAACAATTTAGATCGGTCGGCCTACAGACAGCCAAATTCGATCTTCACTTTACGCCTACAAACTTTTTAACCATCGCTGCCTTCACGCTTGTTGGGACCGGGGTGGAAAAATAACGAAAACCACCAATCTTCAGAGCGGGCGACCGACTTGAATCAGAAACGATCGATCGAGCACACCATGAAGGTTACGGTGGTGATCTCGGCTTTTGCTTTCCTGGCTCGGCCATTCGCGTCGGCGGCATCCAGCCTCGCGTACTGTGCGTCAGAGAACACGGGGTCTTCTTTCAGTGCAGGTAAGTGAACGCAAACGTTAAAAACCTTGCCTATATCGCTGACACTTCATAGTTAGCAACATATATCAATCAAATGGAGCTTGTCAAATTACTTGCGCCAATTATGCCCTAGGAATCCTACAAGGAAAGAGATGCTGGTGCTCAAACGTTGCTCCCTCTGATGCGTCGCAATCCGATACCTCGGAATGTAATAGCTCGTGTCCGGGTTATCCAGCAGACAGTTGTGGAAGTGCATCCAAAGGAGTGTTCGCCTACGTGGAAATTATGGGCAACGATGTCACTAGCACAGCCGGTGATTCACAAACCTCAACAACCACCTCATCGTCATCGTCAGCCTCAACATCAACGTCAACCTCAACGTCAACCTTGAGCTCAACATCAACCTCAACCTCAGTAAGCCACCCCATGCATGGTCTTTGGGCAATTTTTTAAATTGGTTTCCCTCCTGTTTCCCTTTTTTTTGGAATCGACAACCCTATCTTCTAGCCTATGCAGCATGATTATGTGTTTTACTCTTTCTTGGCTTGTGGCTTTGCTGTCAGGGATAAGAGAGTACCATTGTTCAGCCCACAACTGTCACTGTGACTGCCTTGGATTCATCCATATCGGCTTCACAAACTGGATCTTTAGCATCACCAGTTTGATCAAATGACACGCATGGCTAACTTTTGAAACTAGTCAACAACGTCGGATCACACAACCAGTACCTCGGCTACCCTCTCAGTCCAGACCAACTCTGGCGGCCAAGTGAAGACCATCACCGTGTCTGGCTCAAGTTCGACTGCGGGCGCTAGCGCTGATTCCGCACCGGCTAGCACCAGCCATACCAGCTCGAAACTGAGTGGAGGTTCCATCGCAGGCATTGTGATCGGTGTTCTTGGAGGACTCGCACTGATTGGTGCTCTCATATTTTTGATCCTTTTCTACCGCAAACGTGCTCGTGCCGTCAGCCCTATCCCAAGCCAGGACATGGCTGAAGACAGAAATGGCAGGGGATCAAGCTTTATGGGAGGTCTGTTCCCGCGGGGCAATGGGCAAGGCTCTGCTGGTGGATCTACTCCCGCTCGTTCGGGCACAATTTTCACCGATCGGCGAATGAAGACCAACACTGTTATCTACCCGAACGGTGCTCGAGACAGCAGCGTTTCGCTGCAAGACAACGAAGACTACTCTCGTCCTGTTCTTCGGGTAAGTTGAACATTGCACTCTGAACCACTTGCTTCAAAGTCATGCTAATAGAGCGATCTCTAGCTTACCAACCCCGACTAACTTGGGAATGTCGATTTTCTCGACCATTTTTCTTTCTCTTCTGTCGTCCGGCGCCTTTCATTCTCAATTAATCTCGCACCATCCCAAATCAGCCCCATTATGATACCCAATTGTTGCTCGATTTGTTTTTCTCCATCGTCCCTTCTATTCTTATGGGTGCAGCTGGAAAAAAAAACGCAAAACGGCAGCACATGAAGCCAGGCGGTCTTTACTCCACCGCCAAGGAATGGTTCTGAAGGTGCATGCATTGGCATTGGCACGTCAGAACACACCAGAAGGAAACAGAAAATAAGAGCCCAACAGAATTGAAATCTATGGTTAATCCCCGGGCACTTGAGACGTCTTCACGAGCAACACAACACATACAATATCCTGCATACATACCCGTCACATCGGTGACGATGCCAGCTCATTCCAACATGATCTGAAAGTATACATACACTGCCGTATTTCGGTGCATCTGACATCGTTAGCCTCTAGGCTCGTTACTTTCTTGGCATTTCCTTTTCTTCTCTTGCTCTCATTTGTCCCAACATGCTTATTAGCTTTGCTTTTTTCTTCTCCATTTGTCATGTACTATTCAGCCTCTTCTGTCGCTGCCCCCCGTCTTAATTGTTCGTGCATTTGCTATGGCTTCGATCTAAGGGAATACGTTCCCGGCGCTGTGCTTAGACTGACTCACTCAATGAAACTACTCTACGCTTGGGATAAAGACTTGCTGATCACCTGCTCCTGTTGCATGGGGTCGTATAACATTGGTCTGGTGTTGTGTATTGAATGTTACCCATGCAATAAAAGCATGCAGCGTCCTTGCAACTTGTGGCCGAGAGTAAGTATAGATGGAGGCGGCTATGTAGGTGAGTGCTTCTCATGCCTGTTTTGGCCATTCGCATTTGGCGAGACTTTGTTTTTCGTTACCCTGGAGCTATGTCGATAGTTTCATGGCGAAAATTGTGTTCTCAACAGTTGATATTACCACCCACAGTTTCTTACTTTCTTCACACGCAGATTTGTATGTCACTATATTTTTCTTCAAGGCCCTATTGCTAGCGTATTCTATACGGCCAAGGCATGAGTAAGTACAGGTTTCATGCCTGGCAGTCTTCAATCTTCCAAGCCTTGTGACGGAGTTGCAAAATCTCATCGGATTCAATTTCTCTAATTCCCTTGCCTTGCTAATGACAATCTTCTCTCTACACGCACTCTTTGCCTTGTAGAGACCCCAATGACACATTTAAAAACAACACGCAAAACCACAATCGACACAGCAGTTTGAAAAATCAACCAAAACAGACTCCTGCCAATAGGAAAAGTTAGCACCGAAGAATGCGCAAGAAGACTAAAATGAGCCGGTTGATCTCTTCATTGTCAACGTTTTCCCTTGCCAAGCGACAAAGACGTGTCAAGATCTCCTTGACCTGACGTACCCTATCATTCATTCCAGGAGGCAAGAGTGACGATTCGAGTATCTTTGTATCAGCGTGCATCTGTGCCTTGACCTGTGTCGTTACATAATCTAGAAAAACCGCCTCCAATGTCTCCGAGAAAACGGCTCTCCTTTCAGGATCAATCTCTTTCCTCACCACTCGCAAAAGACGTGGCAAGGCATTCGCCAACAGGTCTACGTTGCTAAGATCAGTGCTTTCACCTTCATCTGCTGTTTTCTGCCCTGCTAGGTGGTGGGATTTAGACACTGCTGCCATGGACTGGTGTCCACTGCTCGCACCCGATTCTTTCTCTGACAACCCAAGACCTTTGATGGCCTCAGCAAGCGCATAATTCGAAAGGCAACCGACCCGTTTTTCTGCACAAACGCATTCAGCCTTTTGGACAAGACTGCAGATTCGACTCGAATCAAAACTGGCCCCTGCTAATGGAAAAACATGTAGCGCGATTTGATGGACGATGGTGGACGCGGTTTCGACTTCTTCGAAAATGCCCTTATCCCAATGATGAAGATTCAACATAATCTCCATGATCTTGCGTGCCGTGTTAGCATGAGAATCACTCTGCGGTATAGCTGATATTTGGAGATCATTGCTGGAGCGGTCCATGCAACCCTCCAGGTAGTCCACGATCTCGTGGTTTCCAAAAGCAAGCGCTGTGGCGTAAGCCGAAGGCGAGAACAAGCCTGCCGGGGTTATATGTCAAGGATGGAGGATTCGATCCTTCCTTGTAGACTAACTTCACGATCTCCAAGCTTCCCGTTCTGACGGCGCAGATCAATGGCGAAGTATACGCGTTCTCAGCTTGTTCGGTGCTCACACCACGGTAGATGAGCGTACGGATAATGCCAATTTCACGAGTGAGGATTGCAGCCAGAAGCTCACGCCCACCTGTATATTTTCCTAGGGGAAGCTTGGCATTCTTTTCAAGCATCAAGCGCGCAGGTTCCAAAAGGCCGTTTGCGAGAGCAGTGAACAGAGTAGTCTCCAGCAATTTATCGAAGGGATTGGTATCGGCACCAGCCTCGATAAATTCCATGGCCACATCCGGGGTTGATTGCTTCAGTGCGACAATGTGGATATTCTGTCGGATCTATTCCACGCTTAATGAGGAGACTTGGAGCCTAGGGTAGTGCTCATCAAATTCCCCTAATTGAACTAGTCAAACTTGCAACCCACGGCAAAGAAAATTGAAGATGTTTCAGCCCGACTTGGTGCATAGAAAGCTCATATTTCCCTTATGGGTTGATCTGGGCCATACTTCGCTGCGGTCGTGAAATCTACTGAGCCTGATGGAAATTAAAAGAATTAGTCATGATTCCCAACAAATTATGAACTTTCGGTCTGAGTGGCCAATGGATACAACGACAGAGTGAATTATCACTGTGCTCGGTCACTTCTAATCCCTGCTTTCTGGCCACTCGACTGATGAGCGGGGATGGGCAGGAGAGGGTAGATGCGACGAAGGTGGAGACTTTTGTCAAAAGTCGAGTCGAGAGTGGATCATCCGTCAAAGGTGTAATCATACAACACTCTGAGTATTAAAAGAAATGCGGCATACCCCTGTCAGTATAGCGGGTTGTGGGGCCCCGGTGCATTAATTGAAGTTGGACCGTTGCTATTAAGCCTCGTATTAACCAGACTAGGCCATTGTTGTATGCTAGCTCTAAAAACACACTGTGACAGTGTAGTCTGATACTTCCACCCCTGTTCTCCGTGCATCGATACACATTGACTTAATCAAATAAGATCTCTCGATTTCCTCCTCGCATCCGCGATTCATCGCGAGTTCTAGCATTTTCGGATATGTTGAGAAGAAAAGTCCCTGCTTGAAAAGAATCGCCTTGACCTATAAATACCATAGCACGCATGCAGTAGTCTACCCGAGCTGCCAGGGCACACCTATTCAGATCTGTGGCTCTGCATAATTCGTCTGTGATTCCCTCTCATCTACTACAAGACCGCCTACATGCCTAGCGCCATTGCTACGGGTGACTTTGGACCCGCACCGCCTGGGTTGAATTTAGCAAAGAACCAGACAGGCAACTTGTTGGGAGCAGTTATTCCTGTCGCGGTGATGGGGACCACTGCGGTTCTGTTGCGATTGATTGCGCGAATGAAGACCAAAGAGGCGATCAAATTCGCTGCCGATGACTACCTAATCATTGCAGCGCTTTTCTTCTCTTGGGGGACAGCAATCTCCTGCTTCATCAGTTGAGTCCCCAAATGAGTCGCGATATCGTCAGTGGATGGACAGAGCACTTACACCGGACTCCCTAGGCATTCATTATGGCAATGGTTATCATTTGCAATCCTTGAACAAAGCAGAGTTCATCACGGTTTGGAAAGTAAGGGAACTACTGAACGAGGTGCCTGAGCTAGACTTTGACCAAACATTCAGACTCTTTTCGCCTATGTTGTAATCTACGCCACCGCCGTCACCTTCACCAAATCCTCGATTGTCTTCTTTTACGGCCGCATCTTCAGCTTTCGCAGGTCACTCGGCTTCTGCATGTTCTTGGTTTTTGGGTACTGGGTCACCATCGTCATCACGGTTGCAGTAGCCTGTCGACCACTGCCATATTTCTGGCTGGCCTATACTGATCCAACGTCCGTGGGTGTCTGCATCAACGTGCCCGCATTCTTTTTCGGCAATGGAATTGCTGCCCTGTTGATTGATGTGACAATCTTGTGCGTGCCGATGCCAACGATATATAGGTTACAGATGCAATTGTCGTTGAAGGTAGCGGTCATGGGCATCTTGCTCTTGGGGAGTTTGTACGCATTCCCCTCCTCCATCGTAACACCGAACTTGGCTAATTGATCGTAGTGTCTGCGTGACGAGTATTTGCCGAATCCTCGCGCTACAGAGAAACACCCACGGAACAGATGCTACGTGGACTATGGCACCCGTCTTTATCTGGTCCTGCGTGGAACCTTTTGTTGGGATCATCTGCGCATGCCTCCCTACCTTTGGCCCTTTCTTTCGTCGGTGGTGGGCCAAGGTTCGGACAATGCGTTCATCAAACAATCACAGCACGAATCCGAGAGCTGAACGTCCATCGATTACAACGACCTGGCCCCGGAAACCCCGAGTAAAGATGCCCCCGAAAGACTCATTCTTCGGCATCAATGAATTTGACTGTGTCGACGAGGTCGAATTAATGAACGACCCACATGTTACCCGGTCATTGAGAGACGAATCTATGAGTGATCACCAAGATGTGGAGCGAGGACAATCCAGTGGCAGTATAGTCCGACAAGATGTGGATGTGACCTGGGACAAATGTAAAACCGACAAAATCAGCTGATCTCCCTTCAACTGCTCCAAATGACTCTGAACAGATGAAGAGTTCCTCAGCTTTGTTGGTAGGGAAGATGCTGTGATGCGGGTTGAGATGTATCACATTATTCATTCTTAAATGTAGAGTGCGAAATACACCATTCCGTCTTTATATATGCCATCTTGGCAATTCGTAATTCAGATGGCAAGGCATATGTTGTAATCTCGCACGGAACCACATTGGGGGGGGGGCCGCATAACTATGGCATCACTACGTAGTACATACTCCACTTGTAGTGTAGAACTAACCGTACACGAGATACTCCGTACGTTGTAGTACAACGTAGGGGCTGGATAAGTTAAGAGCGGTTTGTTGCTCCCTGGCATCCATTTTAATTTAGGAAAACCGAAGGAATGATCCTAGGATCCTAGCACCGTGGGTATGTTGTAGCATCCTGTCAGCTTGAGAAGGGATGCTAATGCACACGCACCTATCTGCTTTCTTGGCCAATTCTATTGGAGTACCAATATTCACTACTTTGCAACTTGTGCCATTTTTCTGTTGGATGAAATTGGTTATACGTGTGAAATAATACCATGTTTATGTTGTACTCCTGGCATGTGTGCAGCGTCCCCTTCTCGCCTGAGCTGGGGCCCATAGTGCCGCAGTGACCTGTCATGCCATTGATCACAGCGGGGCCAGTTAGCGTTCCCCGTCTACGGGGACTGTGTACAACAACATGTGGGAATTGCTACTGGGGTACTTCTCAAATGCCTCAAATGCCGCTATAAACCATCCTGTATCCATGAAGTTTCGATGGGTATCAGCAGCCTAAGAGCACAGCAGGTTTCTCCTCGCAGATTTTAATTTGTTTTTTGTTTTTTAAAGAAAAAGAAAATAAAAAGACTACAAGGACTACCAATTCCCTCTGCCTGAGTCTAGTTCATTTTCTCCAATTCATGATATATATACAGCTTCCGTAGGTGCCATAGTAGCATTGCAGAAGCAACTCACCGACTTTTGACTCTTCCACCCTCCCATATCCTTCAACATGCGTTCTCAGGTCATTTTAGATGGGCTGGGAAATAGTTCTGCTCTCACCTCGGCTACTCGCGTTGCTAATGGCGAGACTCCCCCTAACTGGATCCCCTGTGTCGAACAACCTGCATATACGCAACGCAAACTAAAGATCATCTGCATCGGTGCCGGTTACTCGGGCTTGACACTTGCCCACAAGATTGACCATGAGTTGAAGCTCGGCGATTTCGTGGAGTTAAAAATCTATGAGAAGAACCTCCAGGTCGGTGGAACGTGGGTAGAGAATACCTATCCTGGTGTTTCCTGGTGAGTAGTCTGTCTACATCTCTTATAGATGTGACTGTTTTACTGACGTATCCAGTGACATCCCCGCCCGTAAGATCCGTCAGTAACTCTTGGGCAACCGAAATTGACATCCGCGTAGATGCTTACACATTTTTATTCGAGCCGAATCCAAGTTGGTCCCACTTTTATGCACCCGGTCCTGAGATCGAGGAGTACATCCAACGAGCGACACGGAAGTGGAACCTGGACAAAGACGTTCAATTTAATACCCGTGTGACCGAGACTGTGTGGGACGATGAGCTGGGAAAGTGGAAAGTGGAGGTAGACCAGGCTGGTACAATCAGACACGATGAGGCGGATATTCTGGTCAATGCAGCTGGCTATTTGAAGTGAGAATCAGTTGCTGTCGATAGTATCCTTCCCTTTCTAACGCTGATCGTCCGGCTAGCAAAACCAGCTGGCCGGAAATTGAGGGCCTATCGAGTTTCAAGGGCAAGTTGCTTCACACTTCTACCTGGTGAGTAAAAAAACTGTCTACAACCATTACACCCCAAGAGGAATAACCAGTCATGCTTAAGGGATAACACCTACGACTGGTCGAACAAACGTGTTGCAGTCATTGGCAATGGATCTTCCGGGATTCAATGTGTGGCTGCAATGCAGCCGAAGGTCGCCCAGCTTGTCAACTTTGTGCGCAATCCGACCTGGGTTTCGGTCAACATCTGTGCACAGAAGACACTTAATGGGGGCAATTTTACCTACACGGAAGAGGAAAAAGCACACTTTGCGGAAGATCCCGAGGCTCATTTCAAGTATCGAAGGGAGCTAGAGGCCAGGCAAGTTCAAAATCCACCCAGCCCCCGTCAATCAAGGGATCGCCAGAACTAATCCAAATTCGAGTCAAGTGTCAATGCCTTCTTCTATGGCATGTATAGAGATCACCCGATGCAGTTGGCGTTGACACAGGCTTCCCAGCATCAAATGGCGGAGCAAATGAAAGGAATCTCCGACCCCGAAATTCTGTCAAAGATGCTTTCTCACAAGTTCCGTCCTGGCTGCCGTCGCCTGACACCAGGAGATGGGTATCTGGAGGCTTTCTCCAATGGCAATGCAACTCTCACCTTCGATCCGATTGAGCGTATCACCGAACAGGGTATCAAGACATCCACAGGCGATGAGCAGCAATTCGACATGATCGTCTGTGCTACAGGGTTCGATACGACCTTTATTCCATCTTGGAGGTTGATTGGTCGCCATGGAGCGACGTTGGAAGAGCGATGGAAAGATAACCCCGAGGCTTTCTTTGGGGTTCAGGTGGACACGATGCCAAACTATTTTATCTTTAACGGACCCAATTCTCCTATCTCTCATGGCTCGCTTCTGACGCAGGTCTCTTGGACATGCGATTACATTCTTCGCTGGGCCAAGAAGATTTCTGCGGAGGATATCAAGTGCGTTAATTTTTTTTTTATTCGTTGTAGGTCCTGTCGGCGTTTGACTGACATTTTTTTCACGCAGGTCAATTGATGTCAAAAAGGAAGCCATGGAAGACTACAATGTGTACTGTCAAGAGTTCCTCAAGCGTATGGTGTGGTCGGATGAATGTCGAAGCTGGTATAAAAATGGAAAAAGTAAAGGTCATGTCACCGGGGTATATCCAGGCTCGATATTGCACTTCAAAGACTGTCTTGAGAGCATTGGTGGGGAGCACTTCCATATTGAGTACCGCTCTCAGAACCGGTTCCGATGTCTGGGGAATGGCGAAAGCGTGCATGATCAACATGGAGCTGGTGATTTGGCGTGGTACATGGATGATTTGAAAGTGCCCCAGCCGCCACTCTAAGCCAACAGCACTTGTCCGAGGCCCACATATGGTGTTCTACAACTTCCTATTGGTTTACGTCTCAGTTCCACCAGAAAGGATGAAAACTTTGGGAATGATCCAGGCGTGGTTTATCAGCCAAACTGTCATTCCTACTTGATAGACGAAGGTGACGTCGATAGAGGGAATGAAAGAGCAGTTTAATACGCTGCTTTTTGAATCGCTGCTTAGAATTTGATGAAGTTCTTACTGCAGTTTATATTCAGGTCCTGCTAAGTTATCCTATAATGTCTGGAGAGCCGATGATCAGAAAGAATAGTGCCTTTTTTAGTTCTTGATAGACCCAGAAACTCTTAACATGTAATATAAAGCAGAAAGAAACACAGCACCCTACTACCTCAAATTTGATCTCAATTGCCAAACTGATAGAATGTGTCTACAACATCCTCCTTCGACTCGCCATCAGATACGCTTTTTCCAGACAATCTCTGGTCAGTCCGTGTACCTACAGGGCGCGAATGCCCTAGCGGCGATGTGTCGATTACTACGTCAAAAAGATCAGGTACAGGGGACTGTCGTTCAGTCACAAACCTCAAAAGTCCCCATACAGCATGTGAAGACATGCTAGTTACCCAAGGGACAAGATAGGACGGACGAGTCTCGGGACGAACCGTGAATGTCTTCGCAGGACCACTCTCGGGGTGGTGGATGACTACAGCCTGGGTAACTGGAGGCATTGGAATAGGCACACCGAACCTATAAGGCCCATCGCTCTCTTGGACTCTGGCCTGGATCTCATCCCAAGTCTTTCGATAGTGAGTCTCGAAGATATTCGTCCACTCCTCGTCAGAACGATAGCCGGCGAGTCCAGCGCACAAAGACCATAAGAAATAGTTAGTGTTCGTCCATGTGGAGATACGTACGGCCCATGATCTAGAAGGGAGATTGTGTCTCTGACGGACGTCGCAGCGGATTACTGGTTGCTCGGTGGCCTGCACGACGGAAATAGGTACTCCGTAGACTGGGTGGACAGCCTGCCAGTAGTAATTAGTTGACATGATCACGAACTTGTTTTTTTTTTTTGTGGTGAGGAGGGAAAGGTAGACGTGTCAGTGGTGCTGGGTCACTGGGCCAAGGGAATCACCAAATTAAGAGGCAGAAAGCCTGAATACTGGGGGAGTGGCGGAGAGCTTAGTGCATATCGAGTTTTTGGAGAAAACAGATCTTATATAGCTTTTGGATATCCAGATCTTCAGACTTGGAAATTGACAATGTATTCGGCAACAAAGAGCTTAAGAGAAGCGGCCTTTATCTTCATCCAAGAGCATGATTGAAACATTTAGGCACAATGTACATTATGAGTGTATCTTTGTTTCCTTATTAGCAGGTCTGGCTCAGATTAGCAACCTCTTAAATCAGTAAGAACCATAAGAGGACTTTTTAAATCTTGAATTCGTAATTTGGATCCCATGGTGGGATAAGCTCTTCGTGATTTTTGGGAATGGAGTGATACTCATCTACAAAGAAAGAGAGATGCATGTCTTTGCGACATCGTTCCTTTTTATCGTCGAATTTCTTTGCAAGATTGATCCCCGAGAGCACTTCGGTCATATACAACAGAATGCAGTCCTGGCTGCGGTAGCCAATACAGAATTGACGTACCACGATTGTACGTTGAGTGAGATTATATGACACACTCGAGAGCAACGTGCGCGCAGAGTCTCAGTTAAAATGACAAATCCATAAACCCAGTTCAGACAATCCTCAAATCCCTGTCAGCAAGAGACATCTAGCTTGCTTTGTCTCGACATCTTCCTTTACATTAAAGAAACGAAGACAGCGTGTTCGACACTACATCTCGACTAGACTCAAGTTGGCGAAAATTCACCGTGTGGCTTATATACCCAGGCTGAGCTCAAGAATTGAAATCGGCTGGTTTTCTGATTTGCGGGGGTCATGTTGCATCCAACTTCGTCTGAATTGTCAGTGTGGTAAGCGCTGAACATCCCCTCATGCAGTTGGACAACACCGGTGTTAAGAGAGGATTCATGCTGGCACTTGGTTCTACGAATCACAAGCCAATGCAGCCAAGCCATGGCGCTCTCAGACCTGGAGGCTTGTTCTCTGAGAGCTTCGGGCCCAACATGCCCAGCCAATGCCGAGCTTGCTGGCACAATTCGTCTTCTAGTTTGTGGCGCAACATCGCCTCTGACAATTTGATGCTCATTCTTGACTGTCCAGATTATGATATCCCCACATATCGGTGTCATATTGGCCCCTTCAGCCGGCACATGTCATCGAATGATCAGATGTCCCCCATGTTGAATCTTCGGTTAGCTGCGCGTTTTGTCATGCGTTCCGGGGAAATGCCACTCGTGGGGGTTGACCCCAGAGCGAGCGGAGGAAGAAAAAAAAAGATTCGAGGCTGGAAAAGCGGCCAACACTATATAATCCACCTGCTTACCCCATTTTTCTTCGTTGATTACCGCGCATCATTCTCTTCTCGATCGTGCCTCAGCTTTGTCTTCTAAGATGGCAATCAGTCAGTCTGTAGTTGGCCGTGCCAACGCAGAGAAGCCTCACGGTCTCAAAGGCTTTATCTCAAACCCATATGTCTTCTTTACCTGTTTGTTTGCGTCGCTGGGTTGTATCATGTATGGTTACGATTAGGGTGTGATGGATCCTGTTCTCGTCATGGAGAACTTCGAAAATCACTTCCCCACATTCAAGGGTTCCACGATCCAGGGTTGGTTGGTGTCAGCGCTCGAGCTCGGTGCCTGGGCTGGGGCTTTGATCAACGGGATTCTCGCAGATCGTATCTCCCGTAAGTATGCCATGATGGTTGCTGTCATCATCTTCACCCTGGGCACTGGTCTCCAGGCCGGTGCACAGAATCCTGCGTACTTCTTCGCCGGCAGAATCATTGGTGGTCTTGGCATCGGTATGTTCAGTATGGTTATCCCACTGTACCAAGCCGAGATTGCTCCCCCTGAGCTACGTGGATCGCTTGTTTCCCTCCAGCAGTTGTCCATCACTGTCGGTACTGCCATTTCCTTCTGGCTCGACTATGGTATGCAGTTCGTCGGCGGCAACACCTGTCAGCCGGAGGGTATATCGAATCCGTACCTGAGTGACGGGAAGTACAATGCCGCTCAGAACCACGGCCATACCTGTTTGGGTCAGAAGACTATCGCGTGGAGACTTCCTTTGGCTTTACAGATTATCCCAGCTTGGATTCTGTTCTTCGGTCTCTTCTTCTTTCCCTTCTCACCACGTTGGTTGATGATGAAGCACCGTGATGAGGATGCCCAGGAGTCCATTTCCAGGCTGCGGCGACTGCCTGTGAACGATCCACTTGTTCGCGCTGAGTACCTTGAGATCAAGGCTGCTGTGATGTTTGATGAAGAGACTGAGAATGAGGTAATTGGGTCTGGAGGTGCACTGACTCCCTGGAAAGCCCTGTTTGCCTCCAACATGTTCAAGCGCCTACCGCTCGGTTGCGGTATGACGGTTTTCCAGCAGTTCACTGGCATTAATGCCGTGCTCTACTATGCACCCCAGATTTTCTCTTCGGTGAGTGATTCCTTCTTCCTCAAACACCCTTTTGAATATTCAATCAAAGGAATAGTGCTAGCGAACTGTTACAAATCAACCCGCTAAAATTCCTGCTGCCGGTGCCATTTCTCTCGCCAACCCTTGAACCACGGACTATCATCCAGAGTAGATACTTCCTAATCTTGCGGAACTAACCCATTCTCCTTCTGCTCCTCCATCCATTCCTCCAACGTGAGAAGTACAACATGCTGAAGATGCCAAACACCTTTATAATCCATGAGGTTCTTCGTTCCTTCTGTTAAAAGTTTCACCACTAAACTAGGTACGCCAGGTTCCTCCCGGAATTCCGTTACCGGGGTAAAAAGCGCCTTGAAATTGAAAACCACTGCACCTGACAACGGAAGGCGCCGGAGAGTCTGCCAGTCCACCCGCAGGTGACACTCGTCGATAGTCAAATCAGCCCGCTGAGAGAACCGCTGCAGCTCATGAGGGTCCCCGGGTGGCGTGCACAAAGGCTGTCCAATTTCCAGGCTCCAAGAGCCTCGTTGGATTGGTTTCTGAGTCGGCATCTTAGCGAAAAAGCTAAGCCCAACTCTCGTGTCAGAAGTGGTTGAACATCCAATCTCGCAGAAATCCACCAACATACCGATCCATCGAGAACTGCATCTTCTCCATATAATCCGGAATCGACTCGTGAATCTCATCCAACTGCTTTCCAACTTTCGACGCGACATTCCACCCCATCGCGGAGCAAATCACCGCCGCTCGCAGGAAGTAGAATCCCGTCGTATCGTCGCGAAGCATGATTGCGAAGTCCTCTGGTACGTTGTCTAAAAGGAATTCCAGAGGGGGCTTGGATTTGATGTCCTGCTCGGTACCGAGGATCTTGTTCTGCAATACGCGCTTGTCAACCAGGGTGAAGTAATGCGGGTATCGGGCGCAGATAAACTGCAAAACCATCTCCATCAACTCCTTGCATGCAAGCTCAGAGCCCGGCATGGCGTCGAGGATCTCATTTCCATGTTTGGTGTAAAGTTCTTTGCGCTGGGCAATGCGGCTTTTGTATGTACTTTCTAGCTCGATCCACCAGTCTGTTTCGAGCTTGGTCAAGGCTGTTTAAGAATTGACCGGTGCATTAGTGTTGAATCGCGCTTCTTCGACTTTCTATGGAACTCACACATCGTTTGGTGATACGCCCACCAGAATGGACGATATGGGCGAGGTAGCGCCTTTTCGATGTTGAACTGGGGATACGGGCTGGGAAGTGGAACCCCACTTAAAGTCGCATAGTCCGGAAAGTCTCCAAGTCCTTTGACCTCTGCCACGGGGAATCCCATCTCGGTGTGTATTGGTCGCACGGGCTGTCTTGATAGTTGGCGCTCATGGGTAGAATCTTCCGGCGCACTTCATCTTCATGCACGTCGCGTCCGGGTGCGGTATCACTATAAAGGTCTGCAAGCGTATATCTGCGTTGATGGGGGGGGGGGGGGGGGCAGAACAGTGTCATAGCTAGGAGGGATAGTTGGGCTTGTTCGAGCTTTCTTGTCCGGGGAGAAGGACCGCAGTGAGGTTCGGGAAGTTGAAGATTCTTGACCACGCTGCGTTAGTTTAATTAAGAGAAATCTGCCGAATGTCCAAGTAATGACAGCATAGACTCCCGTGGCAGCTCGTAAAATGAATCCAACTCGCCAAAGATTTTCTGGGATTGACAGAAAGTGCATAGCTGCCCAATCCATGCGAGTTAGGGCAACTGGACGACGATGGCGATTCAATTTATGTGGTTCCTAGAGGGCAGGCTTCGTAATAGTAAGTTTCGACTCATGAACGGACGGGGGGCAGGGTGAATAAGTACTCTCCGGGCCAACAGTTCGCAAATCAGGTTCGGATATCGTTGCCCTTGGAGGACGGATGTCCGACGCGGTGTGAAATTCGTATCCATATAGGGTGACAAGAGACACGCGTCATATAGCTGCTTTGGTCATCTGCCTTCGATTGGATTTGCTGAGTTAGGCGTGGGGAGAGAGGTCTAGGCCGACTTCTCCTATGTCTACCTTGCAAGCATTTGATGTAAAGCTGGTGTCTGCTTATAGTGTTACTCTTGTCAGATGTTCTTATCGTCCCTGTATGTTCTATCTCTGTGCCCATGTACAGAAGGTACATGTGATCAGTTACACCATTTTGTGATTTACGAACCTATCAGGACGTACTCGAGATGTATACCTTGCAATCTTTCGAAGGTGATGGCTCATTTGATAACTCACTACACTGCGCAATATGCATAGAACTAGAAAATCCTTGTCATGAATGGTTTGATTCTGCAGTCAGATGAGAAGAGATAAAGAGCTGGGAAAAAGAGCACCAAAGCGGAAGCCCTTCTGTTGCTCCAAAGGGTAAAAAAGTCCCGAGGCTTGGCGGCAGATGACTGTTTGATTATGGGGGAAGCACCTGTGGACAGTGCACAGCACTAGCCACCAAGACAAAACACACTATTACCCGATGTGTTAGTCTTGTCTTTTCTAGTAGCCTCTTCCCCTTCGCCGGAGTTATGTTTTTTTTGCGCTGAAAATCATATTACATTCGTCAGTCTTCTGGCTCACAAGGACTGATTCGCTCATCCAGCAAATCCAAGTCCTCCAGTTGTGATCGCGGCGGCAGCTTCCAGAGACTGGTACCACAGACACGGTCTTTTGTGAGAAGATCATCGACAAACTGATCCATGTAGGTAAGCGTGAAATTGTCGCGCACCCGTCGCTTCAGTTTCCGGTAATCAAGAAGTAGTGGCTCCAGGGTTTTGTAGACGTCGACCGGGTCGAAAGTCAGTCGCACGTAGAATGCCGCGAGAGCGCGGAGGTATTTAAAGTCGCCTCGATCCTTGACGAGAGCATCATCTGGATTTTCTGCCTCGTCACCACTGCCGGGGTCGGTGTAATTGAGTAGCTCGAGAATGACGTCTCGGTCAGGCCCGAGCTGAAGGAGCTTGAATGCGAGGCAAAGGAAGGGGGTGGGTTTCTCAGATACCCCGTATGTCCCACCGATAGAGGTCAATTCGACTGCACGATCACATAGAGTCGCTGCGTTCAAACCGAAGCACTGTTCCTTCCAGTAGTATGAGTCGGTGATGCGGTCGCGCACAGCTTTCTCAAAGAGCGTCGCGGGGTTGACGCCACGGATGAGAGGGCCCTTGTAGCCACGGTTATCGAGGAAGGAGCTGGCATCGGCACGATGAGCTGCCATTTTGGGAGTGAGGGCAAACGCTGAAATGCCAAGGCATCGAAGAGAAGCGAAAAAGGACTACGGTAGTTTTTGGAGGCCATTGCGATAATGCTGGTTTGGGGGGGGCTACCGCCTTTATTACCGCCTTAACCACTGTGGTCGGTCCAAAAAAAAATGTGAAGTCTGCCTTCTTCTGAGAAATGACTTGTATCATTGATTGGATTATCATCCTGAGCAGGAATTACAAATGACATATATCTACATCATAAACGGACGATGATCAATGCCCGGCTATTAATAACCATCTCGGTCAACCTGCTTTCAGGTGATACCGCCAAGACTGCTTATCGATAGTCGCGTGGACAACGTACACAACCTGATGTCATGAAAGCCCAACAGTAGGATATGCTTGGAGATTAAGAGTCCAGGGTGGCTATATTTTGAACCTCGTCCAGGGGGCCCTGTATGTCTAAAATTTTGATCTTGTCTCATCACAGTCTCATAATCCACCCTATGCAGCATCCCTTGTTGCCATGGTTCTTTTAACATCCTCCTCAGTTTCGGCCATTGTGTCGATGGGAGTGATCTGCATATTTACCGCACTGTTATTTCTCTCTGGGTATGTCCTGCAGCAGCAATCTGTCAAGAACATTCAACATGCTTTGAAACCCCAGGAAGCCGCACAAAAAGCCAAACATAAGTCGGGCCCCGCATTCAAAAAGCCACTAAAACGAGGGGGTGTATCAGACACAGGGAATGGGGCTGATGAAGATGTACCTATCATTGGGAGGCAACCCAATTACGACTCATTTGGAAACTATGCCTATCTCCAAATGCTATCTGAACCAGATCCATCAGACATCTGCTCCGCAATCCTTTTCTTCAAACAACTCTCGACAAATGGAACAGACGTCCAGGACCGCCTTTTCATGTACCCAGAGCATTGGGACCGAATGTCAACCGAGAAATTGGGCGCATCTGCCACCAAAGCATTATCTATCTTACGCACTGCAAGTGCTGAATACAACATCTGGCTCCTCCCCATCGACATGTCAGCAGCCACAGCTGCAGGCTACTCAACAACAAACAGCAAGCTGCTCCACCTGGGCCAAATCCAGTTCATGCAGTATGACAGTGTCCTCTATCTTCAAACACCTGGTATACTGTTAGATACAGGCAAACTGGATGATATGCTCTTGGATCGACCCCTGCCCCTCCGCCACGACAAGGATCGCCCAGAGTCGTACAACAACGAGGCGTGGATTCCTATGCCCCTTCGCGCAAACCGTGAGGCGGACCTCCCGCCCGTATATCTCATTACCGTCAACAATATCGAGAATGGGAATATTGAGGCAAGGACTCATGTTCCGAATGTGGCGTTGCCTGGTTTTGGTAGCCTTGTGGTTGGGCCCCGGGGAGCTGCCAAAGCAGCGAAATCGGCGGATGCCAATCAGCCTGGCTATGTTTATTTCGATAGCGATCGTGATGGACATGTGAAGTGGGCCAACAATCCTCATTTTGGGAACTGGCGATCCCAGCAAGCTGAAGTTTGTGAGGGATTGGATTTGGACGAAATCATTCATGACGAGCAATGATTTATTGATTCTCATGTGACATGGTCTTGTACATGTTGTAAATATGGCGGGAAATGGCGTTGGTGTTTGTGAGCATGTAGATTTATATTTATGTGGCAACCGTTTCAACTTCCCAATTTGGGTTTTTGGCTACAAGTATTTACTGTCTGTTTCAATTCATTTGTATGTATTTCTCTCACCTTCAGAATTCCATGTCATGATCTTCGTTCATTATGTGTCAATATGGTCCATTATGCTTTTAAATTTCCGTCATTCATAGCTTTCCCTATTGCGGCACACCGATTTCATAACCAAGGAGGACTTCGGTAGTGTTTCCTTCCCAGCCCCGATTACCGCTAGTAGAGATCATGTAACGGCATGCGTTGTCGATATACAGCTGAGATATAGTTCCCGTCCGATGACCAGGAATGATCAAGAAGGGGACTGGGGGTTGGCGAGAAGACTGGTCAGCTTGCACGTTTTGCAGATCATAGAGACGGAGGATATCGTGGGAGGCGCTGTTCATAAGAAAAGTTAGAAAATGGGTTCTATGTTGCACCATGGTCTTTTACTCACCAAACAAGATGACGCCCATTCGGCATGGCCTTAAGTGCCGTCACCGGCCCACTCCCCTGTGGGAACTTGAAAGTCCGTTCAGCATTTCTCAAACCCTTGTGTAGACTGTATTCTTCGACAGTTCCATTTCGTCGGCCGGCATATATGTAATTTCCATCGGGGGACCAACAAGCATTCATACACCATGGAGGAGAATTATCGGGGGTTATGCGGGCGACGGGATCAAGCTGTCGCCGGTCCCAAACCCGGATTGTCCCATCAATTGAAGCAGCCAAGAACATATTATCACTCGTCACACTTTGCTCTTGTTGTGTATTGTGTGAGAAGTCCGGAGCTGGTGGAGGTGTCTCAAGATCCTCTGCTTTAGGTAGTCCATTGACAGCCGGCTGCACTGGGCCAGTCGAGATGTCTGCATCGCTTATCTCCGTCTTCTGGTCCGGCTCACCTGTAGGGGCATTTGTTTGCTTGGACAGTGCATTGAGTGTGGTTTGTGCCTGTCCCCCGTCTGGTTGGGCAGGCATTTCATCATCAACTTCTCCTGGTGCGTCGGCATCCGGCATAGCTCCATTGGCTAAAGCGCGGCCAAACTCGTCGTCCTCATCTACTCCAAATGCTCCACCGGATGGCTCACCAATGTCAGCAGCTCCACCGTCCGCGTCACCGAATAATGAGTCTGCTCCACCAAAGAGCGAGTCGGCCGGGGAGCCCGCCTGCGGGTTCTCGGTCGGGCCCACGTCTCCATTGTCGTGGGAGGTATCCATAAAGGTGAAGTTATCTGTACCAGGGGCGGCATAGTTTGATGTATAGGTGCCATTGGTCCGCTGTGATTCGATTGTATCCTTAGGGACCGGAAGGCTGGACTCTGGTCGAATCTGTAAAGCAGATATTTGTCCGCCGCTGCCACCGAAAGCTCGTCTAGCTTGGCCAGTATTCAGATCCCAGTCAAAGACCCGTTTATCCCAGCCCCCAGATAGCAATGATTCTTCATCTGATGTGAGGTTCAGGGATGACACTGCCGAGGTATGTTGCCGCAGAAGCGCAATTTCCTTGCCCTCTTCGTGGCGCAGAGTTTGCAGACGAATTGCCCCGGATTCTAACCCAGAAAGTAGCCACAATCCTTCGCTATGGCTAGCCAAAGAGTACACCGGCGATAGGTGGCTGCCATCCGTGCTCTCCCAATATGTCATCAAGACTCCCGCTTTGACCACACTGTCCACGAAGGGGTGTCTTTGCGCCACAGTCAACATGAGCTTGCTGTTTATTGAGTCTGCCCAGTTATACTTTCGCACGAATCCATCCGATCCACCGGTGAAAACCCAACGCATATCGGCTGTCGCTGTAATGGCATTGATCGAGGTGGCATGCGGCGCGGCTGTGGTTGGGACCACATCGTAGATTCGGGCTGTGAGGCATTCGGGGCGCACACTTGGGTGATAGATGGAGAACGGTTCAAACACGATGTTGTCGCCAGTGCCATTGGTGGTTTGTTGCATGCCAGGGCCCTCCGACACCTGGCTTGCATTTGAGGGGCTATCGGGATCTTGGTCACCGTCCCCGTCTTGATACTGATCATTTTCATTGTCGCCCTCACCATCATCGACGTCGCGCATAGTGTCGTCCATATCGTTGTCGTTCTCGTTATCGGAGCTTCCGTCCTGCGAGCCTGGGGAGTCGCGGGGGTAGTTAGCAAGGTTGAGATCGATCGGTGGGCCATTGGAACAAGGAATAGTCATACCTCCTATGTCACGGTCCTCTTCTTCCTCCAGTGAAGCCATGATGACTGGGGCTCTCGTGGCAGTTCAGAGTTGTGGGGTAGCCACTGTTTGTGCGCAATTGAAGCTGGAGGTTAGGAGCTTTTGAACAAACAGCTCCGACGCAAACGAAAATGAGGCAAATGACCGTGAGATCAGAACTATGTTCCGGCTCCAGAGTACAAAGGAGAGCGCGTCGCGTTACGCCGCGGCTTAAAATGATCATGGATCCGATGCTTGGCGGACCGACCAATCAGCGTCAAGAACTCTCGAGTCATACACTGCCTAGGCACTACAATGTACAATCTATCACATTAGAAATACCTGATCCTACACAATAGAGTGTTAGTTACCTGTATCTCTATAAGAAGCTAATTGGCTGAACAGCAAGGAATGGGAATTCAGACCTACTTCCATTCTTGGAGTGGAAATAATTGAGAAATTGTGTAGCAGGATCTTGCTACATATTCACATGCATCAAGAACTGTGAACCAATCATGGGAACCAGGAAGATGTCTTTGAAACAAAAATTCCCTAAAGAGGTTGAGGCTTAACCAAATTCTCTGGCTAAAATGGATTTGTATGGAAGATTGAACCTCATGAGGTCTATGTAGTAAATGCATTTCGAACCCAGTACTATCAAATACGTCGGTATGGAGAGGGTGGTAGATTGTAGGCAGTGAAATACACATAATCCAATCTATTTCAGTTGTAGCAAACATTTTCTATACTTCGATTCACTTTCCTCTTTCATCGACATCCGTCCAGACAATCTCAGTCGCTTCTCACTACCTCCCTCATTCTCTTCTCATGCACAACTCTATCACCTTGTATCTAAGCTCGTCTGACCTCATCTACATAACATATACTCTCCACTGAGTTTGACTTCAACATCGTCTATGCCGTTTCGTTCCCCGCGCACTTTCCACTTTCCACGACAGACTCACATGCTCCATACCCATTCACTACTCCAAAGACTACAGCAGGTCAATTTCCGAGAATCAAACTCTTGGGGGTGGGAGCATCGATTGTAGGAAAGTGTCTTGGTGAGGTTGGTCAAAGATCTACTGGAATACATATCGGCTAACTTCGCGCATTCCATAGACAATCATGTCCCATTTTCGCTTTCAATATGGATATCCGCCTTAGGAGCAGGTCAAACCTGTTAATCTGGAAATCCGTCAATACTTTGACCCGGATCTACCAATCTACGGCCCTTGGAAACATTGGCAAACCAAACCAGAGCTTCCGTCTGCCGAAGAAGTCCTCGGGACAGACATACCAGGAGACGTTGTTGCTCTTACCCCCAACTGCATTTCAAAACCGTGGGTTTCAAAAGAGGAATACATAGAGGCCCATAATGCTTTGATCCGAGAGGACTCAGTTGCACCACTCCGAAATGCTGTGGCCCGAGTTCGCGCTGATCCTTTTGTGAAAGATACTCCAGATGTCTCCATCTACGAGAAGGTGAGTAATGATACTGTAGAGAAATCCCTTGAAGTTCAAGATTACAGATTCTGATTTTCATACTCTTTTAATTGAAAGGTCTTCGTTGTCGGTATTACCCTAGCCCGCGCAGGCTTAGCGTTGCAAATCCAATTCTCCATTCGCCGTGCGGGCAAAAATATTGCCTGGACATACTCTAACCGTCTTAATACTGGAGCAGTTGTTGCCTTGACTCTCAAGAATAATGCATTCTCAAGCAAATGTGTTATCACTGTCGTGGCTTGTCGGCTGCTGGAAGCGATTGAGAAAGACCCCCCAGAGGTCGATCTCTTTGGCTTTACCCGACGAGATCGAGGTTGATCCACAGTAAGGATATGATCTTATGAGTAATCAGGAAATGACGATACTGACCATTATACCGCAATAGGCAAGAATGGATTATGGTTGAGGCTCGAGCGGGATATTTTGAGGCTAGCCGACACACCTTGACAGCACTGCAAAAGTTGTCAAAGGAAAGGTCAGGCGACAAACCAGCATAGCCGTATTGGAAGGATTATTTAACCTTATCTATTTTTCCATTGAATGGACAAATCTGCAGTCTGGTAGGAGATATTGATGCACCGCAATACATCCACACCGCGCCGTGCATGGACTTCACAACATTGTCTGAAACCTCTGTGCTCGATATCACCAAAAAGTATGACATCCTCAAACAATGGCCCTCGCAGCCAATGGGAAAGCTAGATGCATCCCAATGGTCAGCCCTGAATCGTATGTTGACTAAAAGACTGGCCATCATTCAGGGCCCTCCTGGAACAGGTAAGACCTTTACCTCCATTGCTGCTCTGCGGATGATGCTCTCAAATAAAGCGCCTACGGATCCGCCGATTATAATTGCCGCTCAAACTAACCATGCTCTCGATCAACTGATCAAGCATATCTCGGTGTTTGAGAAAAACTATGTGCGACTAGGTGGAAGAACCTCTGATCCTGAAATCCGTAAGCGCACCCCCTATGAGATCAGGCAAAATGATGGTCTGTTGAAAATTGAGGGGGGCTTGATGACTCCAATGAGAAAGAAACAGAACAAAATCGCGGCTGAGCTTGACAAGCTCCTAAAACCACTTGCGCGATCAAACAACAGCAGGCCTCTTGAAGCATCTCTATTTTTGGAAAATGGTCTTTTGAGCCAAGACCAGGTTGATTCCTTGCAGGAAACTGCACATATATGGCAGCAATCTAACACCCCCGCAAATACCGATCCTTTGGCGGCTTGGCTTGCAGGCAGCGTGAGGGAATTTCAATCCGAATACGCCGGTGACTTCGGGTTCATTGATGATGATAGCGACCTGGAATATGAGCAACTGAAGGAAATTGAAGTCGAACATGGAGGACATGAAGATGATTGGTCATCTTTCAGAACACGGTTTTTCCCATTGTCGCCTGGTCTTTGTAGCTCCAACACTGCCAGAATCTCCCGGGCCACGGTCGAAAGTCTTTTAAAAGAGAATGACTTTTATAAGATTCACAAGAGATATCGCGGTGCCGTTTATGAATACCTGCGTCAGCAGCTGATCGCGATTCTGGAAGAACATGTGCAGCGCCTTGCTCAAACTTACCAAGACTGCTCTGCCAATTTTCAAATTGGTAGGTTTGAACGAGATTTCTGTATTCTACAGGAGGCGAAGATAATTGGCATGACCACCACGGGTCTGAGCAAATATAGAGGATTGGTCTCGAGTTTGAAACCCCGGGTCATCTTGATTGAGGAGGCAGCAGAAATACTTGAAGCCCCATTTGCAGTTGCTTGCCTTCCATCACTTCAGCATCTTATTCTTGTTGGTGATCACCAGCAGCTCAAGGGTCAATGTGCCGACTATGAGCTCTGCGGCAATCCTTTCAACCTCGATGTCTCCATGTTTGAACGTCTAATGACAAATGAAATGCCGTACACCATGCTTCAAGAGCAAAGACGAATGGTGCCAGAAATCAGAAAGCTCGTAGCACCTATGTATGGGGATATTCTTCGTGACCATCCGTCTGTTGAGGATCACCCTTTGGTTCCTGGCATGGGAGACAAACGTTTTTTTTTCTTCGATCACACAGCGCATGAAAGTAACGACAATCTATTGTCCAAGGTCAACGATTTTGAGGCATCGATGGTGGTCAATCTCCTTACCTTGTGATGAACCAAGTCCCACCAGCCAGTATCACTGTCCTCACGTTCTATAATGGCCAACGGAAGTTGATCATGCGAAAGAAATCACAGAACGAAATGTCTCCAAAGCGTATATCAAAATTTTGACAGTTGACTCATACCAAGGAGAAGAGAACGGTGTTATCATTCTATCACTTGTTCGATCCAATGATCATCGAGGGTTTTAGCACGCCCTAAGCCCTAAGCCCTCCAGCTCAATTACCGGTGCGAACAGGCGTGGCGCAACTTTACCCCATGGTTTTAAGTAGTGACAAACCAAGTTGTAGATTTCCTGTTGCCTGATAGCGCAATCCGTCCAGGGTTCCAGCCGTAGTGGGCAGGACTTGCCAGTAGGTGGTGGAATCTTGCCAGTGGTAGACTGGGCGGTATTGGCAGCTTTCAAGGGCTTCGAAAGAAGATCATGACAGTGCTGGATAGATTCTTCGAAGGTAGTCTGGCGATTTCGTTCCTGCTCTTGTTTTCTCTCCTCTTCTGCTTTATCTCGCAGCGTCTTCTCCTGCCTCCTTTCCTCCTCGGCTTTCAGAAACAAAGCCTTGCAATCAACCGGATCCGACATGACCGTAATGAGTGGAGTGGATATTTGAGAGGTGGTTGATTTATTGACCAATGATCAATGAGTGGAGACCATGGAATGGCAGGTGTCGAGCAGCCGGCAAAGCGGATAAACAGTTCAACCGATATCCGTACTATGATTTGGGATTCCCTGCTCCTCGGAGAACTAAGCTGCACGCAAGGAGAAACCCATCGAAAACAATGCAAGGTAGGGGAAGTCGGGTCATACGTCTAGATGTACTCCGACGTACGATGCTCGATTATCGAACATCTTAGTCAATTTTTGGCATCATCTCTGTAGAAGTTTGAGCACACTCTCAAGGCTAAATGTCGAAACCCATGTGTTGCAAGGAGTACAATACCCGGTCAAAAACAGGGTGGAATGCCCGAAAAAATACACGGATCGCCCTGATGACGCAGTCCATACGGCGTACGCTTTGTGTATGTCATTTTGAACGTAACTACTCCGGATTTCACTCCCGAGCTGGCCCAAAACGCGTCAAATAATTTAAACTAGGATGTCTGTTAATTTCATAGCCTTATCACTTCGATTTTTTTGTCCATCAAATCTGAATCTCACGCCCACTATGAAGACGCCGGTATGATGAATGGCCTTCTGTTCTCTGAGGGTGCCGTCTTCGTAAATGCAAATAAGCATTGGGAGAGGAGGTGGAGTTGATAGACAGAAAGCTGCGTTTGTGACACTTGCGCATTGCTTCTCTGTAAGGATTCGTAAGCTTTGCCTGTTGGTTATTTCTTGCTCCCTTTATTACGATTCTGCGTTCATTTCTGTATTGATGAATGCAGAAATCTCTCAAGGATCTCGCCACTATACGTTTTTGTTTACTAGGGAAAAAGTTGCAAAACAATCGTTCATTTCATTGCCAACATACATATGGGGTATCACTCAAACCAAGAAGGGAAAGAATAAAAACAAAAGAAACAAGAAGGGGGACGACCGAAGAAAGCTCATGATCCCAAGGATTCAAAATGTAGACGTCTCAGTTTCAACTGATCCTCCACGGATTGCTGCTCTTGTGCTGTCAATCGGTCTTCTGGGTCAATTTCATCAACACAGAGTTTGGCGCTCAAAATTGACTCGCCACACTTAGCCTTCAGTCTCCCCATCATCTGGGGATCCGTTGCGAATGCAGTTTCATCAATTCCGCCTTTATGGACGCTCGCTTGCCAGGGAACCAGATATCGTTCTAGCGCTTTGGAACCCATACGAGCAACATGCTCATCGTCAAGAAGACGGCTAGCAAGCTGGCTCTTAAAGATCGTCTTATTATAGATCTTCTCCTCGACCGTTCCAGCAGCGACCATTCGGTATACAAAGACTTTCTTCTTTTGCCCAATGCGGTAGGCACGTCCGATTGCCTGCTGTTCCCATGTAGGGTTGAACTGGAAATCGAAAATGACAACTCGGTTCGCAGCCTGAATGTTCAAGCCAAGGCCACCAGCTTTGGTAGAAATAAGAAAGACGTAGGTCGAGGGATCGTTGTTGAATCTCCGAACTACCTCGGGACGCTGAGCCGGAGTCACGTTGCCCTGTAGGAGAGCATACTTTCTCTGCGCTCCGTCCATCACTTCCGCCAGATACTTCAGTGTTGGAATGCTGGAGGAAAAGACGAGGATTTTGTCCCCAATTGCGATTGCCTGATCGAGAATCTCATTGAGAATTGCCACTCGGCTGGATAAGCCGGGATCCAGCAAGTTAGGAATGTCCTTGAACACATCATCTAGTTCAGATAGCATTGACCTTGGCATGACTTGCGGTTCGACGGGCATGCTAAAGCCGAGAATGGCAACGGGAGCATCACTGCTAGGACTTATTTGCTTGCCACATGCACTTTTGGTCTTCCGGGACTCTAGATCCGTCTTGAAAAGGGCCGGGTGGTTACAGCAAAGCTTGAGAAGAGGGAGCCAAGACATAAGCTCCGAGCGGACACCCGCTTCGTTTTGTGCTACACCTTTGATTAAGATGTTGTACACAGCTTTTTGGAGGGTTGTCGGCTCGAAGTAAACAGAGTACTCGTACTTCGGTGGCAGGTCGTTTGTTAGTGCGGACATGTCCGCTCGCTGTACTTTGGGATTGATGATGCGAAGGAACAGCTCCTGGCGCTGGAGCGCCTCTCTTCGGTCAGATTTGGTGCTGTCAATCTGCGAGCCATTTTCGATTGGCTTGATGAATTGATCATTGAAATCGGGAAACTCTCCCAGGTACTGGGGGGCAACCCAATCCACCATCCAATAGTAATCTTCTAACCCATTGGATATCGGAGTGCCAGTGAGGGCAATCCGTTTTCTTGTGCGCAAGCGGGATGCTGCCTCGGCAATCTGGCTTTCATGGTTGCGCAAATTCTGAGCTTCGTCGACCACAACAAGAGTTGGGCTGTTCAACACCCAGCTCTTGACCATTTCGTTGGCCGGTTGCTGTGACTGGTCCTCATTTGTTTCTGCTTTTTCCTTGACAATATTACGGAAGATGTTGTAGCTGAGTATCAGTATACCACCCTCATCGTTCCATGTGCAAATCTCTTGGGTTCGGTCAAGGGTCGGGTTTGTTGCCGGAATTGACCGAACCTTGCCAAGATTGTGGTTCTGGGGGGACCACATTTCAAACTCATCACACCAGTTTTGGATCAGGGATGCTGGGCACAGGAGCAGAGTTTTTGACTGTCGCAACTGTTCAGGAATTTGATCACGAATTGACGGGTCTTCTGATGCTCCTGCATTGGAGATGGTAACAAGAAGTGATATTCTGAGCAGACAGGAGTTAGCTGGGTTCTAACGAACTGGTCAGTATTATGATGATCAGAACTCACACTTGCATCGTCTTGCCCAACCCCATAGTGTGGGCTAGCAAACACCCTTCTTCTCTTTTGTTCTCGATAATTTCTCGGAACATAAATTGAATTCCAGAGAGCTGGTAGGATTTGACATATTGCGCGATGTAGGGGTCCAGGCATATCATGGGAATCCGGAAAGAAACCGGCCTTGGTGGATTTTCTTTCCCAACGTGTCCTCGGGCAAATCGAGACGCAAGCAATGCTCTTTTAGCTTCAGCTTGTTTGTTCTGCCGTTCTTGGCCTTCCTTCTGAGCCCGAGTCAGCGTGATTTTGACGTCGGTCAATTTCCACTTGCCGCGGTTGCGCTGAATATCTGGGCTCGATTCGTCGGATTGAACACGAAGTGGAAAAGTTAGCCATCTCTTGTATTCTTTGAGAAGGTCATTGAGGCAGTTCAAGAATGATGCAAATTGATCTTCATCGTCCTTTTCTATCATCACAAGCGCAGCATTGACTTCTTTTGCTGTAAAGGCGCCATGAGGGACTTGAATAAGATTAATCCAGGACACAAACATGGCGGTCATTAACATTGCAGAATGGCTCTCCTCGGGATCCATTTCCTCGATCACTGATGAATCGTCGGACATGTGTTTGAGCGCATCTCGCGCATATTCTCGATAAAGGCAGGACATATAAGATCCGAGGAATGTGGAAAGCTCATTGATCCGGTTGTTCGGCAGACCCGTGAGGGCCTTCGCTACCAGGTGAAGTCGGTTTCCACTCTCCTCAATGATTCTCCACATCATAGAACAGACATGGTCAAAAACACACAAAGCCTCATCAGTTTCACTGCCGTTGTCACTCGTCAAGTCAATAAACTCATGTGTGTTGAGGCGCGTCGGGCTGATGGGACAGGCGTTTGCTGCCATTTGATCCTCTGATTCACATTCCTTCGAGTACAGGGCCACGTCCCGATCAAACGGGAGAATTTTCATAGGCATCAGTGTTGAACTTGGGTGATCTTGGATGGGGCTGTTTTTCTCCAGGCGGCGCCTTTTCGCGGCTGGGGGCTCGTAATTCTCTTCTTTGTAGAAAAGATGGCTGAGGTCCTCATCTGAAGAGTAGTCGCGGAACGGTCCATATTGATAAGCTGCGCGAGGACGTGGCTCCTCTTCATCCTGTGCAATCTCACCGTCTTCAACATCAGATATAAGGACAGGAGCAAGACTGTCTTCCGATTGTTCTGATGATTCATCATCCTCATCTTCTCCGATCTCACGCACGGAATCCGAATCTAAACTCAGAGTCTCTTCTCCGGTGTCGTGCACGGAATCTGAATCCGAGTCTAAAGTCTCTTCGCCGTCTGAATTTACCTTGGACTTTTTTGGCCGCGGGGGTCGTGGAGGATGAGCAACCTTTGCCGGCGAGGTAGTTTGATCGAGAACGGAAAGCTTCCATTCATCTAAGCAAATGTCAATCACGGTGGGGTCGAGGCATGCACATGCTTGGATTAAAGACGAGCGTGTTGAGTGTTGCGCCTCAGCGAGTGCTTGGCGAAGTGCTTGACACCGTTTCTCCAGGTGGGCGACCCGTGCCGAAATTTGGCTTTTCATGCTCGGGAACTTTTGACCTCTGATCCAAATTTGAAGCGCTTTCGGCTGCTCTTTTGGTAACCGAGTTTCGACGAACTGGGATCTCCGTGAATCAATGTATTCATCGACGATTTCGTTGAACTCGGCATCTTCCAGAGTCCCCGAAGCATCCGGGGGAATGTCCAGGTAGGATTGCCCTTCATCCTCTTGCATTTCCTCACGAGTCTCTGTATCATATTCACCCTCAGAGCTGGATTCCCCAAGAGATGAGAGAACATCAGCATCGTTTGGGGGATAAGCCTTCACAAGATGGTCAAAAAAAGCATCGTTCCCAAAGGCGCACTTCGGAGCAGGTAGTTCGTGGGGGGAGCGTGCCTCCATGAGAGATAATATGGGCGGTCTTTCAACGATAGTGGTCTCCATCCGACGAGGTTTCTTTCTCTCTGTATGGGCCGGTGAAAGCCCATCGAGAAGAGGGGTGAGGTTGGAGGAATGACCAAGAATGGTGGATCCGACAGGATCATCAAGAGAGGTGTTGGTGTTAACTGAAACATCAAAAAGGGGGTTGGTGTGTATGGGCTCATTATTGCATTTTGGTGAGAGTTGCTCTTCGTTGAGAAGTGCTTTGGGAGGATTGCGAAGAGGAGGCTGCTGCTGCTGCTCCAACTGGTACTTCGGCGATCGTCGCTGCAACCATTTACTGGCTTTCAGGACATAATGGCGTTGTGCAATAGTCTTTATGCCTAGCTCTTTCACATGATTGTCTGTGATCTCGAGAAACATTAAGCCTGAGATGGAATTTTCTCGGAGAGAGATCTCCAGAGCCACGAGATCCGGGCAAGCCAAATTGTACGACCAGTCACCAGGCTCGTCATGGCAGAGAAATTTGACAGTCTCGTCGACTGTCCAGTCCCAAGGGTCTTTGGTTGAAGACATGTTTTCTTGGGGGCCTGGACTGGATTAGCGGGCGGTCTGGATGTGTCAGGCGCGCATTTGTGGACGCGATTGGAGAAGGGACAGTTTTGGGGCGAACATAAGCTTGACTTATCATGAAAAGGCCCCCAATGCAAGTCAGAGGTGAATAGTGAAGACTGAGACTCATGTAAAAACTGAGCTTAATTTGAAATTTCTATGAAGGATTGAACTAAGGCTACCTCGAAGAAAAGTGAACGAGGGGCGATCCTTGAAAGAAACTTTGGGTAAAAGCAGAGGATAAGATAGAAGAGAAGCAAAAGAAAAGAGGGAGGGATATCAAAAGTAAACCTGTCCACAACCCTCTTTCTTCCCAATCTGTGTTGTACTTGAAGCTCATTTTTAGTGCCAGTTTTTTTTTAGGCGGTGAGGTGCATTGGACTAAAACGAAGCCAATTATTCTCAAAAGGGAAGGCGGGACGAGCGGGCGGTCTCGCGCTCTCGTCCAGTATCTTTATGCCTCAGGTGTCAATAAATGCCCCGCCAATTACAAATCCCCAGAATCCCCTAGGCCCAGACTTGGTGAGGTTGGATTCTTTGAAAAGTCTACGCAACTTGGGAAGCAACATACCTTAATAAATCAATTCCTGCTCGCTAGCAATATGGCAGAATCAATTTATAACAACTATCCGCCAGACTTGTCGCCAGCTCAACAAAAGTTTCTTGTCACATCTGTGAAAGACTGGGCTATCCAAAACGGTCTTGCTGTTCGACCATCCCCAGCAATCATCCCAACTGGGGTAGATTCGAATGGGGTGCTGGCTACAAATGCGCCAGTGACGTTGTTCCCCAGTCCATTTCCCAGAGTTTGCTTCGAGGAAGCGACTGCTCTCCAAGAGATCTACAACGAACTTTATGCTATGATTACATGCAATGAAGAATGGCTAGGAAATATCGTGGAAGGGTAGGGAATTTACTGGTCTAGCACGGTTCATTGCTGATTATTGGCCATTTGCAGGCTTATTGAAGTTGATGACTTTGTCTCGAATTTGTGGAAGGTTCATCTGGACGTGCGAAAAGAGGGATATGTTCAGAACCTGTCATTGGGCCTCTTCCGGTCCGATTATATGGCCCATATTCTGCCTACGGGCGCTCCGGCTCTAAAGCAGGTTGAGTTCAACACGATCTCGTCATCTTTTGGAGGTCTTTCAGCTCTTGTGCGAAAAATGCATACCGAGCTTCTGGCCTCGCCGCCGGGTTCATCAATCAATTATCCGGCCCATCCCCTGCTACAATCCGAAACTCCAGCAGAGAACAACGCAGTGGAAACGCTCTCAGCAGGTTTGGCAGCAGCTCATGAGGCCTATGGAGTGTCCAAGTCCACCCCGGCCCTTCCTCTTTGTATTCTCTTCATAGTCCAGGAGACGGAAAGGAACGTTTTTGATCAGCATGCACTCTCGACACAGCTCAAGACAGTTCACAACATCCCAGTGTTCCGTGTGGCTAGCGTCGATGTCTTGGATCAGACATCCATTCCCAGCTCGAGCTCCTCGCGGCCGTTGTTGTACCAGCCGCCTCACTCTCCCAACTCAACATTCGAGGTAACAACTGTTTATCTTCGAGCCTACTATTCACCAGACGAATACAAATCTAGCCGTGACTGGCTGGCCCGAACTCACTTGGAGCGCTCTGCGGCGATCAAGTGTCCTACAGTGCTCAATCAGCTGTCTGGCTGCAAGAAAGTCCAGCAGGTCTTAGCAGAGCCGACAGGACCAGATCATCTCTCAAGCTTCTTAAAGGGTATTGAAACTACCCTTGTTGAAAGAGTCCGAGATACCTTCGCCCCGCAATATGACCTGTCTGTCAACAGTCAAGGCCGCGATCTAGCCCTAAATCCAGAGACAGCTCTGAACCATGTTCTCAAGCCACAGCGTGAGGGGGGTGGCAACAATGTCTACAAATCCGACATCCCAGACTTTTTGCACTCCATTCCAGAATCTGACTGGAGAGGCTGGGTGCTTATGGAACTCATCAACCCTGCAGCCAATGCCCAGAATGTTGCCTTGCGAAATGATGGTGAGGTCATTCGGGGAGATGTCATCTCTGAGCTTGGTGTCTATGGTACGATTCTTTGGGAGAACACAGGGAAAATTTTACACAATGAACAAGGCGGGTATCTATTGAGGACTAAAGGGAAAGAGGTGAATGAAGGTGGTGTAGCCGCAGGATTCTCCAGCTTGGACAGTGCCCTTTTGTTTTAGATGACACGTTTGAAATATACAATATCCACAATTTAGTCACGGTCACATGCATATACATGACATGTTACCCAGTAGACAGCTCGGTGGCATTACCTGTAAGGCGAAAAAGGTTGAGACCCTTACTCTCACAACGCGGTCAAATCTGCTAATTTTGCTTTGTTCCACGGTTCAGCAAAAATCGAACTGTGTCGATGTTCCCAGTATCTGCTGCCCTGGTTAACGCGGTGTGTTGATTCTTGTCTATGTGGTTAATCGAGCATCGACCAGGAAGTGTGCGATATCGAGGTCCTGCCATGATGGATTGATTACTGTTCCCAACATAGTGGGGGTACTTGGATTAAGAAAGATCTTCCCATTTAAGACAACCTATCACAAGAACTCACAGGGTCTCAAAGCAGCCTTATCTGGCAGTGTTGAAAAAGTTCCAGGGGCGCGGCACGAATCCATTCCTCTCAATCAAGACTTGGAACAATTCTGCATTCAAATCAGATCTCCTCTTAATCCTGCCATTGACCCATACCTCAGCCTCATCGAAGACCTTAGGGCAGTATTTTTGGATTTTGAATAGGGTATGGGCAGTAGGAGCCGTGTCAAGAGACCGACCACCGTGGTTTGAAAAGATGATTCGTTCAACTTGTGGCGCATTAATGGGGCGATATTCGCATCTTCATGGGTCCGATACCTTTGGGAATAGCAGGAAGATCGGTGTGCTTTGCCAAACACTCAAGGGTCTCTATCCATGTAAGAGAAGAATTCATTCCCTTGACTACTAGGTCTCCAGTCTGGGTGATAGGCCCAGAGTCATTATCTTTTTCGCTTTCATTCTGTGCATAGAACACTTGGTTTGCATGATAGTGCTAGGATCTGCCTTCCCTCTGAGCTTACAAGGGAGAAGACCTTTGACCTCTTCCTAGCTGAGATTTTGTTGCATTTGTAGATGCTGGCGGGCCTTACAAGATATGCAAATGTCGTAGTTCTAGGTAAATGTCTCTTGCACCAAGCCATGCTTTTTAACGCCATCGCACCCACCTCCAAAATTTTTTTTTTGAAAATACGTTTAAAAACTTCAGCTAAAGAGACCAACTGAAAAGACGTCACAAAGCCGCAAAGGTGGCTGACAATTCTGACATCTTGATTGGACAACCCAGCACCGGACTCTGAGGATTCACCGGGCCCCCACGCTTCGGAGGCAGAAACGTCTTCGTCTCCTCTGGGCTAATCTGGTGCACTTTTCTCAAGTGTATGCGTACCGAAGTGGGTGTTTTAAACAACTTGTTGCATGATGCTATCCACACCGAGTACTTTTAGTCACAAAAGTGTCGTCGACGAAGCATCCGAGGAAAGTTTCGCTGCTGAATAAGAGAAGCTTTGGTGTGGACCGTCGGTAACGGTGTTTGTCGTCGGTCTCTATCTCGCTACCTAAAATCCACGTGTTCGAGTGGAGTCGTCAAAGATGATGGAAGAAGAGCAGGGTCAATGCTTTCGCTATTCGGGGATTGGAGAGGTGGAGAGTGGATGTTTCTAGGGGATTGAGGTGGAGGAACAACGAACTCGGCATCTGTGGCCACCAACGCAGATGCTGAGGTGGCATCAGCTTTAGGGATCTCGACATCGTCCTGCTAGTTGATCCACAGCTCACGTCGGAGCCGGAGCCTCAGAACCGATAGCGTTGCTACTAGGTTCATCGTCATCTCATTTTCTCCAGTGCCAGAGCAATAAATTTGATTGCACTCAATTATTCGAGACAGCATTCGTTCCCTCTTGGCACGATCATTCTACACATGAAGTTTTCAGCGAAAGTCTTGGCCACGCCTAGGGTGGCACTCGCAACAATCTGCTCTGGCGTCATCGACGCGCTGTTGGAAATGATCTGCAGAGCACCGACGCTTCGACCTCTGCAATTCCAGCTTCACCGGAGGGGTGCCCCAGCTGGATCATAGTTGCCGGTGAAACAGGATTTGGAGTGGAAAGTTGGTCTAAAAATCGTACGTTTACAACATAAACCGCATTGGGTGCAATTGACAAAGATCTTTGGCCTCAGTTGGAAGGAGCGGAACGCCTCGGTATTCTTGCGCCTGTTGGGCCTTGTTGTTCACTATTGTAGTGGCATCTTCTATCTCATTTAAGTTGTCAATTGAGCCCATTTTTTTTTCCCTTTTTTATATGATTCTCTTCCCCCTCCCCCCCTATAGCTTCACTGGCTGACAGGGGTATCGGATCCTTTTCCTTTTATGGATTAGCGTCTAGGCAATCCAAATGAGGAAATCCTTAATCCACAAATGTATAACCTTGGAAGTACTCCGTACGGAGTTTGGAGTCCTTCAGAAACAATTCTAAATTCGCCTATGGACTTGATTGAACTGTTGTAATCTCTTAACAACCTCAGCACTATCACTTGGAGTTTGGATTTCCACCAAGGAGAGACGCTCGTACTTAAGCAGGAAGTCGACAGCTCAAGATGATGTCTCATGTTGTATCCATGTATCTTGATTTTCTCCGTTCCTTTTATACGACCGGCGAAGGACGGAGTAATGCGCCTACAACATATTCCGGCGCTTATGTTGTGTTGAAACGTTCTACAGTTTGGGGCTTGGATCTATAATCTGGGTATACGGAGTAATCTGGAACACTAACCCTAGCCCAATCGCGACCCGGACGGTTCATGAGCAATGCCCCCCCCCCCCGTGAAATCTGCGTAGACCAATTAAATTATCTTGGAAGAAACTTCCCCCTGGATGGCTAAAATTAAACATGCGGACGTGTCCGTCAACCCTCAGTCTAGATCCCCGTTGAACCGCCCCTGTCAAGCGAACAGCCCGTGTTTCACTTTTACTTCCCCTGCAATTTTTCCTTTTACTTCGTTTTTTACTATTCTTGTTCGATGTTCTAATTTCTCTTGTAGATTTCCTTTCTGTTAATTCATTCTATTATCAGAACCCGCCCAATTTCGGCTGCATTCAAACTGATCTATTCAATCTCCTTTTGACGTTCTGTTGCCTCGTCATGACGGACGGCCACAGTGCCCCTCCAGCTGATACACCGGCACTGGCACCAGCAGCAGACAGCACTGCTGCGCCGGTCCCGGCAGATGTACGCTCGCACGTCCATCATCAGACGGCGCCAACCCATGACAAGGAGCAGGTCTCCTCTTTTGGCCGCATTACCCCTCGACCGACATTCTTGGGTAATCTAGCTACCTCGCGTGACACGCAATTCCAGCTAGATCGACGGAATTCGAGTGAGTTGGAGCGATACTTTGTAAGTCGACTCGATTGTGAGATACTCGACATAGAATACGAACCGGAGGACAGGAACATAGTATGAAACAGTAGATTGGCGGGCTAATCTATTCTTTGTCTAGCATGGCCCCCGGAACATGGAAAAACATTCCAAGTGGCCCATCATGATGCGAATGCACGGCAGCATCATGCCAAAAATGATCATCCCACTTCTGACGGTCACTATTTGGTCGACCGCTATTACTGTCTTTTCCAAAACCGTTCATGACAGTGAGTGGTCCCCAAGTCATGGATCAGTGCGTTAATTGGAACTATACACTGACCTCGAACAAGTTGGTATCAACAACATCCTGCTCACCGTGCTGGGTTTCGTGGTGGGTTTGTCTTTGTCATTCCGCAGCTCAACTGCATATGAGAGGTATTTTATTACCCCATTATTGGTTTCGGCTCGAGCCATAGACTAACCCAGTTTGCACTGCAGATGGGCAGATGGGCGTAAATATTGGTCCCAGCTCATTCAAACGTCTCGCAACCTCTCGCGTACAATTTGGATCAATACTGGCGAGAGAGAAGGGGAAGAAGGGAAAGAAGACCTTTTAAGAAAACTGTACGCGATACCCCAGGAGAGCGTAATCTTGGTAGTGTTGGTTCTAATAAGCTCTGTCCAGCTCCGCGTTGAACCTCATTTTGGGCTTTGCTGTCTCCCTTAAACACAAACTCCGCTTCGAGCCCGATATCGCATACGATGATCTGGCTGGCCTGGCGGGACACCTCGACACTTTTGCCCGTGATGCTCACGACCGCATGGTTGTCAACCCTCCGCCTAAAACTATTTGGAAGTCCGCAGGAGAGTACCTGGGTGTGTCCTTCGCCGAGTCAAACCCTCGGAAGTATGTCAAGCGCTCCAAGAAGCCTCTTGGACATTTGCCCCTGGAGATTCTTAACCATCTGTCCGCCTATATCGATTCATGCGTAGCCAACGGCACTATAACTTCAACTCTGCATCAGGGACAAGCCAGTAGGTCTTCCACCCCTTATCTTGTAGTGCTCCAACTCTAACTCAACAAAAGTCACCATGATGGCCACCTTGAATGAGGTTTTGACTGGCACAGAACGTGTCCTGGACACCCCCTTGCCTACCGCATACAGCATTGCCATTGCTCAGATTTCGTGGATCTACATCCTGGTCCTTCCATTCCAGCTTTACAATGCCTTGGAATGGATCACCATCCCCGCATCCATCGGTAAGAGCTACTGAATGATGAATGATCTCCCTTGCACAAGCACAAGAGGTGTTCTAATAGATATTCAAGTGGCTGCCTATATCATCCTCGGCTTGGCTACAATCGGCAGTGAAATCGAGAACCCTTTCGGCCACGATGTCAATGATCTTCCACTGGACACCTACTGCCGGCAGATCGCCGTCGAAATCGACATCATGACTGCCACTCCCCGGCCCACTGTCAATGACTTCATGTCACGCGCTGACAACCTCGTTCTATTCCCTCTTAGTCAGTTGGGATACCCTGAATGGAAAGAGCGAAGCGTCGAGGAAATTCGTGAGGCACTACGAACCAAGGTGGTTGCCAATCCATCATCTTCAGCGTCAGATACATCTACAATCGTGGAAAATCTTCCCCCCAAGACCACCGCGTCATCAGTCTGATTTTCCATGCAAAATTGTCGCCGACAATCAGGGAAACATTTAAAAGGTATTCTTCTTGGTAGAAGATGAGGATTTATTGTGCATTTCAAGAAGCGGGATCAAAGTGGTAATGATCGTGCGCCAGCGTGTGAGTTTTGGCGTTTTCATCCGAGTCATGTGGACTCCAAATACAAAAAAAAAGACTTCTGGCTTGTCTTGAAGTTGCGTACATAGTTTGCTATTGGCTCCTGAATCGGTTCCCTTTCTTCCTTGTTGCACCCGACCTTGCCAAAAAAAAGTACTTCCATGTCTTCACCCGCCGATATAGGCCAAGTGTCTATGTCTCGGTCCGTTCTAGGGAGCCTTGGATGAGACAAGCTCAGTCTCAGGCACTCGATTGTTGCCCGGCTCACGGCATCAGACCAAGTCAAACCCATTCCATTTGGGGCTGGCATTGTCGTTGTCTGGATCATGGGATTTCATGCAACGGCCCTGCAGCCAAACCCACGCAGTATGCACAACAGCACGCATAGATTGTGACGAAAGTCACACAAGTCTCGCCATGACTCGCAGCCAATCGTTTGACAGAAAGTCAAATATATAGACTATCCATAGTTTTAAAATCGTTTCTAGGAGTACTCATGTTGAGGCACGAGTACAGTCCACTAGCCTAGGGAACGAACAAGTCGGCCCCAGAGCCGGCAACCAGGGCACCAAGAAAATTTCCTTTGGCACAAACCCTCCATGCAACATCCCCAGAGCCTGCTGAGTTATTTCCGCTGCCAATCCACGAGCTCACTGCGCTCACGACGGCCGAGGCATCCTCGCGAGGAACTCGAATCCACACAATATCGAGTTTTGTGGTTGATGGGGGTCCAGTCTCAATCTTCAGGATGTCGATCGGAATGGCTGCTCCTGTCAGGCCGAGGAATTGCGACAACGCGGAGGAGAGGTAGGTTCGTGCGGAGACGGCATCGAGGTGTTGTGACGTGCTTCCTGGCTGGGAAACACTAAGATTTCAAAATTAGCGTGATTTTTCGCAGGGTGATTTTCTGCCTAAGTGCGAACGAGGAAAAGAGCAAAGTCGATGGATAGCTTACAGCTTGAGCTTTAGGTATGTCCAGGGTGGATTGCGCGACGTGAAATGAATGGTTTTTGGCTTTGGCTCTGGCGCTTTGCGCTTAGCATTTTCCATTAAAGAAATTTCCGTGTCAATTTCCATGTCATTGTGTGCATCGTCTGTCATTCTGGCGGGTTTTTGAGCTGTTTGAGGTGGTCAAAGATTGATGTTCGGCTGGAGCTCCGCCAAAAAAAAAAAGGATGTTGCGTCACGGGATCAAACAATTAGAGAGTTGTGTCCAAAAAATATGAGCCAGCGAGTGAGAATCGATAGGCTGTAAATTCGATGTGCAGGCTATGTTGTAGGAATTTCAGGATCTGACAGCGGCCTCGAGAATTTGTGTCGCGCGCTGCAAGTAAGCTTCTTCGCCGTCGTCTCCGATCTCCAGGTCGGCAACACACAACGTTTTCTCGCGTGATTTCGCGCCACGAATTACCTGGACGCTCGATTTTGGAACTTTGAAGATCTAGCGACTGGTCAGATGAAATTTTTATCTTCAATCCATAAGAAAGACGGGAAGCAAGAGAAAACATCAAGGGTAATTCCCACCTCTGCGAAGACATGCGACACTGCAATATTAGCTGCCCCGTCGCGTGGAACGGCAGCCACGGAAACTTCGACTTTGTCAGGTCCCACACTTATAATCCCTGTACGGCGAGCAGAGGAGTTTGGCTTCACATAACAAGGGATGTGGAGGTTGAACAATTTGCGAGAACACGGGGTTTTGCTTCCAATGAGGCGGAGGAAAGGACATGGGCTGGACATTTCTAGTTGCGGTCAAGCTAATAAACCAGTACTAGATTGAATTGTGGATGTGGAATGAAAAGAGGTTCCGCAAAATTGATTTGAAGTAAAACTAAAAGCAATTGATAAAAGTGGCCAAGACGGTCATAGTTCAGCCCTAAATGGGCGAATCCCCCTATCTGAAATCCAGAGGAAATCAGTTCCCATCAGCATACGGAATTGAAAAACAAGAGAAAAAAAGGAGCAAAGAATCTGATCTTATAGATCGTGAGTTGTATCTTGGACTCCGATTAAACATGTTCGGTGTGATGCTCATTCTCGTCGGTCTTCACATGGTTCTCTGAATCACCAACGATGCCGGGGGCTGCGGCATAATCTTGGGTGACCTGGTAAAGTTCGGGGCAGACCGCATCCTTGCGCATCAGAACATACCTCTTAATCCACCACGGGAGGACCTTGGTCAGTTGGTACTTGGCATGAGTTCGGGTCGGGACGCCAAACACAAAGTCCAATTCCTCAAGCGAGCGCTGCATGGTTTCTGGCATAAAGAAGAATATCATAGCAAACGCAATGAGATTCAAGCCAGCATAGAACCCAAACGCACCTTGCGGAGTGAATTTTCGCAGCATCCATGGGAATGTCAGCGAGATAACAGCAGCCCAGAAGTTGTTGGTTGCAACCGCCCAGGCCATTCCCACTTCACGGTGAGACAGCGGAAACACCTCGGCAGAGTAGGTGAATGGAACAGGTCCCTCTCCGGGGGAGTAGAATGCATCAAAGAGGTAGATGAAGAATGCGATCAATCCAATGTGCGCGTTACTGCTTGTGGGAATCCAGAAACAGAACCCAGCTGCGAGAAGTGTCCAGCACATTTGAGGGAAGGTGAAAAGGAGCAAGCCTCGTCTGCCAAATGTATCAATTGTCCACACGGCGGGCCAGGCAAACACGAAGTTGATAAGGCCAAACCCGAATGATGCAAGAAGTGCTTCGATGTTGGAAGCACCGGCCAGTTGAAAGATAGTTGAGGAGTAGAATGAGATGATGTTGACTAGAAATCGAGAATGGCATCAGTCCAGCTCTTCCCTGTCTCGGATCTTTTACTTACTTCCACACATTTGCTGGGCGATCATTACAATGCCAGAGGCTTGGACGGCACGACGCAGACGGGGTACCGTGAACAATTCCACAAAACGGATGAACACATTGTCACTCTTGGAGAATCCCGACTCAGTAATCAACTGCTTCTCCTTCTCCAGCTGGGCGTGAATCAAATACAAATCTCTAGCAGCCTGTAAAGGGCTGTTCCGCAGTCTGAGAAGAGACGCAAAGGCTTTCTTGTGGTTCTTCTTGGTCATCAACCACCGCGGAGACTCGGGGCAAAACCAGATACCAATAAGCAGTGGCACAGCTGGAATAAATGCAGAGCCTAGCTGTAGTCTCCAAGCAATCTCACCGGTGTTGACCACAATGAGGTTCGCGCACGTTCCAAGGAAGATACCGAAGGCCGTCCAAAGCTGCCATGACATAACTAGGCCGCCACGAATATTTGTCGGTGCGTTTTCTATTGGGTGTTTAGCGTAATTAGGGTACGCACGACTTTTTAGGATGTATCGATCAAGAGCACTTACCAGCTGAGTAAACAGGAACTGTGACTTCCTTGAGACCCATACCAAGTCCTAGAAGAACACGACAGGCAACGAGCTCACCCCAATGTTGAGTGAGACTGGAGCCCAATGGGGCTAGTAGACTGAAGATTGCGGCCAAGAAGATTGTGCCACGACGGCCGAGAATATGGTTCAGAGGGTCAGAGAGCCACGCAACACTGAAAAGGGTGGTTTAAATGTTAGAAGGTTTCTTGGATGTGAAACAAGTTTATCACTCACAATAGACAAATGGTAATGTATGGAGTCCCATTGATAAACCCAACAATCCACTGGTTACGCTTGCAGGTCTTTGGGTCAGGACATTTAGGCGAGTTGTTTGGAATGCCGAATTGGACATCGAAGGTCAGATTAGCACCGTTCGAACCTATGAGAAGCATTAGTCAGGACTGGACCTGAATGATTGGACAAAATATCATTCTGACCAGTCTGATCCCAGCCTTGAATAGCTGCCGAGATTGAGTTGAGAACGATGGTGTAGTACAACGCAAACGGGTGTTTCCAACGCCGATTGTGCTCCTCGTAAAGAACACGACGGTCATCATCATTGAGTTCGGAGATTTCATCAATCCCCGCCGGGGACTGAGCTACCAAAGCGCCTTTCTGCAAGAGGGGCAGAATGTCCTCAAGGTCGTATTCAGTAGCATAAACCGTCACATCCGCCATAAGCTGAGTGTGAGGGATTCCGGCGAGGGGGTTTTTGATCCTATTGCATATCAGTTTGACCTGAAGTTAAAGTAGAGAGTCGCCTCGACGAGCACATATTGATTCGCGCTAGGTTACTTACTCCCCGGTAATATTCTCGGTCATTCTAATTGACGGGTCAGTCACAGAGCTTGGGTCAGAATGGTGGTCATCAAGCGGTTACATACCCCCCAACCGCATCGTTTCCGCTTGGATCGGGCATTTTGATGATTGACGGCTTTTCCTTGATGGGGAAAAGCGAAGGAGGAATACTGTGGTTGAAAGGTTGCTGTGAAAGTTGATGAAATGTAGTCAAGCTCTGAATAGGGCTCCGAGGTTGAAAAGGTGGGGGAGAGAAACTCACGATGGATGCAAGGCAAACGGAAAGAGCTTGAAGGACCAGTTCAGATGGTAATTCAAATACTAGAAAAAGGCTAGTTTGGATTATGTATGCGCCTACGTGGTTTTTTTTTACGCTGACCTCAGGAAGATGGACAAATTTGTCAGACTACCAAAAAGCCCTAAAGTAAATGATTGGCAGTCAAGTTGGCCCTTTGTGTGAGCATGGAGGTGCTACAGATATGATAAACTATTTATCATTCCTAATGCCCCGCTCCCATTGACTATTGACTCTAGATTCAGGGCACACTTGAGGTTATAGTCTCAAATAGGTCTGTGTAGGCTGTTCTGGATGTAACACCCTTAGGCAGAGGACCAAAGCTTAGCTGGAGACATCCTTGATAATGGAGCTTTCGGCTGCGAGCACTTTCGATGGCTTTTGAACGGCATTTGAACGACATTGGAAAATGTTTCAGCTTTTGCAGTCAGCAAAGAAACACAAATGGCGTCTGGACGATTGCTCAAGGTAGGAGAACGTTACACCTGTGGGGGGAGCGTGGTATAAAAGCATATCCCTAAGGCAGAGTCCCCGCAATTTCTAATGCTATCCATATGAACCACCCAGTGCGTAGTTTCTGGGCTTAAAAGGAATACCGTTGCAACTTTACGGAATAGAATGGTAAAAGTAGAGAAAATCTGCAAGGGTTTAGGGTCCTGTCGAGTATATCGTTGGTCCGGAGGATACTTTGTTGAACTAGCATTTGTTTGTCCAATGATGGGTATTGAATACCCGGACAGTTATAAGTCTCTTTAACCATGTCTGAAAAGGCCTATTAAGACATAGCGCGTTGTAAATTACCTTGGACTGAACTCAGGGCTGTGGTACACTGTTCCACGGCAGTTCTTACACTCAATTCTTGAGAGGTATACCAGGTACTTTCGGTCATTGCTTCCAAGCCTTCATTTGGTGCATGCGTTATGTTACTTTTAGATTGACTCGCTGGACTAAGTAGTAATGAAACAAAGATACCTGGGAATCTAGTGTGAGAGCAAGACTAGAACATTTGCCAGGTCTTCAAATGAAGCAGTATTAAAATTATCCCGATGCCATATTTGAACTATTTGTGTATGACAAGTTAGGACTGAAGATCAATTAGCTTACATAGGCATGTGCTTCAGGGTGCTGGGCCTCACGTCCAGTTTTAGGGCTTCTTCCATCCTTGCCATCTTGGAATCAACTTTGGGCAGTGATAACCATACTGTCTATCCAGAATTTCAAATCAACGGGATACTTGTACTCGACATTTTGGAAGAGTTGTGGACTTTTGATAAATGGTGTAAATTCGAATGGTGCTCAACGAACTAGGGCATCAACAACCCAAGGTCTGTCGAGGTGTGTTTGATATTCTTCATTGTCAGCATGTACTATAAGCAACACCTTTTGATGTAAGAGTTATTTTCAATATGTCTCGATTTCGAGAACAATTGCCCAAGACTATTGTGCAAGGGAGTATTACCATACGTAAAATCAGCGGCAGAGACACAATTTTTGCAGAGCTTATCTTCCTGGGTCACGCTTCTTGGCTCCCATAGTTTTACACCAAGGGATTCTGATCCTCTTTACAGAGTCAGAGTTAAATGATTTTTGCATAAATAGTGCAAAAGCAAAGTGGGGAAACTAGAACGGGAAGATACAAGGTGACCCCGCATCCTGGTGCGATGAACTGGAACTGAGATTAACCACAAAGAAAACCAATTATGTGCCATTTAATCCTTTTGTTTTGCTATAATCTTCGTTTTTTGGTTGTATGGCTAGCAAAATCTAGTGGATTGGAATTCAAAATCACTCAAGTCTCGGCTCGTCGGCCCCTTGGGGCCCCCAAGGTCACCTGGCATCAGTCTCCGTCAGGTACACCATGTGCACAGGATCAACTTATTTAACCTTCCACTAACTTGCAGTATCTCGTACCTGAAACGAACCAGGGGTCACCCTCTCTTACACGCTATGATACTTAACCTCGCACAAGCCTCACCTGGGCAGATCGCAGATCTAAAAGGCACAGTGGGGCCGAAAGTGAAACCACAGAGGCTCTAAAGCCACCTATCACCGTCCAACTCCACACCGGACTCTTTAGTCGTCTTACCATGCTTGACAGAAGGCTACAACAGACATCTAAAGTGCCACCAAAAATACGTCATAGAGCTTCATACCTGGGTGGCTTGCTACTTTTGTTTAATCCGTCATTTGCAAAAATTAAGAAATGACCCTCACAATTGAGGAGACACCAAAAAGATCTGGACTCGCGGGGAATCGAACCCCGGACCACTCCCATGCTAAGGGAGTATTATACCACTAAACCACAAGCCCAGTTGATTGGTTAGTTGTCAGGAAAAGTGTATGAATAACCAAAAAAAGTACGTGCAGCAAGTAAAAGGCCAAGGTCAAATCATCGGCCAAATTTAGCCAAGACCAGCATGTCCCATGGAAACAACAGATGCTTTCATACCTTGAGGCTAGTCGATTGAAGCTTGATGAGTACTATTCGCAGACAGATCATGATCGTGATCATATTTACGCAATTAGTACTATGCTGGCGCCAGATAACAGC